ACGAGAATAGCGTTTATACTAAGCTTTATCATCGCTTCATATTTTCAATATATAATATTTATTTACTGTAAGATTGTATTTAAAACAATATAACATATACTTTCATAATGTGCATACGAACACTTACTGTTGTATTAGTATCAAATAAATTCTGTACCTAATTTTACAATTAACTTGATCGGTATCACATGAACCGCACTCATGATATCCATAATATTGTTATATTTAATATCTAAATAAGAAACTCTTACTTATCAACAATTATCATTACAGCATTGGTTTCTGTGTTAAGACAAGCATCGTTTTGTAGGTAGTGCCTGTGGCAACAATATGGCAAAGACATTGCTGTCAAACCCTATCTTGTGTGGTGGAGTAGTAGCGGCCTTTCTTGATAACACCGTACCTGGTAAGTCATGTGATCATCGTTATACATGTACACTAACTCTTTCTCCTGCGAATAACACATGGATAATAACAAACGATCATGTGATCAATGTTGTACATATAAACTATATCTTTCTTTTACTATCGTAAATTTAACTGTCGTTACCGCCACCCCAAGAACGTTAGAAAACTATAAAGCATAGCGTTAACTGTAACGTCAATTAGTTTAAATTCCAACTAAAGATAAAACAAAAAGACACTTTAATGTATGTTGACAGGTACAGCGAAAGAAAGAGGTATAACAGCATGGCAGGAGCCGGAGAAAACTGGACAATCCCAGACATACAGTGAGGGATTGGAAGTGTACCTTCCTCTTATACCCGCGCGCTGGCTGTCGTGGAGAGGGATGAAGTACATACCCTTCTGTCAGTATAAAGCTTCGGATGATATAACAAAGACGGACAAATCTACACCAGCGTGCTGAGGGAGATGGGGTGACAACCTCTCTAACACGTACCGACGTCTACTGCAAAGAGCCAATGGGACAACAGAGAGATGAGGGGACAACATCATCAGTGGTGGTCTTCATCTACTACACAGAGATGAATGGGACAGCATCATCAGTGGGGACCATCATCTACTACACAGGGATGAGGTGACAACATCATCAGTGGGGGTCATCATCTACTACACAGACATGAAGAGGACAGCGTCATCAGTGGGTACCATCATCTACTACACAGAGATGAAGGAGACAGCATCATTAGTGTGGGTCATCATCTACTACACAGAGATGAGGTGACAACATCATCAGTGGGGACCATCATCTACTACACAGAGATGAAGGGGACAGCATCATTAGTGTGGGTCATCATCTACTACACAGAGATGAGGTGACAACATCATCAGTGGGGACCATCATCTACTACACAGAGATGAAGGAGACAGCATCATTAGTGTGGATCATCATCTACTACACAGAGATGAGGTGACAACATCATCAGTGGGGACCATCATCTACTACACAGAGATGAGGTGACAGCATCATTAGTGTGGGTCATCATCTACTACACAGAGATGAGGGGACAACATCATCAGTGGGGACCATCATCTACTACACAGAGATGAGGGGATAACATCATCAGTGGGGACCATCATCTACTACACAGAGATGAGGTGACAACATCATCAGTGGGGGTCATCATCTACGACACAGAGATGAAGGGACACCATCATCAGTGGGGGTCATTATCTACTACACAGAGATGAAGGAGACATCATCATTAGTGTGGGTCATCATCTACTACACAGAGATGAGGTGACAACATCATCAGTGGGGACCATCATCTACTACACAGAGATGAGGTGACAGCATCATTAGTGGGGACCATTATCTACTACACAGAGATGAGGTGACAACATCATCAGTGGGGGTCATCATCTACGACACAGAGATGAAGGGACACCATCATCAGTGGGGACCATCATCTACTACACAGAGATGAAGGGACACCATCATCAGTGGGGACCATCATCTACGACACAGAGATGAGGGGATAACATCATCAGTGGGGGTCATTATCTACTACACAGAGATGAGGGGATAACATCATCAGTGGGGGTCATTATCTACTACACAGAGATGAAGGGACACCATCATCAGTGGGGACCATCATCTACTACAGACATGAAGGGGACAACATCACATTGTGAGGAAATAACTGGGAAAACAATTTTAACAAAAAACATGCTGACCATGCTGTGATGTCAACAATGACAGGTACCCGATGAACATCAATGTCCTGTCAAAACAAATGCTAAAATGAAACGAACCAGTACTCCTAAGTATCGCGCTGTAAGACAGATTTCTTGCAACGATCATGGGTAAGTTGTAGATCAGCATAGTTATGTTTGTGAATGATACAATACAAATTAAGCAGTATAATTGGTCTTCATCGTTCAAAGTGTCAGTGATTAAGAGATGTATTATCTAATGGAAGACAGACTGTAACAACTTCTACTTACAGTCTATGTCGTCGTTTGTTCATGTTAAGTCAGTTCAAGATGTTTTCATGTTGGGTGTGAAATGTTAATGCTAGTGGTTCAAAACCAATAAGATAGATTTTTACAAACACAATGTTTGAGCGTGTATCATTACCAGAGATTCCCACACGACATTAAACCCAGTAGATTCCCAAACGGCGGTAAACCGTCATGTTTATGTTCATTTATGTGTCTTGTCATTTCATAACTAAATAAGATATGAAACTGCACCGTGCAACGGTTTCGTCCTCCACTTACGCTAAGTGGGCCCGATGTGTTAGGAGGCAAATGAGGAAAATCCAGACTGGTCGAAAGCATTACAATAATATAAAACAAGAAGATGCATTAACCCATAACTTTCATACTGTTTTTATATATCGAATTGTTTCAAAACAACGTTAAGCACACTTGTATATTTTGAACCGTGCCACTATTCCACTGAATGCAAACACTACGTGCAGGTTACGACAAAACTCGAACAGGGTTCGCTCCCATTCAAAAGAATTATAAGACATGCAAGTGAATATATTGTACAATATCGTATGATTTCAGAAGAATATTGAAACAACTACCATATAATGTACATGTAACTAATTTCTGCAAATACAATTGTCCTGAATGTAACCCTATCCTTTCGCCACCATTGTTGTCGTTCACGCATTAAATACGACTCGGTAATCGCCACAGTCGCCACACACCTGTGGTTATAGGTTGCTGAAGTTTGAAACACGTGATATTGGAGTTCCTATCACGAAGACGTTATGATTACCCATTTTACTTTGAGTGGGTTTCAGTTTTACAATACGACCATGTAAAATCGATGTTACAGTTAAACAGATTGCTGTCAGTTTTTGTGTAGTCGAAAGTCCTATCTGTTAATTAGGTATTACGTTATCTCTGAGACACAAATACATCACGATATAAAAAAGTAAGTATCATAAGTGATATCAATAACGATATGGCGTAATTTTCTATTTATAGAAATCTGGTCACCACTCAGTCGTGCTCCAGTCACTTCCCCCATTTCAGGATGGCTATAAATGACAGTGTTTACGTAAACAAACTATCATATAAGTTACAGCGATGAAAAGAGGGCCTCACAAAACTAGGCGTGGTACATATACTTCAGGACCTAGCATGATAGGTCGTATGATGCGACTTCTGCGAGAATCTGTATATACATTTTGGAGGGATATGATGAAGAATGAGTCCATCTGTTGTGTATTTTAAGGACAAGCCAAAACAACAATACAGTCCGAATCCACATATTCAAACTCATTTATCATCTCCTCAGTGTTCTGTAACTGGAGGAGAAGGGGGCGAATTTTACAGAAATAGGGCAAACGTAGAATTAAACCCTTTAAAACTTTATCTTGAATTAGTTTAAATGAACGTTACAGTTTCTCAGGTTTGATTTTTCTTTCAAAACACATACAATACCCGGATACTGACATTCTACTCTAAACCATGTAGATTCTCAGCTCACCCGTGGCCTATAATCTCCTATGTTACAGAACAATCAGTTGTTCAATGTATGAGAAAGTCCAGCAGCGATACGACTTGTGTGTTATAACACTTACGATTATTACAGTAGAAACATCATCAAAATGGTTCAGTTACAACACGTGTATTCGTCAGTCAAGTTCATTGGACCTGTCCCTACCATTTAATAATTGCTGGACTAGGTGGGGTACCCCGGTTACCTAGGTAGCTGAGGTAGGCTGAGAAACTAAAATATGTTAAGAGGCTGAGTTAGGTGTACTAACGACAGATACCGTAGTTAACAATATTGTAACAGAGGTGGACTGTCTGATACCGTAGTTAACAATATTGTTACAGAGGTGGACTGTGTTATACTGTAGTTAACAATACTGTTACAGAGGTGGACTGTCTGATACCGTAGTTAACAATATTGTAACAGAGATGGACTATCTGATAACGTAGTTAACAATATTGTAACAGAGGTGGGCTGTCTGATACCGTAGTTAACAGTATTGTTACAGAGGTGGACTGTCTAATACCGTAGTTAACAATATTGTAACAGAGGTGGACTGTGTTATACTGTAGTTAACAATATTGTAACAGAGGTGGACTGTGTTATACTGTAGTTAACAATATTGTAACAGCGGTGGACTGTGTTATACTGTAGTTAACAATATTGTAACAGAGGTGGACTGTGTTCTACTGTAGTTAACAATATTGTAACAGCGGTGGACTGTCTGATACCGTAGTTAACAATATTGTAACAGCGGTGGACTGTTGTACCATTATTTGCAATTAACATGTAATACTTTGTTTAATAGAAATGACTGACTGTTTAATACTGTAATTTTACAAACACTAACAGCAAGCAGAACAATCACGTACGTAAGTTGCCGGCCGTATGAAACATTTTGAATGTTAATGTAATTGTTATTCAATTGTACTGGTATCCGTTAAACACAAAGACATTCATGTGTCATATTACCTCTGTCTCGTACACACTTCAGGCATGCCCTATTTATTCATTCTGTTCCCGTACGAAGGGCGATAAATCTCCTCTACATATCCGTGCGTGTGTTGATATGTGAAAAACACGTATGTATATACTGTATGTATACACTTAACCGGAAAAGGAAGAAATTGAATTTATCTCTGTTCTCATTTCTTACTTTTCTTCCTTGAGGGGCTATGTTACTTGTTACTTATTACGCTGTGCCGGACTACATATGAGATAGTTCAGTATTCTTTATTTTGTCAACCGATGACATGAGAGCATTGAAAATGACTGTATGTAGCAGTGACAGCGGATAAAGGCACTGTTTCATATCCCAGTTAGAGTTTATATTCATCATAATAGTTTACAACGAAGGGCATGCGATACAGGAAGTTGTATTTCAGGGAAAATCAGAAACGCCCACAGGAATCTATTCAACATTCATTATTTTGTTGTTGTTTGAGATTTCGACTATTTGTTCACTCCTGTGATTAACACTAAGAACATTGTACGTTACTTTGTTTATACACAGTATCATTGTACGGGAAACATCACAAACAGGATTTCGTGAAGATGGAGAACTCTCCTTCAGGGATAATGGTGAATTGATAGAGGAAGTTTTTATTTGCATTGTGTGCATATATATCCGGTTTTTTTTTAATCAAATATCTATATCAAAGACAATACAATTTATTCAAAATGGGATGTGCTCTGACTCTCGAAGAAAAGGAATCTAGGAGGATCGACAAAGAACTTCGTTCAGACGGTAGCAAATCATCACGGGAAGTAAAACTACTACTACTGGGTAAGTTTCACCAGTGGATTACATTCTGTATTTCTATTTAACTTTAAAAAGGTGCTGAATTAATATGCTCGAGAACATTTCAACTCATTTCATTCCCTGTCCATCACAACTCACTCATTAATATGAAACCGGGAAGCAATGTGTTGTTAGTAAAGTATTTTATTTTATACTTCAATTAAATTCGACTCTTTATCGGATTCATTAATAATCAAATCTTAACAATTATCATAGACGCGTTAGTCTTACGTAATGCACATATTTATATGTGACTGTGAAGATGGTGGTGGTGGTGGTGGTGGTGGTGTGTGTGTGTGTTGGTGACTATGTGAAGGTGGTGGTGGTGTGTGTGTGCGTGTGTGTTTGTGTGTGTATGACTGTGTGAAGGTGGTGGTGGTGGTGGTGTGTGTGAGTATGTGTGTTTGTGTGTTTATGACTGTGTGAAGGTGGTGGTGGTGGTGTTGGTGGTGGTGGTGTGTGTGTGTTGGTGACTATGTGAAGGTGGTGGTGATGGTAGTGGTAGTGGTGGTGGTGGTGTGTGTTTGTGTGTGTGTGTGTGACTGTGTGAAGGTGGTGGTGGTGGTGATGGTGTGTGTGTGTGTGTATGAGTGTTTGTGTGTGTTTGTGTGTGTATGACTGTGTGAAGGTGGCGGTGGTGGTGGTGTGTGAGTATGTGTGTTTGTGTGTGTATGACTGTGTGAAGGTGCTGGTAGTGGTGTTGGTGGTGGTGGTGGTGTGGTGTGTGTGTTGGTGACTATGTGAAGGTGGTGGTGGTGGTGGTGGTGGTGGTGGTGTGTGTGTATGTGTGGTGTTGGTGGTGGTGGAGGTGGTGGAGGAGGTGGTGGTGGTGGTGGTGGTGGTGGTGGTGATGGTGTGTGTGTGTATGTGTGTTTGTGTGTATGGGACTGACTGGGGTATAGGTATCTATGACATAGGACAATTTCAAGTTATAAAGTAGGTTAAATAGTAGTGTGTCTGAGCTTAGGTTATAAATATATGTGGCGTTTGCCTGTCTGTGGTAATGTTATTAGTATATGTGACCTAGGACTGTCTGTGGTGATATAACTATATGTTACGTAGGACTGTCTGGGGTAATGCTATAAGTATATGTGACGTAGGACTGTCTGTGGTACTGTTATAAGTATATGTTACGTAGGACTGTCTGGGGTAATGCTATAAGTATATGTGACGTAGGACTGTCTGTGGTACTGTTATAAGTATATGTGACGTAGGACTGTCTGGGGTAATGCTATAAGTACATGTGACGTAGGACTGTCTGTGGTACTGTTAGAAGTACATGTAACGTAGGACTGTCTGTGGTAATGCTGTAAGTATATGTGACGTAGGACTGTCTGTGGCAATGTTATAACCATATGTGACGTTGGACTGTCTGTGGTTATGCTACAACTATATGTGACGTAGGACTGTCTGTGGTAATGCTATAAGTATATGTGACGTAGGAATGTCTGTGGTAAGGCTTTTAAGTACATGTGACGTAGGACTGTCTGTGGTACTGTTAGAAGTACATGTAACGTAGGACTGTCTGTGGTAATGCTGTAAGTATATGTGACGTAGGACTGTCTGTGGCAATGTTATAACCATATGTGACGTTGGACTGTCTGTGGTTATGCTACAACTATATGTGACGTAGGACTGTCTGTGGTAATGCTATAAGTATATGTGACGTAGGACTATCTGCGGTACTGTTAGAAGTATATGTGACGTAGGAATGTCTTTGGTAAGGCTTTTAAGTACATGTGACCGAGGACTGTCTTTGGTACTGTTATAAGTATATGTGACGTAGACTGTCTGTGGTGCTGTTATAAGTATATGGACGGTAGGATTGTTTTTAAACTAAATGCCTGTGACGTCAGTCAATATTTCTTTTATCATATACACGAAAGCTGTAAAAGGTGATGGTCGCCTGCATTAATTTTACTCTCAGTAATCAATCAAATGTTTGTGTATGGTAGAATGTCTGAGGCAGCCGTGTCGTACTGTAATATCCTTTCAATGTCTGACGTAAAATGTTGGGGATGGGTTATTATTAACCGATCACTCCGTATATAATGAAACATCATTTAACTATGTGGTAACAATAAATTATGTTTGTGTGACGCTGAAATAATACACAAGTGCAGTGTGTTATAGAGTAACAAGTATACCTCGTTTCCGTATTTTCCATACCAAATGTAAAAAACACACAAAACATTACAACGAAGATCCGGTATCGTTGACTGTGATTCGTAGAACATCATACATATGACATTATTACATATGTTTTCAAAATCATGAGCTGATCACCACAAACCACTTAGCAGTACTATATACTTAATACGGAGGCGTTGCTTTACGATTGAATCATGTTTGAAGTTTTAGACGCGTCAAAAATAGATATACCGTGTACATATAGGTTGTACCAGCGCTTCAGATCGTTATGTTGGAAATACCCCAGTAATTGTGGTCACTTCATCGGCAATAGATACGTAGAATTTGTAAGAAAAAGTATATATAGTAAACCCACAACGATTCAACTCATAGGGGTTTTCCTGTAGATACTTATTAGTAACCAATCAAAATCCATGTACAATTAACAATGCCTCTTGTGAAATATTCTACTTTCCTTACCATCAACGCTTTTACTAATGTGAGATCTATTTCCTGAAAAGTCCCCGTCTCCTTAAAGTTGATACCGGGAAACCCATTCTCCAACAATTGCTATCACACTGACATGACGTCAACATTTCAATAAAGACACACCAGCCATGTGATATTGATCACTCAGAGGTAATGCTAGCTGCACATATAAAATATCCAACAAATTCATTACGGTGAAAATAATCATTCACCTACTTGAATAAGAGATAGAGGACCTCGACATTTGGGGAAGATTCCTAAGCTGACAAACACTCGAAAAATCATCGTGCTTGTCAACTTATGAATCTCGACCTTCAACATATGAGATTTCCCTATTTCACCCCAGACAGGGGTCTACACTTTTATTAATCTCTTAGATTAAAGGATCTGTCCCTAGCTTTAGTGACGGACGGAGACATTTCTTCCAAACAGTGTGTTGCATGTGTGTCAAAGGATAATTTTTATCTTGATTGGTATGTTTACGTTTGCATTACTATGTACAATCACATGTTTTATCTTTTTTTTTCTCCTGAAGATTTATATCATATTAAAGTGTTATGAAATCATCATCATCATCAATAAAAAATTGTAATTCATTCTTGACATATTACATGACATCTAATTGACCAATGAAAATAATTTCCGACTGTATAACCGCTTTTCTCATTTACATATTATAATGACCATTGTTGTTGATGTCGATGAATCCGACTATGCACTTCATGAAAATTACGTCATGGAAAAATGTATGATCTGGAAAACCGATGAGACTCCACTTTCTATCGTTACTATAGCTGCGTAAATTGTCGGTCGAGTGACATGTGACACTTTTCTGACTAGAGTTTACGTGTTAAGTTATCAGTAAGGTGGATGAGAACCCTGCTGTAACCTTATCCCTAAGTAATTAGAACTCACTCAACCTTTACTTATAACATGTGTGTTACTTTATTAGGATCATTACCTGCGGTTTAACACGAATGAATGTTCCCTGGCCGGAAATGAAGATATTTTTTTCAGGAGAGATAGAGTAATAGACATTTCCACCTTTGTACGATTTGGTCAGAGAGAGTCCTTTCCTCATCATACAAAGATGATTGACCATTCTTATCCCGATCTTCAGGTGTAGGAGGTTATTACCGTGAACTGCATAGTAAAATGACCGTCTCTTTTCTTCTATTTTTCAAATTTTGGAAAAAAATCCTCTAACATCGTTGATTTAGCTGATGTTTTGTTTGCCGGTGGCTCCCCTAGCGTACCAGTACATTGAGATAAACTCAGACACGCACGCTTGATATGTATGTATTTGTACATTACGTTATTACATTAGTTCGAGGCTGTTTATGTTGTTATGCGATCGAGACTATTTTTATGACATTAGGTCGAAGCTGCTTACATAAGTTAAAAACTGTTTACATGATATTAGGTCGAAACTGTTTACATGATATTAGGTCGAAACTGTTTACATGACGTTAGGTCGAAACTGTTTACATGACGTTAGGTCAAAACTGTTTACATGACATTAGGTCGAAACTGTTGACATGATATTTGGTCGAAACTGTTTACATGACATTCGGTAAAAACTGTTTATATGACATTTGGTCGAAACTGTTTACATGATATTAGGTCGAAACTGTTTACATGGTATTTGGTCGAAAATGTTTACATGACATTAGGTCGAAACTGTTTACATGACATTTGGTCGAAACTGTTTACATGATATTAGGACGAAACTGTTGACATGACATTTGGTCGAAACTGTTTACATGACATTCGGTAAAAACTGTTTATATGACATTTGGTCGAAACTGTTTACATGACGTTAGGTCGAACCTGTTTATGATGACATTAGGTCAAAACTGTTTACATGATATTAGGTCGAAACTGTTTATATGACATTAGGTCGAAACTGTTTACATGACGTTAGGTCGAACCTGTTTATGATGACATTAGGTCAAAACTGTTTACATGATATTAGGTCGAAACTGTTTATGATGGCGTTAGGTCGAAACTGTTTACATGACGTTAGGTCGAAACTGTTTACATAACATTAGGTCAAAACTGTTTACATGATATTAGGTCAAAACTGTTTATGATGGCATTAGGTCAAGACTGTTTTTGTGTCAGTGTATTGAAACTGTTTATCTTAGCATTAAATCTAGACTGTTATATGAAAATAGATAAAAACTGTTTATAAAGAGTGTTGACGCTGATGCAGTTCTAAATAGTTAATATGACACTAGGCCATGACTGTTAGTATATTGAATTACATCATTCATAGTTACGAACCCCTCAACGTTGTGGAACAATTCGCGCTTTTACATATAGACGTTGTGATATCTTCGTCAAAAGATGTATACTATGAAATGAGTAAGAAGTGCCCCTGATTCATGGTAACCCAGCCCTGTATACAGCTAAATACACATTATGAGGCGGACTTCCGGACTTGTTTTACAGCGAGGCACTTTACGCACAAGGAAATTATACTGTATATGTAATATGCTCTTCACCACACTGATGTTATTTTATACAAGGGAAACAAATTCTATTTGTTGCTCTCTGTCTCTGAATAAATTTTGTTGTATATCACCTAATGCACCTCACTTTGCAGTGTTTAACGTTCCCATACTTGATATTGCTGTACTTTATATATAAATTCTTCATTTCTTCCCACATGAGTTGTTTTGCTCCCACACCAGTTATTATGTTTTATCAACCCTTTCCCACATGGGTTGTACTGTTCCAACGCTAATTATTATGTAAAGTCAACCATTCTTTCCCACACCAGTTCCCCTGTTTCTGAATTAGTTATATAATCCGTTGCCTTCATTCATACACGGAGTGTATTGTTCCAACACTAATCATTATGTTAAGTCAATTTTTTCCCATACCGGTTGTTCTGTTCCCAGACTAGTTATATCTACCCTTACCTTCTTTCCAACACCAGTTGTCCTGTTCTTAAACTAGATATATAATCCTTTCCCTTCTTTCCCACACCGGTTGTCCTGTTCCCAGACTAGTTATATCCACCCTTCCCTTCTTTCCCACACCGGTTGTCCTGTTCCCAAACTATTTATACCCACCCTTACCTTCTTTCCCACACCGGTTGTTTTGTTCCCAGACTATTTATATCCACCCTTCACTTCTTTCCCACACCGGTTGTTTTGTTCCCAGACTAGTTATATCCACCCTTCCCTTCTTTCCCACACCGGTTGTTTTGTTCCCAGACTAGTTATATCCACCCTTCCCTTCTTTCCCATACCGGTTGCCCTGTTCCCAGACTGGTTATGTCAACCCTTCCCTTTTTCCAACACCAGTTCTCCTTTTCCTAAATTAGTTATATAACCCCTTCCCTTCTTCCCCACATCGGTTGTGATGTTCAGTAGTTATATAATTTTTTCCCTCCCTCTTTTCCAACTTCGGTTGTTCTACTCCCATTCAATTAAAGAAAAAACCTTCCTTTCTTTCCCAAAGTTGGTCTGTTCCTCAAATGTCATTGACTAACTCTTCTGTCGCACAGCTGTTGTTATGTTCCTGGACAAGTAACATCAAACCCTCCCTTCTTTCCCATACTTGCTCTTCTATTCCCACTCTAATCATGAAAACACCTTCTTTCCTTTCCCACATGTGTTGTTCTTTCCCACACGTATTATTACGTTAAATGTGTCACCATTTCCTTTCTAACAGTTGTTGCTCTTTTCTTTTTCTATTCAGACTATTTAATATTGAAATTTTCTTTCCCACAACAAAATGTTTAGATTTGTTTCTTTCCTGTTAACGTAATGTGTCAGTGGAATATTTTAAGCGGTCAGTTCGTCCGATATGTACCCAATATTACCTGTCGTGTTACCTGTTACATTGAGGTACCGTTTCAATGACACCTGCTATCGTAGGTATGATCAGCTTCCTGTGTGTGTTTTTTGTTTTTTGGTTTTTGTTTTTGTTTTTTTTTTCGTGGGATTTTCTTAGGAATAATTTCACGTCTTGTTTGGGTTTTAAACGATAATAATATTCAGTTTACAACTAAGTTAAAATTTATCATACGGATGTTGCTATTACGCAGAAGTCAACATATTATTATGTAAAATAGTAACTTTTCATACAGGCCGGTATCCGCTAGTGTTAATGAAATAATGTATTTCAGCCAGTAGGCTTAAACTTGCACATGTGTAAAGGACTACATCTATTGGACTTTGTAATGAATACCTAGTATTATATACGACGAAAGTATATGTAACTTTGATACTGATACAGCTGTATCATTCGTGTATTACATGGACTGCAACAACAAGCGAGACATGCTTTTAAGATTTATTTTATGCCCTGCTCAAACACATATGAAAACAATTAACCATGAAGTATTTTATTGCAAGAGTGAAGTGACTGTTCGGTAGATCTAGATTCTATTCACATATGTGCTCTTTATATGATAGCCTTTCCGGAAATTTCTGTCGAGAGTATTGCAATTGAGCTATAGAATATACGAAACGGGAAGAGTGCTTGGTGCATATTTCACGCAACTGAAGAAAGGGTTTTATATTACAGATCAACAGGTTTATTTAAAACTGCTACACAGGGGAGTAATTCCAAACTGAACTACCAAAATCCACAATGTACTCCGGTAACCATTGATAAAAACATACAAATCAAGGATTGAATGTACAACCAACAAAACGATGAGCTTTACCAAGAAGTATTACAGTAGGCGGGTACATACTTTTAACTACACCTACCTATTATGCCCTACCTGCTCTTTATTTCCTGTGTCTTTCTAATATAACAGTTAACGCTATGTGTTTCAGGACTCCGAGCTCCCTTAAAAAGTGCATGGTTTATTGTTGATTTACGTCCTAATAACAGTCGGTGTCAGTTAAAGACACACCAGTTTTGGGTGGTGGAGAAAACTACCAATTATCTTATACAAGACCGGGCAACATTTAGTTGTAGTCGCCAGATAACTGCTATTCTGATTGACTTTGAGAAAGCTTTACATAAACCCACCTTGTGCATAAATTTGGACACAATGGTGTAAGATAGAAAACAACTGTACCCAACCATTTCTCTGAGGACGCATACAGTGGTCCTTCGACCACTCCTGTTGTTGGTATACTTTAGTGATAAGCCATCTTGCATCACAGAAAAAGATTATATACTGATGGATGTCGCCTCTCTAAAACCATCACAGGCAGACTGGGGACAGCTGCAGCACGACCTAGACGCACTTCACGACTTGGGGGAGAAGTGGCTTATGTCCTTCAATCCTTCAAAATTGGACTAGAAACCTTTCTGCACAAAGACAAATATACTTGCTAATTAAACGTGAGCAGAAAACTATCATAGAACATACACTAATATCCAGTGGAAGTCAAATTCCACCTCGTTATGTAGAGAATTAGTCAGTATCCACCAAATGCCAAGGAACAAGTCTATCAAACACTCGTAGAACCAGCGACCAAATGTCTCGTAGAACCAACGATCCAATGTCTCCTCAGTCTGGTTCCATAAACAGAAAACAATGTCAAATTTGCCAACTCCATAAAGTCGAGAGGAGTCCGCTGTTGTGATTAATACATTTTACATTGTGTCAGCAACATGTTGGAAAATCTATTATGAGACCAACTCTAGGCGAGACATGCCAGAGCAAAAGCCCTACTCGATGACATCCCTTACACCAGGTAGACAGGCCTGCTGAGTCTTACATCGTTCCGATCCCTAAAGCTACACTCACAAGAAGCCACAGCATGAAATCGATCTAGTCACGTGCAAGAACCCAATCCTGCAAACACTTCTTCTATTCTGAAGAAGTCCCGCCTACAGTTTCTAATTTGCAAATTATCATTATTATTATTATCATTATTATTATTATTGTTCTTCTGCAAAAATGATATATAATTATATATATTTTTGATTATAGGTGCTGGAGAGTCTGGAAAAAGTACAATATTAAAACAAATGAAGTAAGTGCTCTTATTTAAACATGTATATCAAAAAGAAAAAGATATTAGCCTACCGCATACATCATAGGGCTATGTGCATGAATATCGTAATAATTAGTCATATATTAACGAGGGGAAATATTTCCCAAGTCAACAACAAAACAACAAAAATTAACTTACTGTCAATCCATTAGCATTGTTTTTATGTTTCACGTAAAATTTTAGCTATTTATTTATTTTCTTGGTATGTAATTGCTTTGACTGGTCATTACAGAATCATCCACGATCGTGGCTACACGGAGCAGGAGTGTGTAGAGTACCGCCCAGTAGTCTATAGCAACATATACCAGTCCATGACAACCATCATACGAGCTATGGGCAGTCTCCACATTGAGTTTCAGGATCCTGACCGTGCTGTATGTATGACTGATATTGTACTTTCATTAGAATTACAGGAAATGATGGGGATGATATATGACTGGCGATGGACCATAAAATTTGACAAATTAAGAAAGGAGAAATATCTTCAAATAAATTTAGTACTTCCATGTAGTTTTCATGTGTGTATGACAGATTTAAAGAACCTTTTACACACATTTAGAATGTCATAAAAAAATCAGTCTATGTCACGTTAAGACGGATTTGATCTTCCAACTCATTCACAAATGCACATTTTGGACTGAATCCGCTGATTGACGAATAGAGTGTTATATACATACACAGAAATGATTAGATCTAAATGGCTCAGTATGTTATCTTCAGAAAGGCGAAACATCCCGGTTTTGTCATTGCACTCGCTTCCTTTCTACATTAAAAAGTCAAATTTATTCTACATTGTAGAATACTCATCCTTCATAATATCAGACTACATATAATCAGACATGAATTCAGACCCGATCAAAATAGATATATCATTTTATTCAAATCGCTTTATTGAATACTATATATATTTTGACAGGAAGATGCACGTCATTTATTTGAGTGCAAGATGGCGAACGAAGGTCTTGACCCAATGTTAGGCATCCTAATACGTCTGTGGGGTGATGGTGGTGTCCAGACTTGTGTCAGTCGTTCTCGGGAATACCAACTCAACGATTCTGCAGAATAGTGAGTCAACATAGATTTTACTGTACCAAAATCAAATAGCCTGAGAATGTTCTCTCATTCATCATCATCATCATCATCTTATGCGCCTGTAGCATGCATCACTTCATCCTCTGGCGATCTATAAGATATTCGTAAACAATACAAATCCAGTCTTGTCACGATTTATTTGATCTCAGAATTTAGTTGGAATTAAAAAACATTTTTGGTAACATTGTTAAACAAATATTGCTATCAATGAAACTGCTGACAATAAAGCGCGCGTTGTATGTTTCAAATACAGAAACTTTATTCCATACAATTGCACAAAATCGCCCTAGGAGAACAATATTTCCTACTGTTAATGCATTTAAAAAAAATTAAACCTATTCCGGTGTCCTATGGCTATTGACTTAAACAAACCAGTTAACCAAATCGACTGAAGTATATACACAGCTACACATCATGTCTATAACACTACATTTAAATTGAATGTGTATATTATATTCCATGTTACTCATCAGTTATCTGAATGCATTGGAAAGGATAGGAAAGCCCGGATATATACCAAGCGCCCAGGACGTGCTACGGACACGGGTTAAAACGGCAGGGATAGTGGAGTCAAAGTTCCTGTTTAAAAACGCACAGTTCAAGTAAGCATCCTCAGCTTTACTTCAAACTTCAATATTTTAGCTAAACGGTCATAGATTTACTCCAGCAACAAAATATACGTATTTCACGAAAAAATATAACGTACCATACATCTTATGTCATTGATGAGTGCTTAAAACCTCGTCACTATCGTATGCTGTTCTGTAGTTCACACATAGGTTACCTCTACTCCTATCTTTGGTAGCACCCTTTAAGATCGCTGCATTGTGAGTATTGATGATGGACTTGAATCTTCAAGTCTTCCTCTGTAATCATACTCAGAACATTAAGATGTATTCACTGTTACTCTTTCACTTATTCTGAATTTACCGCATTTATTATAGGATTAGTACAACTTCTCATCCTCCCATTTAAACGTTTTAAACAGAATTTGATTTTCTTGAATTCCCTTCTGGATTCCCACACTTTAAGCTCCTATCACCCTTGATTCCGTTTGATTCAAACCATAATTCTTCTATATAATTGGGTTATCGGATGGCACAGTGGATGTTTCGCAATCGTTGTAAAGTAAATAAAATTTATCAACCATAATTCTTTATTATACAGAATGATCGATGTTGGAGGTCAACGGAACGAGAGAAAGAAATGGATCCATTGTTTTCAGGATGTTACCTCCATTCTGTTTATAGTCGCCATGAGTGAATATGATTTGACTCTGATAGAGGATCAAGACATGGTAAGACAGACACTGGGGAAATTATCTTGATTTCTAGATCATCATTTTCGATTCATATTGTTTGAAGGCAACAACCATTTTAATATTAATTAATGTAATTGTGTCGTTGCCTGAAACTAAGTAGTCAAAGTGTGGCGGTTATCATGTTTGTATGATAGCCTATCATCTATAAGGGGTAGCTTTTCTGCTTGGAGCGGTAGTCTCTCAATATTCTGTGGGGGCCTAGCAAAGTTGTATGGCAGTCGATCTGCATTGCTAGGTAACCTTTCAAATTGTTTGACAGCCTTTCAGTTGTGCGGTGCTTTGTCAGGACATGTACGTGTTTTTTGGCAACAATCAGAAGGGTACGAACACGAGGCAATTTGTAGATATTGTCAATTTTCAGAAGCTTTTGGTTTTGTCTCATGTGTTTAGTATATATATTTTAGAAAGTGATTACAAAACCATGACAGTATATGTATTATGTTACATGTTTTATGACACTAGATTATTGCACACTGTTGGTGATTTCAGAACCGCATGGGGGAGAGTTTGCGGCTTTTCGATTCCATCTGCAACAGCACGTGGTTCGTGAAAACTTCTATGATCCTGTTTTTGAACAAGAAGGACTTGTTCGAGGATAAGATAGTTCGGTCACCACTCACAGTCTGTTTCCCTGACTACCCAGGTAAATTATTTTTATCTTATTAATAACAACAGTCTGTTTCCCTGACTAACCGGGTAAACTATCAATATTCTATAAGTAACAATAGTTCTGTTTCCCCGGTACACAATCTTTATCTTATTAGCTAAAAATGTCGGTTTCCCTGACTACCCAGGTAAACTATCTTTATCGTATATGCTATTGTTACTAACCAGGTAAATTATTTTTATCCTGTTTGTAACAATTTTCTGTTGTCCTGCCTACCCATGTAACCTATGTTTATCTTATAAGAACAATTATCTCTTTCCCTGAATACCCAGTCAAATATAAGCTTACCTTTATTAGTAACAATAGTCTGTTTCCCTGACTACTCAGGTAAGTCATCTTTATCTTATGAAAACAAAGTGTTTCCTTTCAGTAATATGAAATTGACATCAGATTACAATGTCGGAAGTATAATGATATAAATTATTAAAGGTTGTCATTCAAGAATGATATATCAAATGACAATTTGGGTTATAGTTTCAGCGTGGTTATTACACGTAAGAAGAATTTTAAACGTTCTTTAGTCAAATAAAAACATCTAGTTGAACTATGAGTCGTTGCACAACGTACAATGCAATTTTTGAAGTTTATTATAAGGAATAGATATATATGATTTTCTTTTGATTTTAGGACAGAACATCTATGCCGAGGCCGCACCATACATCCAGTTTCAGTTTGTAAGCACCAACAAACGGGACAAGGAAATATACTGCCACTTCACATGTGCCACAGATACCAATAACATTCAGTTTGTGTTCGATGCAATAAGTGACATCATCCTTAATGAAAATCTTGAAAGTATAGGTTTAAACTGAGATGTAAAGGACACTTACATTATAGCTAACTGAAAAATACTGCCAGAAAATACAATATATAAAGGCGGTATCACAGTGTCAAACTTTGATCCAAATATAACGGAAATGTTACCGTGACTTGTAATGACAACGATCACCACATGATCATGACTAGATTATATCTGCGTATTTTGATCTGACTGTATACATCATGCTGTTTATTTGGCATGCGTAACTAATCACATTTATGTGGCTAAGTGTTCGTATTCGTTAAAATGTTTGATACTAGATGATATAAGTAGTCTATATATCGTTTATAAGATTATATCAATTCCTCTGAATGTTACGGGCACTTGTTAATTACATCTTTCATTACTAGTGTTTTAATTTTAGAATGGTGATCACCAAACCTTGTCTGTCCATATGTGTTTTACGTCATTCGCGTGTCTGATAGCACCATGATCTTCAAATAGATCGTTTAGCTTTTATGACCTCAGACTGGTCTAGGGCATGGCTAAAATTAAACTAAAATAGATAAAACATCAGCTGAGGTGAAGATGTTCTGGGATAGAATCGTGTATAACAAAAAAGGAGTAGTATAGTAATATATTCTATGAATACAAATAATGGTGGCTGTAGGTGATGTGATAGTCACTAATGTTTGAGGTGAATTCAAAATGTTGCTGTATCACCACTGTGACCTCACTGTTCGTTTAGTATTTACTACGTGTTCAAGGATAGAACATGGTGAACGAGGTCATGTAAAGCTGATTTTAATCAGAATGTGCAAACTAAAACAGAAAAGTACATGACTTGAATTATTAGGGTTTATAATTATGTAAGTTATATAGAGGTGTGTAGTGGGGAAGACCGTACACCAAATATTAAGCTTTTAAAACATTGTATTATCTGCTTTTCATTATTCCCTCAGCTAATGTTATTTTCATATATTTTTACTGCTTTTCGATTCTGAATTTTTGGTCTAATTCGTACTTTCGTTTTGGTATAGCTTCTTTCCTTTTTGTATTTTTGTTCAATATTCCCGTGTCTGTATTTAAATATTATAATATTTTGTCAACGCGTTTTGGTTCATAACAAGAAATGTGTACAAAAAACTTTTTTGTAACAGAGGTATTATAACCAAAAATTGTTGTTGTATGAACAGATTACTTATAAATACATTGTTAACGAAAATTGATGTGTATATCAGACCGTTAACTCACAGTTTACAAGAAATGGCGACCATTGAAAGCTTTTTTAAGGATAACCATAACTGGTTTGGTACTTTTAAAATATTCGTCTATCTACTTATTTTGAAATAGTAGATAGTAAACCATGTATACTATTTGCCTATATTGTAAATAATACTATCATCTTTAAAGTAAATATCAAATATATATTGAATCTTACATCGATTTCCATTTGATAAGCGACGTATCATTTTTTCCATATAATACTACGAAATTGGAACGAATTTCGAACACTTTTATCACAAGGTCGATTTTTCGGGTAAACATTATAAAGTCTGTGTCAAATTTTAAGCAATTTCATCTCTCTATCTATCAGAATTCACAGAAATGTTTAATGCCAAAGATGTTTTTAAAATACGACTTGTTTGTTTTATAAAGTTTAGTTCCATATCTGTTTCTTGAGGCGTTTTGTTTGGTAAATGTTTCATAAATAAAAAACAAATGAAGTATGAATACTGTTGAGAGTTTGCTGAGATATTACAGTGTACAATAGCCCGAATCTCGAGATATATACACTAAGTTTTGTTTTAATGCTAAAGAGATATTACTCAGTGCAATAGCCCGAATCACGAGATTTAGACTCTACGTTTTGTTCTAATGTTGATGACAGGCATGACAGGTGTTTAATCTAAATGTGTTTGTGAAAGTGTATATAGGACCGCAGTGTGTAAGACGTACGGAGTAAAACTGTATATGATCATTCATTATTGAGGCCTATATATAACAAAAACAATAATTAGATAAAATATAGTGATTTCACATTGTTTGTGCTGTATGTGTTTTTTTCTAAACTGCATACATACGATATATCTATATATAGCTCAGCCTCTGCTCCAGGATAATGTATTTCATATGTATGATAAACATTTGTATTTTTATACTTATTGAAAAGTTTATACCTTTTAATGTGTACAACATTTAGAAACATATTCTAAGTGTATTGCTATTACAAAAATATCACTGGCATATGAAATGGATCACAAGAATTTTTTTATCACACTGGTGTGTTGAGGGGTCATCCTTACAATTAGTTATTCATCATTATGTCAAATTCAAGATAGTCAATTTTGACGATTATTTGAAAAGTTTTGATAAGAATCTAACAGAAATCCACAATCGAATCTCATGATACAAGTTAATTTATCCAAAACTGATTATTAAGATGTGATTTATATATGTTGTCCTACATGTTTTCGGAAAGATGACAGTTCAATACACGATATTTTCTATAAAGTATATATATATTTCTAATCTCCCAAAAAGTAACAAATTTTTTAAAAATATGTTTTATGAGCTAGTAATTAATTTATAATTCAATAGTCTGTAACCAGTAGCAACTATTTCTGCACTGTATTCATAAATCTCTAAATGGGTTTTGTGTTTTCACTCGTTTGGCAAAACAATCCGTATTTGCAACTCGGATCATGGCAATATCAATCTCAAGTATTTATTGTTCGTTATGTCATCGAGTGTTTTTTCGTGTGTTTTGTATAAACAGTCTGATAAATAAAGACATTTTGATATTGAAATACGATATTTTTCATCTTTTCTCTGTCAAAGTAGTTCTAAATAACACGGTAAATATGTTTGCATAATTGAATAAAGATCACGAAAATGAACGTCATTGACACATGAAAACCTGCACAACGTTTCCAAATTATTGCAGAATCAGTTTTGAAACTAAACCTTATGGAGTATCCAAGTTGACTGCCATTTCTATTTGTACATCAAATTAATATCGTATCAACCTGCCACACTATTTTCAAAACTCGTATATTTGAAGAGCATACTAGGGACTCGCCATAGTGATGGAGTAACCAGCGGCTTGAGAAAGAGATAAATCTAGATTACCGTTTATACGTGTTTATTGATCATTGTTTAAATAAAATACTTTCGGTTTATTCCCACTGAGAATGACCAATAGATGTAAACTAAGGATAGTTAGAATGGTATTGTTGAACAAGTGTTGGGGTAACTGGACAGCTAATTATCTTGTACAAATGTTACTATCGCTTAGCAATATTTAGAAAAAGAGTCCAATGATTTTAATATAGTACTTAACCACCTAATCTGTACATCTCTATACACTGGCGTCGATATTTCAACCCCTATTTGTTTACTTTTTATTTCAATAGGAGTCCTTTGCAAACTCAGACACATGCAGATTTATACTGTAGCTGAGCAATGCATATAATAATGCATAAGGCAGATAACTCAGTTTTAGGTAATGTAATCAAAGGTATGAAGGTTTTCCAATCATAATCAGCGTACTTTCTTTTTGAGTGATGCCTATTTACCAGCATCATATTCTACATAACCTCTGTGGGATACAGGCCATAAGAACCGATAAAATGAAACTTTCTTGTGACAAAATAATGTGCATATATCAAATGAATGTCATACATACTATCTAAATATCATATGATACATCAAATAAGAATAAAGACTATTATTTGATTTTATATATTTTGATAAGAGCGTCTGCTTGGTCGTGTGCCACTAGAAACATGTTCCTCTGTTTTTGAAAACAGACACAGCGAGGATGAACTAATCCCTGTACAAGGAGCTGGTCAGACAATTCACCGTTTTCTGATGCCTGTAAAACCATCCCCTCTACAACCGAAACCACACACAGTTTACCTCGGACCAGAGTTATTCCCCTTGGTCCTGTAGGTGTTGCCAAAGTCCAGAGTTGTTCCCCGTTGTAAGTAATACATCTTACTTGATCTTTATAGTAGTCGGATACAAAGAAACAGTTTCCAACTCCAGCTACAATATGAGAACCGAGATCATAATTGCCATCCTCCTCAAGAACAGTGGTTCTATGTCCCTTCATGTTAACTAAGTGTATACTAGATCTATGTCCATCCTCATTACAGGCTAAGCAGATGAAATGTTGGTTCTGGTATGAAATATCATACAAGCCCCAGCATTCCTTGTCGAACATAACTGACTTGTATTTGTGAAGTGTGTTATTATTGTGTACTGTAAACAATGTTATGCAGTTTGCTTGCTTGTCCGAAACAGCGACTGTCGCATCGTCCACAACTGTTAGCCCAACTGGATCACCGTCCATGTTAGAAAAATGTTTGAAGTTTATATCAGCATCAAATAGTTTAAGCTTTTTATTTTCTTTATCTAGCACCACTACCCGGTCATCAGGTAAAGTCACGATTCTTTGTATTTCGATCAATCTATTCTTTCTATCCCCTGGAATTCTGGAGGAGACGCTTTTTATATACGTTGCCCCAAGTATTACATCAGACGATTCAGGAGTCGGTGGTGGTGCCGAACTGGCGGTTTTAATGTCCCATGTCGACTGGTTAAGAAGGTAAATTACATGGTGAACTTCTTTGAACTTCGTGGATTTGTGATGGTTGTAACAATTCTCGCAAAATAAATCCCTACACAAAACACACACCGCAACACCGTCCGGACACTTACACGGATCACAGGTTTTCACAACTTCTATTGTCGTCGAATTCTCGTCGGGAGGCAGTGCCAGTTGCAAATGATCATGTGGCTGGTGACGTAAAGAACAGCTCGGGCAAAAGAACTCTCGGCAATCCAGACAGAAGGTTTCTGCACGCTGAAAATCTCCCTTGCAGCTGTCGCATGTTGTATACTGAGTAGACGACGGCAACATAGAAGGAGATGATCCCATGTTAACAAATCTGTGAAAACATCAGCAAGTATAAATACTGGCTTTGGTTTGGATGATACAAGTACCTCATTATCTCAGTATGGTATAGAATTGAGTGAAAAAGTCTATTTTTTTTACCATATATTGTGAACTGAATGGAGGACATTCATAACTTTACAAAAAGTTCAAGTCTAAGCTGTATGGTGCTAAGGCGAAGTTTATTTTGATACATGGTAAACAGGGAGGAATACGAATACATACAATAACACCATAAAATTATCGTCAGATTTGTTCAACTACCGGTCACTAATACTGATTCATCATCTCGAAGATTGTAGTTTCTTTACATCAGAATTTTGAATTCCTTCAATACCAACTTCAAGATACTTTCATCTGTATTGGCACGATAGCATCTGATCATGAGCGACAGGTTTAAGCAACTATGGCATAAAATTAATGCAAACTTGGCTGATATGATAATGGCATTGTCTCAACTCCGTCGTGAATAAGGAAATCAAAAAGTTGTATATTAAAATAAAATTAGCTATTCTGGCTACAAAATTAATCAATGTTTCTCATGCGGTAAGCAACAATTTTAAAACACTTTGGAAGCTCCGAAAAAAACCCCATGAAATGTATTGAATTCAATTTACCATATTGCTTATTGATTGATATGTCATTGAGCTAATGCATGTGTGCCTTTGATACTGTTCGTAGTTTTTTTCAGTTGACAATGGCAGAGACATCTGATATAATACTCAAATGACTAGCAATACATAGGAAGGGTTCCAATTTTGGCCATTCTGAGGTCTCTACGTAGAAAGCCTTATTTAGTTCTGCAGGAAGATTCTTCAATGTCAGCAAGATAAAGTATAATATTCAAAACCTCAGATTTTGTGTATGCATATAGATGATTTGGGTGTCAAAGTGATGTGCTGTTAAATGTGAACTTGCATCCTAAAATCTTACAAACTAAATTCTGAAGTAGACTCTTCTACAGCATCCTCTTACCTCGATCTTTTCCTACAACGAAACCATGAAGGATATGTTCCCAACAATCTGTAAGACAAACGTGATAATTTTAATCTTTCTATTCCAATTTTTTCATGTCTAGATAGCAACATCCATATATCGCTAACGTATGGTGTTTACATATCGCTAACGTATGGTGTTTACATATCGCTAACGTATGGTGTTTACATATCGCTAACGTTTGGTGTTTACATATCGAAGTTGACTCGATACTCAATTGTTTTTTTTTTTCCAGTTCCAAGATTTTCGTGGAAGATGTCGGCAACTGATAAACAAGGGATAAAGTTTGATGAAGATTATATGAATGTTGTTATTTTACTACATAACAGGGTGTTGTTGTTTTACTACATAACAGAATGTTGTTGTTTTACTACATAACAGAATATTGTTGTTTTACTACATAACAGAATGCTGTTATCTTATTACACATCTAACTGTTGTAACTTTATACGTGACCCCCACCACTTATCCATGTTGTTGTGTTAAGACATATCTGAACCTACACCAATTGTTTTAGTTACATATCATTTAATTGACATTAAATTCACACACCGGACTGCTGTTTCCTACTTACCTTAGTGTGGTTTTATACTGGCTAGTATTCTTAGCTAACTGTCCAGCTTCTTAACCGTCAAAAATATTACAGCAACATATCTTCTTTTATATAATGTTACGTTGATAAGATTCCTAGTGAAGAATCTATCAATGATCCGTCTTCTTACGTATACAACATGTTACTTCTGTGGTAATTAAATTAATGTATTTTGTACTGAGCATAGCAATATCGACCCCTTCAACAAACTATGAATGTCTTTTGTATGTATTAAACACAAATATTATACACTGTAAGCGGGACCTGTGTACACAACTAACCAACCAAAACAACTCTAGTTCAACGTTGCCATTCCCAATCGTTTATAATGACCAAGATTCAAAGGAGGCCGATCAACCGTATAACTGGTACACACATGCATATCAGGACGAGGATATCATTGTAGTTCCATCTATGAAGGACAATGTCTAAAGCAAAAATGTGTTTAAAAAGCTAACAATATATTAATAAAATCCAATATATGAGTATTATTCTCATATCCCAGGGATCATGTGAGGGAAATCTAATATGATCTCTCCGATTCATCTACAGTACTGATATGTCAGTGTAGCAGCACAGTATAGGGGAGACAAACTGCGGTTAGATGTATCATTAATTTATGTGAATGAGACATTTCAGAAAGTCTTAACGAAGAAATTGATTTCATACGTTTTTTCGTGTTGATATGTTATTTTTAGTTTCGCAGACCAAACTACGGTACAGTATTGTCCGGAATGCTAAACTCACCTTGTTTTAATAATGTGTAAGAAAATAACCCAAGCTATCAGTTAATTCCGTTCATTTCAACAGAATTCTTTATCAATTTCCTGACATACCAATTTTGCAATGACCTAGTTTTAGTGTGGACAATTCTAATGCATTTTTCATCCGTTTCGATATAATTTGTGCATTTTACGTCATATTCTTCGGTGAAACTTGATAAACGAATAATTATCTCTTTCCTCTGTTTAATTTAACACAAACTCTAGCTCGCTGCGCTTTTCCGGCATTTTATCCACTTAAAATTTACCGGGACTTTACCCGTCATTAACTAAAATAATACATTTATCAATCAACGTAAACGCTTCATAGCGAAATAAACTTGTACGGGGATTAGCACAGGAATAACTAAATAAACAGGTGTTCCGGCAGGGTAAGCAGAAACCGAAATTTTAAGGATGTTAGTGCCATGTCAACGCTATGAATATATATTTGCGTGTTTATTGGTCAATAATTACCTTTTGATGCAGAAATCGGTGTTGAGGAGTGGAAAGGTTAGTTACGACAAAATACACGCTTTGTAACTTCAAAATGTCAGCAGATGTAATAGGTAAATACATCAATGCCCATATTTGAGCACTATCATTGATAATAGACGTACAAGCCACCAAATCGACAAGGAGCGTGCTTTCAAAACTGTCGAGTGTCATACTAGAAAATCTTAGGCAAAGCATGTTCATTTTTTTCCAAGCATTTTCCGAAAATTATTGGGGGATATCTTCAAATAAATGTTTCTAAAAGAAATAGACATACATTATACCTCAGAATATACGCCATCTCATAAACTGAAAGAACGGTCTCATAATTTGGAGTATGAATGTCATGGTAATGTCTAATAACTCTGCTATTTCCTCGTGTCTTTAATAGTTTTTTGATGAGTGTAAATGTATGCTGGTAATCAATAAAACGTGTGATCGGAAGCCTACCGGAAAAAGAAATATCCAGGGTCGAATCTCTAACGGGAAAAATGGCATCATTTAATTTCTTGTTTTTAACATCTTTGTAACAACATATCTAGACTCTGGGTGGTGGATAGTGAGAAATTCTTCTGAATATTGTACTTGTACATATCCGTTGGATCAATGGACCAAATCCCACAAAATAACATAAACAACATCCAAAATTGTTAACAAATTGTATACTCTCGGGACTTCATTGTTTCCATACAGTTCAGTTTTGGAGAATGACTATGATATAGCTACATTTAGATACTGGCATCACAATAGTGTTTAATACGCTCTCGGTGTCCCTCTCCCATATGGTGAGTATTCTTTGTAGTATTTTTGGTAATGATTGAAAACCACAACTTTATTGAATCAAATATTGCCATATCCCGATGACTCTACATTTCTAAGAAGGATTATATGCGAGATTCAACATGATTTAATGGCCTTTTCCTTAACTTAGACAGAGATGTATCTATCACGTCTCTGATTTAGACCAGGAATAGCGTTGTAGCTAATTTTACTTCTCCTCCAAATATTCACAAAATTACAGCCATTTCAGAAAGTTACATAATGTACCACTGAAATGATTTTCTGATAATCTCAACATTATTATTAATCTTGACTACGTCAATTTATTAGACATCAAAACACTGGCATGCTTTTCAGCATGTCAACTCAACAAGAATGATTCCTTCAGAATAAAAAAAGGTCTCTACCAACAGAATGTAACGCATCGCTTTAGTTTTGTAGTTTCCTCCGCAAACACATAATTTATCACGTGACTTTGGTTATGGCATAAAAGTCACGTGACTTGTAATCGTTCAAAATGGCCGCTGTGTTGTGAAATAACCAGGCAGTATTAACACGTGTAATACACAGTCGATACATCCCTATACATTGCTGTGGATTTTTCAGTACATTGAAACATGGAAGCACCAGACGACGATATTTTCGATGAAAATGCCACTGAGGTGATGATTGGATCAAGAGATTGGAAGAAAATGGAATCGAGTTTAACTAAGGTGCGGTACATGTATCACATCAAATAAAAATTGTAGCTTGTCCGTATATTCTGTAGTTGTTTTGTTAAGGTATGCCATGGTCTTGTTTCTATGTAAAATTGTATTGGTATCAATATCCGGCATCCCCCTATCCCGGCAACACAACGCTGTCTGTGCCACTACATTAAATTTGCAAGTGTGTCTAGTTGAGCGAATTGACTGAACATTTCTGTCTCTAAATTGATAATTTAATGGCAATATTCACTTTTAATATGCTGTATTAGTATTAGATTATCATTTTATAGATTTTTTTCTGTCTATTTAACAACTTGCTTGATCGTGGTGTTATAATACCTTTCACAAGTTAATAAATTTATGACATTTGACGTCATGTAAAAATTGCTGCAGTAAATCTAATCTGATTATATGATATCTATAAACATTGCATGGATGTAAAGGAAATTTCAGCTGTGATTATGAATTCAAATTTGTATTTCAGCTTGGTTACCGAGATGGAATAGCAGAAGGCCAAGAAATTAATGTCCAGGAGGGTTTTAACCAAGGTTACAAAGCTGCAGCATCACTAGTTTTCAGTATTGCTGTACTACGAGGGGAAATAAGGTATACCTAAGTATTATACAGCTGCAACATTGCTGGTTTTTGGTATGGGTGTGTTACATTTCAATGCCTCTGCTAGGAACTGAAGCCTCGACCCCTGGCTTACTAGTCTGAAGCTCAACCAATTAAGCTGAAGAGAAGTTCTCTCTAGTCGAGGGTATAGTGCTAGTTTTTAGTATAACAGTACGTATACGCCAAGGGGAAATAAATGTAATAATGTTGCAGTGTTGCTGGTTGTCAGTATAGCAGTATTCCAAAGGGAAATGATGTATAATTAAATGTTCTAATGCTGCATTGTTGCAGAGTTTCAAGAAAGGTTTATTGCAGGGAGATATAAGGTATGATTAAGTGTTACAAAGTTGCAGCATCACCCATGGCTAGTTTCAGTGTGGGTGTATTGTGGGTAGAAATAAGTAATTGTTAAACAGCTGTGCATCATTACTGCTGCAATGAGAAAAAGGCATGAGTGAGATAAAGCTGTAGCATTGCTAGATTTTACTTGCCCACCATCTGATATTCAGATTGCTGTACATCCGTAATCTGTTGTCAGTCCATACATAAACGATTTTTGTTAGCGCTATTTCTTGAGAAGTACTTGATGAACCTTTCTCAAATTTCAGGTGTAGGTTCTTCTTGGCCCCTAGTTTTACCATTTGAATTCGGGACTGATAGAAAAAACAATGTGGCTTCCAGGCAGCCATTTTGGATTTGGCAGTTAAAGATTATTATTGCTATTTCTGCAAAGATCTGTTCATTTCTTATCATTAAGAGCAAAACCAGAGAAGAGAAAAGGGGGGAAAATATCCAACTTTCAAAGAAAAAATAAAGATTAAACAATAGTTGGCACCAAGATCTCTCTGGGATCTTTCGGTATAGCTGTATTGCAAGGAGTATAACTGTCTTGAGAGGAGAAGTGAGGTAGAAGTGATAACTGCTGCCGTGTCACTGGTTTTCAGTAAAGCTGCAGAGAGCAATAACTTTCCTCTTATCTGCTTGTTTGGCAATTCATTAGTAAATTATCATATATTATTAAATCTGTGTGCTAGTGACTTAACCTGGTATTTATCATTTTTAGAGTTTTACATAGAGTTAAATTAGTTATGGAAGTTGAAGATATTATTGTATAAGATAGTCTTTAATTTACAATTCTAGTTCATCATTATTCTACTGATCTTTTCTATTACATTCTTCATTGCAGTGCAATACTGTCAATGAAACACATTCAGAAGACAGATATGGACAAATCTATGGAAGCTGAACTGGAGAAGCTCCTACAGGAAGTTCGTGACTTAGAGCAGAGTTGCATGAAAACAAGCATGGAGGCTCAGGTACAACAAGCTAAACAAAATAGTCAGTATGAGGCCCTATGTGGCACAGAGGTCAACAGCGTCACAGAGACACAAAGTGACACAGAGCTCAACAGTGGGGTCTCAGAGACACAAAACGAAACTGAGGTCAATAGGGTCACAGTGGCCCACAGTGACACAGAGGACAACAGGGTCACAGAGGTCAAGGAAGACTCTAGCCAAAAGGGCAATTGTGGAGATTGTAAATGTAATAAGGAGGCTTCTCTTGATCAAGAATGTGGTCAGAATTATAATGTCCAGAGTCATTTAGTACAATCGGACATTCATGGACAGTTGTCAGCTTCCTTACTGGATACAAAAACTATGTTAGAAAAGTTATATGGACGTCTGAAGGACGTCATGGAATCACAAGTGAAATGAATTTCTGATATTTAAGCTGTGTCCATGCTTATCTAAATTTAGGTAAGGTATCATACCTTCAGACAGTAACATTGACAAATATTGGTGTGCTGCAATGTACTGTTGGTAAAAGACGAAATGTAATTCAGCAAACTAAGACAAAATACAGAGGAATGTTATATGGAGTATGTGTACTTTTAAATGTCATACTTTCCAAGCATTTTTATTTCCGCCAATCAACTGTTACATAATGTAAATGTATATAAATATAAATACATCACAAGCCTAACTTTAAAGGGAAAATATTTGTCATGTGATTTAAAAAAATATAAATAATAATAAAAAAATGTTGTCTTTGCAAAAAAGCATTTTTTTTTCAAATAATGGTGAATTTGACCCAAAATGATGGAAATGATGAAAACACATATTTCAACTTGAACTTAATAGTCAAAAATTTCTTTAGCAAATATGTAACTGATTGTAGACGTTGATACAGTGTAACTGTCTGTAGATGTCCATGATATAGTGTAACTGATTGTAGACGTCCATGATCCAGCGAAACTGACTGTAGATGTCCATGATATAGTGTAACTGATTGTAGACGTCCATGATCCAGCGAAACTGACTGTAGATGTCCATGATATAGTGTAACTGATTGTAGACGTCCATGATCCAGCGAAACTGACTGTAGATGTCCATGATACAGCGAAACTGACTGTAGATGTCCATGATACAGTGTAACTGTCTGTAGACGTCCATGATATAGTGTAACTGATTGTAGACGTCCATGATACAGTGTAACTGTCTGTAGATGTCCATGATATAGTGTAACTGATTGTAGACGTCCATGATACAGTGTAACTGTCTGTAGATGTCCATGATATAGTGTAACTGATTGTAGACGTCCATGATACAGTGTAACTGTCTGTAGATGTCCATGATATAGTGTAACTGATTGTAGATGTCCATGATATAGTGTAACTGATTGTAGACGTCCATGATATAGTGTAACTGATTGTAGACGTCCATGATATAGTGTAACTGATTGTAGACGTCCATGATATAGTGTAACTGATTGTAGACGTCCATGATATAGTGTAACTGATTGTAGACGTCCATGATATAGTGTAACTGTCTGTAGATGTCCATGATATAGTGTAACTGATTGTAGACGTCCATGATATAGTGTAACTGATTGTAGACGTCCATGATCCAGCGTAACTGACTATAAATATCCATGATACAGTGTAACTGACTGAAGATGACCATGATACAGTGTAACTGTCTGTAGATGTCCATGATACAGTGTAACTGACTATAGATGTCCATGATACAGTGTAACTGACTGAAGATGACCATGATACAGTGTAACTGTCTGTAGATGTCCATGATACAGTGTAACTGACTATAGATGTCCGTGATACAGTGTAACTGACTGTAGATGTCCATGATACAGTGTAACTGACTATAGATGTCCATGATACAGTGTAACTGACTGTAGATGTCCATGATCCAGTGTAAATGACAATAGATGTCCATTATACAGTGTAATTGACTGTAAATATCCATGATACAGTGTAACGGTCTGTAGATGTCCGTGATACAGTGTAACTGTCTGTAGATGTCCATGATATAGTGTAAATGACTGTAAATGTCCATGATACAGTGTAATCTTGTCATTTTCTTCTTTTTTGATTACTAGTATATGGCAATATCTCCTTTGAACTAAATCATAACATAAATGTGTTACAAATTCATCATTCCCATAACTATTTCAATAAGATAATTTCCTAAGGAATGACACTAGCAGAAATAAAGGGACTTGTCTGATATTGGAATGATTACGAACATGTTCAATGGAATATTCAACTTGTATTAGTATTATTTCATGTCTGTTTGAGAACTTCAAGTATATAGTATACACACACCACATGCTAAAAGTTTGTTTTTCTTTCACTTGTGCATTACAGATTTGATTCTGATGTTTAGATTAAGCACTTAGAATACCAAAGATCTACTCTAGTATTCTATACTGTATGTATGGATGGATATCAAACAGGTTCTATTGATGGCTTTAGATAAATGAAGAAAGATATCAGATTGTGTAAAGTGTCAAGGTCATGTAATATACTGAAGGCTGTATACGTCTAATGGAAGATAACAGTACTTCTATGAACTTAACCTCTGATGTCTGAAAATACTTGTAAATCATGTTTACTGACGAGGACAATCTAGATACAGATGAACAATGTATAAAATATGTATAGGTCTGCACTGAATAACTTAAGAAGAGCCATTTTTAACTTGGCCCTAAATATCCACATACTTTACATGTATCATCATTCTTAATGTGTCTGAATATCAAGAACAAGCAAGTCCAATTTTCAGAAAATAAACATCCTTTAATATTGATATATACACAATTTTCATAACAACATTTTTGATTGGCTAGATGATAATGCTCTGTCAGCTAAAGAAACTCGCTCTTTCAATAATGCCTGGTCCTTTACTTCTGAAGAACTTTTCTTCAAAAGGAAATGTTGCATAAACAATTTGAGTCCTTCGTGTAACATGTGCAGTTTGTTGAGAGGTGCAATCCGCATAAAACATGCTTCAGTCACATGATCAGGGTAATCCAATAGGAGCCCTCGTAACACTTGCTTCATGAAACGAACCATGATTTTGTCCAAGCCTCCAAATTCTACAACCTGTAATTGCATGAAGTGTCATCAATATTTTGTCTCATATTTTTAGTAGACAAAATATAACAATGAAGCCAATGTAACAAATATGATGTTATAAAATTAGTTATCAATATTTCAAATATTTAAATTTATGTCAACAGACAACTGAACAAGATTGGACACTAACAAAGAGGTTACATATACTCTGTGTTATCTTAAGGGAAATCCATTAACATAGGATTGATAGAATATTGAGGAACATGAAGGAGATGAATCCCCAGCTGTTCAACATGAAAATGCATTTTTTTTGTATCTGATAACTTAAGGATCTTCTCCAAGCACTTGTACTACAACATGCCCCATTAATAAATTACGTTCATTAATCTGTCTTAAAGAATTTTCCAGGAGAACTTGAGGTTTTGGAAAAAAGTCTAGAGACAAGTTATTTCCCCTTGAGATGTATCAATAAATAAGTATATTGTTGTGACATTACAAACCTGCCATGTTTTAACAAACTAGTAATGAGATACTTGCCTTGAACAATGAGAGAGACACAGCCTTGGTAGCCAAGAGATGTAACACAGTCCGTGCAAGGTTGTCACGGTTACACTCTGACAGGTTACTCATTTCCTTAAACTTGTCCCACATTGTGAACTGGAATGTCATCTGAATAAAATGATATCGACATTAGATGTTTCCTCACAATATGTAAAGGATCTTTTGTAAGTGTCACTGTTAAATGGAATTTATTAAACAAGTTCAATAATGGGATACATTGTGAGCAAGTGATATATCAAATGATGTACCAAGTATAATAAATTCAATATTACATAGACACATGCAAGATTCTATTCATCATATAACTAACTCTTCTGACTGAAGACTGACTAATTTCTACTGGAATGGTACTGTTTTCACTTGTGAGGCAATCATGTGATATCATGTGCTACTTATTTATAATATCAATAGTGTTATTTCATGTGTGTTACTATATTTATAACATGACACACCAGGCCAGGTGAAGGACATTTTACTAGGATATTCCATCTCAAATCCAACTCCTTTCTCAAATCCCAATGTTTTTTTTTCATTGAAAAAATCCTTAAGCTTGAAAATTTGAAACCAGATAACTGTTATACACAGGAATAGAATTGGTCGGAACACAAGTCTCTCAGATAGGAACTTGCAAACAATACCTGAAACCTGCGGTCATATTCACAGAACTTTTGTAGTAGGTAGGCATAGAATGGGTTAAATGATTTCTCTTGCTGGCAGCAGTCCAGGATAACATTGATTATTTCCCTTTCCTGTTGATGTTTCAGTCCGAGTCTTAACAGTCTCTCAAATGCATCTAAATAATCCTGTAATATCAAGACGTACTGTTATTCTTTGCTGCTTCGGGAAGCATCTCCTGAAACTGTTGAACTTTTATCCACACAGAGATGTCAATGTATGTACTTGATGATTTTTTTGCTGCACATACTGTCCATAAGTATAAATCATTGCCATTTAGCGTTAAGTAACCTTGTCTAGTTAAAAAGCTATATAAAAGGAAATTCTACAAATGAGCACCTCAATTGTCTCAACTAGAGAAATATAATGTGTATCACTACCAAATATTTAGCTGTATGTTTATATTTAAGTCTACTACCTCACTGGACATGATGGTGCAGAAAATGTTACGACGGATATCGGTGTTCATCCTCTGTTTCCGTGCCAACTCTAGGATCTTACTGCTGCTATTCTTGGCGATATCTAATGACTGGTTATTGTCTGTGGTCTTAGCAGCCTCCTCTGTAAAGGGAAGCAATCCATGATGTAAAACCAAATCATGCAATTCTTTATTTAAACAAATTAAGTAAGTGTTCACATACATGAAGATATACAACTAAATATGTTTAGAAATTCTTGAGATATCTTGTAAACAAGTCTTATATCACAAGAGGTAAAGTGCAACTTTTAACCTTTTAACCTTGACTGGTGGTTGATCGATGACCTAAAAATAAATCCAGTGCAGATCAAACTTGTGTTGCTATGGTGTTGATATGAAAATATGTGAAGGGTTTCATCAGATATTTTGTACACTGTTACAAGCTTGTGTGACGATTACGGTGACTACCAAAATCTGAATAGTTGAACTTGCTGGTGTAATACTACAATATAAATAAATCTGTTAAGGGACTTATCTTGTACACAAGCTTTTATTTCAATCATCACCAAACTCCTACCAAGTGTAGATCTGCACGGTTTGATGTATGTGAACTGAATCTTTTGAGGAACTTGCATGTTTCTTGCTTCAATTATGTGACTCACCTGTACCCAATTGTTGTTGGTCTCGTCCAGTCCAAGCTGACCCCACCACCCACCATCGTCCTTTAGTACCTGCCTGGAGAAGATCTTGCAGACTGATGCGCAGCTGCCCCACTCCAAGGCCTTGACCTAGAAATCAACAAGATCACATCAATTAATTTCATTCAATATAAACATGTTAATAAAAACATACATATACAAAAAAAGAATAATTGTCAGTTGTGTTCATTGACACTGAGAAAATTGAATTCCATAAAAACATCAAAGCCATTTATGAGAAACACGATATAGTATACAAATAAAACATTTAAAACTTTACTACATTTCAATCACCAAATTGATGTGTTTGTCTGTCCTCCTAGTCAAGGATGAAAACATCAAACACTTCACAGAAAATTCATTGTCATCTTTAATGTTGATGCATGATGAAGAAAAAATGGCAGTATTGTGATCCATAGGCCATACCTCGTAGATAAACTCGTGTTTGTTTCTTGAGCTGTTCAAAATGGTCTGGATCATAGTTTGGGATTTTCCTCATGTTGTTGTTTTTAATGGCTAACAGTGTGTCTAACATGAAGCGAACACGAGTCTGCTCCTCAAAGTGACTAGTGTCAACATCTTTTGCCTTTGTCTGAATGTCCTGGATGACCTGTTTCAGCAATACCGGGTCATCCTTTCTCAAGCTGAAGCCTACATCTGAAACAGTCACTCATTTCAGTTAATCTAAATACCAACAAGACATCCAAACAAAACAGGCTATTGAAAGTATTCTTGTTCAGTCATGTTTGAAAATAGACAAAAAGAAAAGTGGCTGCCAATAGTGTAATGTACATATCATTTCATGGTACATCGTCCTATATTTACACCAATCATTCCATATGGATCGTTCATGAGGTTTTCACTTACTCTTTAACAGAAGAAGCAACAGTTCAATATCCTTCTCCTGAAAGGCTTCCACAAACTTCTTGATCAAATCCATTATGAGTATATTGTGTATGATCTGTTCAGAAAGGTAAAACAAGTACATTTCATTAAGAAATTGACATACATACAATAATGTACAACTGAAAGGAAATGATGAAGTTGGAGGTCAATATAGAGCTACATAACAGATTTTAATTCAATTAAATCTAATCTATTGATCAAAAGTCTTTAATCTTTGTACCTCTTATAAGTCACATCATCATTGAATAGCAGAGCTTCTGAAATACCTCTATCCTCTATGTATGTATATCTGACTTGACAATGAAATTAAGACATATTTAGACTTTGAGTGGTTAATAATATAAGATTTATGTCCCTTCTCACAATTCCACAATTGTATAAGGTACATAATTACGTAGCTTGTTGTAAGGATTCCATTTGCTCAAAAACATGGCTGTAGTTACAAATGTATTCCACAACTAGCTTCAATCTGAGGGTTACATCAAAATTTCAGTATGAACTTATAACAATGAGTTTAGAGCATGATATATTGGACACTTTCATTTACAATTCATTACAATGTGAAGCCATACAGGTAGCAGACATTTCTAATTTTAATATCATACTCTTAAGGATTGTATAAGGTTGTAAAAGTTGGATGCATTTGAAAAAAAGATTACTTGAAAAATATGAGATTTTGATTTTCCTACAAGCTTTGTAAAAACTCAAGCTGTGAACCATTGAATAAAGCAATAATTATTTTACTTTGAATCTATGGAGGTAGATTTTTTGTTATATGAACTCACTTTAAAGTTACAGAGGAAGGAGACACTCATTGATATTAACTCACTTTACAGATAAAGTACAAGAGATATTTTTTGTAATAATATTAACTCACTTTAAAGTTATAGAGGTAGGAGAATAGCAGCACCATGTTGTCCACTTCCTTACCCTCACCATACTTTTCTGATTGATTACAGGAAGATGAGAACCTCTCTGCCAGTGTCTGAGTGAATGTTGCACCTGACGATTAATATAAAACTATTCATTCATCGAGTTAGTGAAAGTGGTTAAAGTTTGACTTCTTCCTGAATATCATAGTATCAAACAACTTTCATGGACTTTATCACTGCAATATTGGTTGATAGAGAATAAAAAAGGAAATCTGACATTCCAGAGCAGGACTTTCTATTATGAGAACAAAAAACATCTCTACTTCTTGATTAGCGATGATATCATTTTGTATATGCAGCACAAATCAAACCAACAGATAACCTGAAGGATTATGACCATCTGTTTGAAGTTTCATTTTCTGTCTTTGTCTCTACTGTGATTGAGACCAAGACAAAATTTATATTGTGGATAGATTGTCAGAACACTCGAGACTAACCATCAGACTGAGCAATAGATTTTAAAGATTGAGTATAGAAATCAATCATTCTAATTTCAACACATGTAAATAGATGACCTTACATAAGTATCGTTGTTATATGGAACTGATTCAACAAGTTTAATAATCTGGTATGTCATGAGATTGTTGGCAAGTCACATCAAATTACATTTGTTTTCAAGGAAACTAATAAATTCCATATTACATCAGCATGAGTGTAAGATTCTATTCATCATAAATAACTATTTCTGAAAGATAAGCAAAATCTTTAAAATTTAAATTTCATTTATGTCATCGATATGTGACTTATTTATGAAGTCACAATAATGTTATTGCACATGTCTTACAATATAAATTACATGGCTGTATGACAACGGGCTGCTTATGTGATAAAATACTGAATAATGCCAACATTGTTCATCATAGATACATTCATATTCAATTGAATTCAACTTTATTAGCACAATAATAACTACAAGTTATGACCAACACAAACAGCATAGAAATACAAATTAAAGTTAACAAATGTTAAGCCAAATCATACTAAATCGAACTGGTTCTAGACCTGTATTCCTCAGCTCTAATGACTTTTAAATAACAGATAGTGATTTACATTGTGTCTAATAATTACTTTAATATAATACTTAGACATTTTTCTTACTCTCAGTTCCATTGTGATATACTTGTATCCTTATTCAAACAAGTTTCCGACTTGTTTGACATGTTATACTGTACACAACACCTGGTAAGATATCTCCTTCACCTACCCACTTCCATGCCCACATTGCCATGGAGAATCGCTAACAGCATCATTAGCTCCATGGCCAGCCTCTCTGGTGTGATAACAACAGAGACACAGGCATCCAAGATGATTCCAGCCAGTGTTTCATTCATTTCTGCTCTGCTGTTAGTGCGATACATCTCTTCAATCTGAGTACTGATGGGATTGATGTTGGCCTGACTAACCCTGGTGAAACCAAAGACAAATGAGTTCAGGATAGAAACTGATAATGACCATATATTCATTCTATCCTCAACTACTAGCTACCATTCACTGGCTCATTCCTGGCTTTTGGAAAGTATCTGTACTAGAGTACATTGAGATAAGTGATTTTGACTTAGATTTTTTTAAGTCCTGTAGAATGGGGACCAAAACTTTTACTTTGGCATTCAATATCAATAAGAGAATAATGCCTCAAGTCTACAAAATGATTTAAAAGTACCTGTTAACGAGACCCTTAAGTTGTTTCCGTAGCCTGTCTAGTCGTAGCTTGTGTTTTTCATCATTTCCTGCCATGGCAAGGCGCTTTCCTGGAGGTATGTATGTCCCACTGACAGCTGAAGTTTGTACAACATTGCCTTGTGCATCTCGTAAACGGCCATATATATCTTCCTTCAACTCTTGCATTTCCTTGAGACTGGTATCCTCCTCCTCCTCCTCAACATCCTCCTCATCGTCTTCCTCTTCACTTCCAAAACTGTCATCACTAAAATCAAGATTCTCACTGCTGTCCATCCCAGAAGTTTCAGAGTGAGATTTCTTTGCAGTAACACTTTCTGGGAACTTAACATGTTTCTGTTTCACAGTTGCTATGGATTTCTCACTAGACTTTAGAATTGACTTAATATCAGATGGCATTGATGAAGTCTGCTCTACTTCAAAGATTTTTTCATTTTCTTCATTTTCAAGTTCATCTTCATCCATTTCATCTCCTTCACTGAATTCTTCCTCATTCTCATAATCTTCATCCTCATCATTTTCATCCTCATCTTCATTTTCCATATCTGCCTCCAATCTTGCTTTCTTTTTCTTATGTTTTAACCAATTCAGATCTATAAGATACAGACAATAAAACAGACCGCATTGAAACTTCAGTCAAATTGTTTCATTCCTTTAGTGGTTTATCAAAGTAAGTAAAGGCTTATATGTCTATTGTATACAGATAATCCATTTCACCGAAACTGAATCATTTTCAAATATATCATAATATTATTCAACAAAGGAAATGTTTATAGTAATATCAATATAGACACATACAAAACTCAAAAGATTGACAGTTAATATTAGACAATACAACTGCCAACAATAATTAAACCTCATTACAGATTAAATTGTCAATACCTGCATCCTCCAGGTCATCTTGGTCACTGTCTGAGTCCATGTCATCTTTGAAATCTTGCTTCAGTTTGTCTCCATCTACTGCATCTAGAATAACTAATTACAAGTTAAGAATTATAACAACTTAGTTTTTACCATAAGCACCATAGATATAACAATGGAGGAAATAACAAAGAGATATAAGATATCAGGCAAAACAGTTTCAATTTGTCCTAACAGGATGTGTATAACAACTGTTTGTAATATGATCACCACTTTGTATTTTACAGACTTTGAAAATTGTGTGGTCTTTGACCTTTAACCTTGACCAATGCCACTAAATTCCAATATGGAGTTGAACTTGATAGTTTGTTGTTAACCTGTGAATAAGATGTGAAATTGTTCAACGGCTCATGAGATATCTTGTACACAAGTTTTTCTTATTTCAGAAATTGTCAAGGATGACATTTGACCTTTAAGCTTGAGTGATAACCACTAAAATCTAATAAGGTATAAACCTTGGTTAGGTGATGCTATGTTATACCTTGAGGTTTCTCATCACCATACGTTTTACCTGATTCAGGTGTAACACAGAGAAATGTTTCAGAAATACTTTCTCAAGGTGGTGATTTAAGTTTGAAATATTGCAATAGATTTTTATCAAAATTAAAAATGCTAATATCACTGACAAACTTCTTAAAACCCTGTTTTATCTGTAATAACACATTACCTAATACCAAATAAAACCTAAATCATAAAAAATGTAGGATACAGTCAAGTCCATCAGAGAGAAATGATTGTGGAAGTGTCTTCCTCTTCCGTTTGTTTAGGTGAAGCTGTTTCTCTAGCTGTTTCAACATGCGTTCTTCCTGTCGTATCTCCTGTTCCATGTTCTTCTTCCTTATCTCTGCTATCTACCAATAACAATTTTGGGATATTTTGCTATTAAAAACAGTAGGTTTCATACTAGATTGCTGTTTTAGCACCAAGAACAAGGTCAAATTTTATTGTAAATTATTCATTGCTACACTTTGAGAGCTGCAAATATATTGTTAGTATATGATTTTAAAGTTAGAAAAAAAAATAACTATAAAGAACATAAAGAAAAAGGAATGATTCAATGTGTAAAATCTTAATATAGACAGGGTTTGGAAATGATACAATTTGTAAAATTTTAATATAGACTGAGTTTGGAAATAACACAATTTGTAAAATTTTAATATAGACAGAATCTGGAAATGACACAATTTATAAAATCTTAATATAGACAGGGTTTGGAAATAACACAATTTGTAAAATTTTAATATAGAAAGAATCTGGAAATAACACAATTTGTAAAATTTTAATATAGAAAGAATCTGGAAATGACACAATTTGTAAAATCTTAATATAGAAAGAATCTGGAAATGACATAATTTGTAAACGACAGCTGTGATGTTACCTTTTCCTTCTCATCCTTCTTTTTTTCTTTGGCTTTTTTCTTCCTTTGCTTGATTTTTTCTTTGATTTCTTTCTGTTTCTTTTCTTTTTCAACTGTCTTTTCCATTCTTGCTTTTGTCTCTAATGTAGGCATCTTAACAGAATGATAGAAACTTTGTGAAGTATAATTAAATCCATTACATACAGATATTGTACAGACACTTTTAAAGTCAATATTTTCATAATGATAAATAAATTAAACATACCAACTACTTATCCTGTGACTTGATCTCACTTTCTGCAGTTGGAGTCGAAGCTCTACCACTACCAACCTTACTCTCTAGTTTCAGTTGACAGTCTACCATAACCAACTGTATCTGGAACCCCTACTACTACAAATTGTACTTTTCTAAATTCCCACCCTACTACTACCTATTGTACATTCATACTCTCTTGGTGTATGCCTTACCACCATATACCAACTGCACTCTCATGATAGACACTCTGTCACTACTATCTAGGCCTACATTCACTACGTTATGCCCTACTACTGTTGCCATGTACCTGTATGTACTCTCAAGGCTCAAAGTTCATGTAACAGACTTAAGTCTGTTTTAAAATTTCATTAAACAGACTTAAGTCAGTTTCATAATCCCATGGCCTAATGGATGCTCTATCACTACCAATGGTATTCACAACTTAAACACTTTTTTCATATTGACACTTCTGTTTTACAGCCTCTAATTATATGATAATTCCGAAAATTCATTATTTTTTTAAAGCATGACTTAAGGTTCTTGTACAATTATGATATGGTAAAAGCTTTAGTTGAAATAAATGATGAACTACAAATGCTTGTCATTACATCAACACGAGAAAACATCTAGAAAGAAAACACATAACGAACATAGAATTTGTACATATAATCAAATATTCCACATCAACTTTGTAGTGACTTATGGCCATGCTATTCGATAGACCACTTGCACTCAGCTCAATGGTGAAAAATATAGATACCTCCCGTTTTTTAACGGTGTATAAACGGAACGTTAATTATTAGCTCGGACTTGGCTTTATCCGTACTAATGGTGGACATCTATCGAATATGTTAAATTTTTTATTGTAAAAGCATATTTTCATTACTTATTTTCCGATACTGTCAAGTGTGATCTTACTGGCTTGTGTTGGTTAAAAGCAAGCCTCCTGGCCTTTTTAAGCTGTTTCATCTCCTTTCGTTTTTGCTTTCTTCCTTTGGTTTTTTTCCCTTGTGAATATCCATGCCGCTCTGATCGTTTGGCTTCACCACCAAACAATTCGGTTATTTCAGTTCTAAAACGCTTTAAGTTTTGGGGGTCCTTCCTAAACACTTTCCGTTTCAGTCCCATGACTAAAGCCAAACAAAACTAAACAAGATCACTCGTGTTAAACTATAACCATGGGCGCAGCCATTACATAAAAGAATTCTAAGAAGGGAAACAATTCGATCAATAGACCCGACGAGTGACGGAAAGTGCCGAATAGCAAAATGTTTATTGTGAATTGTGCGGAGCAAGATACCGCCTGCTTAAAAACAATAAATAAATGCGTCACAGATAACAAAAATCAATCAAGCTCACTGAATTTCGAATTGACTAAAAAATACACTTGGTAGGAACTGTCTCAGAATTTCTTTCCTAGCCAGTTTAAGACGGAACTCAGGATAGCATTCCGGACAAATATGAGTTCAGTATCAAAGTTAAAACAGATTGTTCAGGGAAAACATGCACGACGAAGTTTTAACGAATGAAATAACAACATTTCATCGGACAGACTCGATTTTTTAAAAATAATTATAAAAGATAACGCAAGGTAGGGATAATTTCATGCACGTAGGTGTAAGTGTGTTTTCAGGAAAACCATGATTGCACAAATCAGGGACGTATATAACTGATATCTACGTCCCGGCACAAATATATTATAGGAAATGACTATATTATATATCATAGATATCTGCAATATCATAAAAACTTCCCTAAATATCCACTAATTTGTAGTGCATTATAAGTGGATGCTAGTGAACATTAAAGTGTGTTTCCAATGGCGACCACATTATATTTTGACTAACAATGTTGAAAAATGTCAAGACTTCTTCGGAACTATTTTATGAAAGTCACATGAATCAGTGTGGTACAATCAATCTAAATGATATTTTATGACTACTTTTTTATAATCACTTGTGTTCATACTCCATATCGTGTTTTGGGTGTCCTTTAAAGCCCATCCGTTACTCAAGTAACTGAACAGATCCTGTCCCCGGCGTCACACGCACTATCATTAAAGTGTAAGAAATAATGATGTTACATAATATTAATGTGAATGTCACTATTCATCCAATGTATTTCACAATACTTCAATTTTATAACTTGAGAAAATAAATCAATGATAATAACGGGGGAAGAGTGGGGAGAGCGATGGCTGTTGCCGGAAAGCTTGGCGGCCATCGATTTCACTTGTTCATATTTATTGCTTCCTTTTCATGATAGTAATTACAGGTCAAACAATGGCGGTATGACAGGGGAAGGTCGATGAAGATATGGAACGGACGAGTACTTTTGTTTGCTATCATAATCTCCATGGGAATTTGTGTTACAATGCTTGTTAGTATGTTCGGAGGATTCGTTGATTTACTAACGTGTTTCTCGTTCGTTCCATCCATTATTGCATTTGGCCTTACAAAATGAAGAAACATATCATTTACAACATAGGCGTATACAAACATATAGAGAATAAGATGTACGTATATTTTGATACAACCGCTTAACTTAATATTTCTTGATCGAATAGCTCCATATATATATATATCCAGATATAACATTTTTTGCATTGCGTTCAAGATTAAAGCGTTATTAGTCCATATTATAGAATCGTCCAGACCTTGGATAACTAGTAGGTACATAATGGCGAGAGACCAGAATAAAAGTAACGCGAGGTTAGTCTCATCAATGTATATACAACAATGCATGTGTAGTATAACAAAGAACTGAGCTGACTATTGCCGACAATTTGTCTGAGGAAATAATGCTACATTTTGTAGTACAACTATTTCATGCATGATCACGGATTTACCATAAATTGAATAGGTGTTCAAATTCATATTCTAAACAATAAACTTCAAACTTATCATCTAACAACCGTTAAACCCGAGTCACGAAAACAAACAAAAATAAACTATGCTCTATAACATTGTTTGCCTGATCATACTTTTGAACTTTTTTTTTTTAAATACTAAGAGTACCAAGTACATTATTGGTGAGAACTATGTCAGCATGTTTATTTCGCGTGTCTATTGTCTTCTTCATTTATACCGACAATGGACGACAAACATAAAACAATAAAGATTTAAACGATAATATGTCCGGTCTTTCAACAGCGAACCGCGGCGGACTCGTGTCGATTGATCTAGCAGGTGTGAATCAGATAAGTGAGCAAGCTGAACTTTGACACGAGCACGGCTTCCATTGATACCAATTCAGCCAATCACAATCGTCGTTACATATTACATTTGTTGACCAAACAGGTGCCCCATGGCCGTCGTCGTGTGTAGTCTTGCTGTGTTTTGTGTTGTTATAATACCGTAGTGTGAGGTATCACCATCAGACATTTGTTCAGGAATTTGACACAGGCTCCTAGTTGTAGACAAAACTCTGTCGCAAAGATGGTGAGTATTTTTTAAATCATATATTAAAAAATTATGACAACGTTCGAAAAGGAGAGTCGGTAACTTAGGACGCGAGCAATGGTCTCGATTTCCATGTTTACTTACACCTGATCTGGTCAATGTTTTGAGTAGGACCTTGTCGTTTGCCGCTAATTCTCCTTAAATATTGAATTGTTTTCGCCTTGTTTTAATGGTCGCATAATCAGTATAGCCGCATGCTCTGTGTTACTTTTTTCGGCAAGGCACGTGTTTCGATATATATTTTCCGTAGTTATAATAATGCAGCACATTTTTTTTTATGAAATTCAACAAATCAGATAGGTTTATATGTACAGTTCTGTATAAACATATATATCATGTATCCAGTATAAGTACTATTATCATATCATTAGTCATTATTGTGATTATGTCTTATCTAATATTATATTTATTGTATTAAACTCATATCCATTTTCTATTCTTCAAAATGTCATCCCACAATCTAATCTTGTATTTATCACACTATTTGTATCACTAATTTCCTCTAGTAATGGATCAAATTTGCCTCCAATTCGAACCCCCCCCCCCCAAAAAAAAAAAAAAAAAAATCCAGTATGAAAAATAAATAAAGTAATAAGTAGATAAACAAATAAATAAATAAAAATGAAATGAGTACCTCATGTATTGAAATAGGAACATACAATACAGTCTTTTTATGTCTTGATTATGCAAAGACAAGATTTTATGAAATCTGAATTATAAACAAATGGAATTCCATTTATTTGTTCACAGGACATTTATATACATGAACATCAGATCTTTACCTATTGCACATGCAAACTAAGGACAGGTGCACTTTTCACCTAATATACAATCTATAAGATCATCATAACATATAACCAAGAGATCCTGGTCAATGTAGAAAATATGCTCCTTTTCATGTCTAACTTTCTGACATTGAAGGCATTAGACAAAATTTGGCTGTTAACCAAATTTTCAATACAATGTATAGAAAAGAGAAATGCTTTGGTATATATAGGTGTTGAATGAATCAATTGGATTTATTTGATCTCTTTAATGGGTTTTTTCTAACAATTGTTGACCTTTATGCGTTGTACTAGTCATGCCTCAATCAGAATTATGGTAAACTCCATCATATGATTGATAGACAGATGAGCACAATCTAAAGTAAACAATAAAAACATTTGTGATGAAGATCCACCTGTAATTACAGAATGTTTCCAGCAGGAAACATACTTTTGGTATAAAGCCACCTTCAAGTATATGAATGTCAGAAGGAATGCCAAAAAGTATTTTATCTTTGATATATATAGTAGTTTGATATTTTCTATTGCATTAATTTCTTATTCTTTATAATCTTTTAAACTTTTTAAGTCTTTATTTTTTGTAGGTTATTGACAAGCTTTCAGGATGATGATATTTTAGGAACATTAACTGGACAGATATGTCTATGACATCAGGGACACCCCAGCCCCCAGAACCGGGGGCACCCGACGACAGTTTTAATCAAGGGGTTAGTGTTGCAGGCCGAAGTGCTGCAACTTACTTTGAACGCTTCGGACATTACGAGTGCCAAGAACTGCTAGGATGGCAACAGTCACATTGGATGTTGTCAACAGATGAGTTCAAACATCCAACAGACCCTCCTATGGGGATGATCAGCCAACTGAATCCTGGGAATTCCAACAGTTGTCTAGTGTTGATTCCGGCTGAGGAGTCGGACACACTGCCTCTCGACTACAGAGAGGTACACCAGATCATACAGGAACTGACATTTGGAATATTTGTATTGAACCAGACTCCTAACATTTGTCTGGAGGCAAACTATGACCTGAGTACTTCCTGTCAGATCCCGCCTGCATACATTGACACGAGAATAGGTCAGATACTTGTAAATGTGGACTATATGATGAAAAGCCTTTGGCATGGTGCTTATTTTCCAAAGGATAAACGAACAAAGTTCTCGGAAAGTTGGAGAAGGAATCTTGACATTGATCCAAATGGAAAAGTTGAGAGAATGAAACCACTTCTTCCGGAGTTCTCTGGGGCTGGTAAGATTTTATAATGTGATGATAAATGTCTAAAGCAATGCTAAAAATAGACATATGTCTGATTAAATGGTGATTAACAAATCTGGACTGCTCTTCTTACCTTGGTGTTGCCATGGTCATCAAAAAACCTGGTAATGTTCATTTGGTTGATAGATGGCAGTTGTATAGTACAACTTTAGATATTGTGGAAACTGTTTAACATGGTGTTATGTTTGATAAGTTTATGGACTAAATTGAAAATGAAAGTCATATCTGATTCAATATAGTCCTTTTTTTTATCATGTTTTATGAAATTTGCGTACTTAACAAGTTGTACAGTGTCAGTCAGATGAACTGGGGGCATCATATTGGTAGCTTCAGTGTTGAATAAAATGATATACATATTATGTAAGTAGGATCAGTAGCAAGTAGGATGTTTGGTTGAGAAATAGAAATCAGTTGAGATGTTCGTTCATGTTTAAATATTAATGTTTTTTGTAAAATTTTCAGGAATGCTGGATATAACAAAAGATCCAGATTATGCAAATGTGTATGATGACCTCCCTCAAGAACCTCCAAATGACCCAGAGATGAACGAGGAACGTAAATTCTTCATGAGTTTCGTCGAAGATTTAAGTATGCAAATGACATTTTTTCAAAAGCATGTGCAGCAATACAAAGATATGTATGTGGCTGAATCAGACTGGTTAGTGTCGAGTGTAGTGAAGGTTTTAGACGACCGCATCAACCATATTGGTTATGAGAGGATCAACACAAGACTTCAAATGCATGAACAGATAATTAAAGAAAAGCTCGGAAATAAGGCAGAAGTTCGCAGGAATCTCTATATGTTAAAACTCATCAGCTTCCTCACACCATTTCTGATCGGAATGAGGAAGAGAATGAAAATCCCAGACATGAGTCGACTCCTTCCCAATCTCTCCAGTAAGTATAGATAGAATATTATGGGTTTTATATCTATGTGTCAGTATCGCCACTAGGAAAAAATCAGAGTTTCTGACACATGTCTTACTTGAAAAATGAAGATGACTTTTAAAATGAAATTAAAAATCTTTATTCCTAGAAATATGTTTACCTGTGTGCATAAAAGAGTATACCAGGTACTTGAGAGTTGGGACATAGAAAATATAGTGTGACAGTAAACCATGCATGTTAACTTGCAAACCTTTAAAACTAACAAAATCAGATGTTGATGTGTTAAACAGAAGTATTTCACAATTGTATTGATCTAAAATATTTATTATTCATTAATTTCTTTGAAAATCTGTGGCAGTATTTTAAAATGAATTTACTTGTAATGACAATTTAAGCACATATTGAGGAAGTATATCACCAGTCGGGTATGCAGGCTTTGAAGTAATTCGCTTTGATGTATGCAGCATACCAGTCCTGCATGATAGCACTTAAAGGGCACCCACTGATATATGCAGAGTTGTAAATATTGTCTCCAGTCATGCTAACTGACATGTCTGCAAGAAGCTTAATATCTATCGTAAAAACATGTACATTTAGGTTATGAAAATTTGCAGTCAGGAAGACTTCTATGTTTGTTAATAGCTGTTATTTTCAGGTTATAGATTGAATGGATCTTAACTTCAAGGATCTTTTCATGAAAATGGTCAAAAATATTCAGAACTGGTCAAGTAAATTGAAATACTGGTATTTTAATATCTTTGCTTAAGTACATTATCTGTCACAACTGAGATGAAAACCTTGAAACCAGATTGCAGTTTGTACATATGATGTATAGTGAACCTTTGATGTAAATTACTCGTAAGAGTAACAGATATTTTTTTCTGAATAAAACATAACATTCTGAGATAATTAAAGATGTAACTAAGTGCACGGGGAAGTAAAATACTCTTTAATGTTAGTTTAACAATCTTGCTGGATACTACTATTAAATAAATTGCCTCATGTCCTGCAATATACAGACTTCAGGCCCTTTGTTCACTTTGGTACATCAGGTTGTTTGTTCCTGAACCATAATAACTTTATTGTTAACATTCACAAAATATCTTTCTTTTGGTAGCAAAAATTGGAAACAGAAAGACAAATTTCAGGTCATTTACCTTGTTGATAAATAGAGTTATGTTAAATAAACATTAATGCTGTTTGATGTATAAACTAGGGAAATGTAAATATTTAAGGAAGAATGAAACCTAATCCCATAATTAAAAGACGTTCTGTTGAATTTTCATTAATTATTGTACCATAATTGACCATGGAACAATAAATATGGCCAAAAGTTAATAGACATGCTAGCTCACTGTAATGAGTGTATTGATTTCCCCACTGTGTGTGACCAATCATGTTGGTAGTCTCCCGGTGTATATCGACGTTCCAGGTGGGTTTGTTATACTGATGAGTTTTGCGTGGAACTCCTGTATGATTGTTATTGGATCATGAATGTAGCATTTTCTTATCACGCCTCCGTCCATATCACTTTCTGGGTCTGATATCGATTATATTAACTTGTAGTATGGGTACTTTATTGTGTGATACACAATGTCGCTATTGAAATATTTATTAGGAATACATAATGCTGTATTTGCCAGTGAGAATGTGCTGTTGATGGGTGTACAACTTTATGTGATATAATCGTTAAAAGTCAATCATTCCATATTAGAGTTGATACCAGCAAGACAGCATGTTTAGGAGTTTAATTAATATGTCACAAAATACATATGTAAAATTAAATAAAAATGGTGCATGTGTAAATTCTGTGAAGGATTTAGGAAAGTATCTTGTCCCAACTCTTTTGGCTTTATGCATGTCTCTTAAGGGACCTTCATTTACCAGCATACTTATCCTAATCTATAAGGAAATAGGACCAAAAATGACAAGGTCCCTGATTCCCTTAGAAGGAGTCCCCAGCTCCAATGTGGTCTCTTGGTATCCTAAAGCTTTGTTAGGAAGGACACAAAGGGCTCTGTCTGGTGACGTTTTTATTTTTTATGCGAATACCTGTCTACTAGATGTCAGTGTTCCTATCATCTGAAGCTGGTAAAAAAATCTGAGATCTCTGACTTTTGAATGATACATAAAATGGAAATATTTTCTAAGGTTAGTTCTCCCTGGTTACACTAAAACCTATGTAAATGATAGGGGTATTAACTGGTCAGCCAGTTGTCAGTTTAATATTACTGGGCAGGGTAGTCTATACCCAGTCTAGTTTATGATACTTCAGTGTGATGGCACTATTAACATGCTCGTGACTGGCTCTGTTATCAGTGAACACCGTCTTCAAATGATCTTAGCTTTTATGAAGACATAAACGCCAAACAAAACTGCAACCTTCAGTGTTATAATGGTACCAAGGTTTTCTTATGTGTTGACATTGACAATTACTAGATCTCGGAGAAGTACTCACATTATATTTACCCTAGCAGTATACCAGACATAAAGTAGGATATATGTATGTGACACTAAGGCTTACAGTCCTGTTAATTTCCTAATGTATTCTGTATATTATATACACATCGGAGTTTAAAGTTTGCTAATTTGTCTTTTTGTTACTTCAATATCAGTGTTTCTAAAGTTTGAAAATAAATACCAAGATGTGAAGTAGCTTTATTGTAGGTCCTTATGACACAGATATAAATTATATGTGTCATACAGAGACTTTAGATATTAATGATCAGGGATAGTCAGACATTTAATGGAATGTTTTTCAAATTACTGATTTCTTTATTTATTACTTTATAGTATGGGTATCATTTCCCTTAATAGTCTTTGTTTTGATGCCAACAAATTCCTACAACTTCTGTTGATCTTTTTGAAGTGCATTGTTTTGCTTTGTTGGTATTGAGTGATTTGTTGGACTCGGTATTATACTTTACTTACTAATTTATTCCTCTCAAATCTAAAGGCCACTTTGTAAGAACAAGACGTTTAAAGTTTTAAAAGGATTGAGTATGTATAAAAAAGAGTGAAAGCATGCTATGTATTAACATCACACTTCAGGTATACATGGTTAGAAAATAGATTTAAAGCAGTGTGTTTATATCTAGATGTAATATGATTAGGGGTACAGAAAAACAAGCATGTTGTCATACTGTTCAATATTGTTCACTTGTTCAAACAACTGTAGGATCCAAAGTGTTGTTGCTAGAGTGCTGTCCCATCTTTTGTCTGAAAGTTATTTGAAAGATTTCTAAACTAAATTTGATTTATTTTACAACAATTATGAGACATAGACATACAAACTTACCTATTTAATTGATCCAAATTGTTAGTCTGCAGTGGTAGCATGCTGGATATCAGAATGACAGAAGAAACTAGAAAGAAAAAAACAGAAGTGATTTTACTGGAATCTCATACAACTCATCAGTGTTTTTGTCCATCCTTCCTATGTTATGAATGGTACCAGAGACAACCAAAACCACGTTGTAGCTGTTAAGCTTGGTTTGCATATGAAAGAACAACTCCAATACAATTTATGGTGAAAACTATCACACTTTCATTGTTATAGTAGCCTTTACAAATTTATTTTGCATGATAGTAACATAATTTAAGATCCAGCGAAGGTGATTGGTAAAAGTCAGCTATAGTGACAAGACAGTTTTCATGATCCTGTTATTATATTTCTTATCTGGACTTAGTTTTTTATATACCTTGTATAAAACTGACAAGTACTATAATGTTAGCAATCACTTTTCAGTCCCATGTGAGACTGCAGTATCCTACTACTATTTATTGTAATCATTAAAGAAGTGACCATTGAAACAAACGTGAAGTCTTGACATCTGTCACTGTGGTACATGTTGCCGTTTGTGGTCTTGATATCTGTCCTTGTAGTACATGTTGCCTTAAGAGGTCTTGATGTCTGGCCTTGTGGTACATGTTGCCTTTAGAGGTCTTGATTTTTGTCTTTGTGGTACATGTTGCCGTTAGAGGTCTTGACATCTGTCTTGCGTAACATGTTGCCGTAAGAGGTCTTGATATCTGTCCCTGTGGTACATGTTGCCGTTTGTGGTCTTGATATCTGTCCCTGTGGTACATGTTGCCGTTTGTGGTCTTGATATCTGTCCTTGTAGTACATGTTGCCTTTAGAGGTCTTGATTTCTGTCCTGTGGTACATGTTGCCTTAAGAGGTCTTGATGTCTGACCTTATGGTAAATGTTGCTTTTTTGAGGTCTTGATATCTGACCATGTGGTACATGTTGCCGTTAGAGGTCTTGATATCTGTCCTACGGTACATGGTGCTTTTAGAGGTCTTGATATCTGTCCTTGTGGTACATGGTGCTTATTGAGGTCTTGATATCTGTCCTTGTGGTACATGTTGCCTTTTGAGGCATTGATATCTGACCTTTTGGTACATGTTGCTTTTAAAGGTCTTGATATCTGTCCTTGTGGTACATGTTGCCTTTAGAGGTCTTGATATCTGACCTTATGGTACATGTTGCCTGTAGAGGTCTTGATATCTGTCCTTGTGGTACCTTTTGCCTTTTGAGGTCTTGATATCTGACCTCATGGTACATGTTGCTTTTAGCGATATAAATATCTTTCCATTTTGTTATGTTGCCCTTTGAGGTATTGATATTTTTTCTTGTGGTGCTTGTTGCCTTTTGAATTATTGACGTCTTTCCTTGTGGTATGTGTTGTCTTTTAAGGCATCAATATCTTTAAATAAAGACAAAGGCTACTTCAGGATGTAAAACTATACTCACCACAATATAGAGCTGTTTGTATGAAGAAATTCTAAGGTTATTTTGTGTCGGATATTGTTTATTGATTTTGTATGTTTGATCAATACATACAGCTTTTACTGTTATGGATACGATAACACATACAAAATAGATGCTGTTTTTGGAGTCTAATAGGTCACGTCCCACTGACTGGTGATATGTATTATTGAATCTTACAATGACTTGAACCACCTGTGTAGGAGAGTAGATTATATTTAATTTACATTTATTGACGTGGGCTTGATCACTGCGGGATCCCATGGAACTTTCTATCAATACATTACATATGCAAACACTTCATACACACTACAGATATACCATAGTAGGGACTTTAACTTTCTAATATCAGAAGGGTTTGTATTCCAAATGGCCGTTTGAGTTATGCATTTATTGGGGCTGAACAAGAATATTTTAATAAAAGATATAAATACCAGCCTGTTTTCCACCATTCATGATGTTATATATTCAGTCACATACTTTTTAGTAAATTATATAAAATACGTGTCCTAAAATACATTTTTATACACAAACCATACATTTGTCCTGTTGTAAGTCTGGAGGGGTAACACGTCATTCAAATGGTAATCGATGTAAATGTGGGCTTAATTTTTACCAGACACATTTTGCTGGATAAACACATTTAGCAGGGAAAATCCAGGGAACTGAGGAATATTAGCCATTCTTACTAAATTTCAGTCATTGTCATTCTATATGAAATTTTAAAAACAGTGAGAGGAGTGGATAGGGGAGGGGACGAAGGGGGTCAATTTCAGATTTAGGAGACCATGACAGAGCTTGTGTGCCCTTTCCGAAATATCATACCTGCAGTGGTATTCCCAGTTAAATAATCTGAAGAAATGAGATATTTCTAAATGATTATAATAATTACAGCCTGAAACATTATATATGTATTTTTATCTGATGTATCTTCTTTATCTAAAACCCACTACTGATGAAATGGAGACTGTTTAATTACTTAATTACTTTCACCCTGAGGTTACACTTGATGCCGTTGTACTTTTGGTTACAGTTCTCCTCTGTTTCTACCACAAGTTGGGTAACAAGTACCTTAGTATTGGCTTGCCTAGTTGGATTATTAAAAACCTGATGTGAAACTTTAATTACTGGTAACTTCTGGACATATTCCAAAATGGTATTGTGTTCTAATCTCTTAAACTTGATTCATGAAAGTACAGCTTATGTAATACAGAAAACCCTACATTGATTAAAATGAAGAATAGGTTTTAAAAAACTTGAATATACCTAATGCACTGATAACACACATCACTACTAGATTAAGTACCTAATGTGTTTTTACTTTGTAGATATTGGACATCTGTATAGAGAGATACAATATTTAAATGTTTTTTGTTTCTTTTAGATATATATCTTACAGTTAAAGTTTGAAAGTATAGCAATAGTTTCCTTTAGTGCACGTGTAAAAATATTGGAATTCTTCTTTACACAAGTAAAATATCTTCATCATACTCAACAACAAAATTTTCTATTTCGTTTTAAAAGAGAGAAATAATTGAGAGAAAAAAAGGTCACCATTTTATGTCATTCTGGATAGGATTGCATCTGTTGTGTCTAACTGGTACACCTTTGTGATGAATTCCAATGGTATAATAGAAGTTTTATTGTTTGTAGACATTTTGTACAGAAGTCTCCAAACATCTTTTTAGATAAAAAACCCATTGTACTATAAAATGGAATTCCTCACTGTCCTAACCGTTCACCATTAGTTAAGGAATGTAAACATCTCCTATACACAACATTACTCCCGTAGATCTTAAATACCAGTAGCTTTATATTCAAAGTAAGTCCATTAATCACAGTCTTCAATTTTATTTTTAAATTACCTCAAAATGTTTCAGATATATTTATTTGAACAAAGGGCATTTCAAGTCCAGTTGTTTCTAAAATTAAATTATCGTTTGATGATAGATGATAATGCTGTGACCATAGGTATGGGATTTAATTTACTGTCAACTAATCAGTTTACTATTCAGAACAAATGTACCACAACAGCAATGTATTTCCATCATTAAGCCTATATTTCTGATCTAGGGTTCTTTTGACTCCACGGGTTAAATGGAGTAGAGACAGGCTAGGTAATTAAGACGCCCTCTGTTGTATTTACCATAATATATATTATATTTATCAGTCTTTTTATTGAATATCTATTTACTCTTTTGTAATTTGATTAGACAATCACATGTCTTTAGTAATTAGATTTAAAGTACAAACACATATGTACTGAGTACATATTAAGGTCCAACATATATATTTCCTATTTGTAGACTGAAGTTGCAGTACATAAAACTAAATTAGTAAAAAATTACAGATTTGAAGTTTGTTTTTAAAAGTACTGGTAAATCCTTTAAATTCCTGTCATATTTTACTGTGATAAAATTAAGATTCTTTTAAATTGCATGTACCATTTGACTTGATTAGGATCAGACATCCTAAATGACGAGTGATGAGCTTAAGCCATATTCTCTTGTCAGCCTGACTTCAGCATATTGTTATTGTCGTTTTAATAACCACGAACTGTGGTATATTTGACAGAAGCATTTTGAATGAGTTTTTAAACAAGTTCTTTTGAATAAGCAAGAAACACAGAATTATGGTATCAACAGGATGAAAGCCAGGTAATTTGATCCAAATCATTGACCTTTGATCTTTCAAGGTTGCATGGGTCATATGTATATAAAGATTGTAGAATTATTTCTTTTTAATAACCATTTGAATTATCAATGATCTTGGTGGGATGTTCATGTTCGTTACTCAGGTCCTTTGGAATTATTTTTGTTCTTCATATTTTCAGACATTTTTTATATCAAACAGCAAATGCTTGTAATGTTAAAGATCAATTGCAATACATATGATGTTCATGACGAGGTAATTCAGGGTACAAACCTATAACTATCACATTAAGTGGTCTAGTATTTACATTAGGCATTTTCTTCAATAAAACACTGTTTGTCGAGACAAATGTACATTCAGATAGACATATAGAATACAAGTGTTTACAAAACATTGAATTTAAATACCAATATTGGTTCTATTGTATACAACGTACCTAAATGGTGTGTTACACACAGATCACTGATCTACAATATATATATGTATACCGTGTTGTTGATGAGTAACCTACAGATATAAAGGCCAGGTGAAGTTACCATATTTACTTGGAAACCTTCAATAAGCCCACGGAGCTAACACAGTACCTCTGTCTCCAATGGTTAAGTGGGTTTGTAGCAGGGCAATGTAACAGATTTTGTTTTTTATTTGTGATGAAACAACAATATATATGGCAGGCATATTACCAGACATATACTAACTGACATTTAAATACAGAAAATTATTTGGTGTGTAAATCCCAGTCTTCACAGTTGGGGTGATGGGGAAGGGTATACGTTGGGATAGGGAAAGGGTGTGTGTTGGGGTGGTGTGGGTGTTGTGGGGGGGGTTGCATTCAGTGCATTTTTATAGAAATCCAAGTCTGATGAAATTTACAATGAGCTTTTGAGATTTTGATGTTGTAATATCATTATTAAACAATTTTGTGAATTCTTTGTTTGTAATTTGGCATCTGAACTATGAAGAGAAATGAGAAATGTTGCCACTCAAATCAGCTGCTACATTGTGATCATTACAATATGTCTCAATAACCAGATATTCAAATAATTTAGTTCTTCTAACGAAATAAATATCGATAATAGCAATATCCAAAGTTACAGTAATTTTGTGATTTACAAACATTTTCATGTTTTTTGATGTTTCCAGTCGGTGTAAACAACACAGCAGGTAAATCTGAATGGTTTATAAACCTAATATATGATGGATTGAAGATCTACAGTTCTAACTCTCAGAATTAAACAAGTGGCTGAAGTATGTTGTACCTTAACAATAACATAGGATTAGTTTCATTGGTTGTTGTTTGTGAGCTTTTCATGGAAAACTTGAAGAAAGGTACCTGACTTTGTAAAAGTTTGGTGACAGTTTAAGACGAGGAATAGATTGTAATGTTAATGTCATTTGTGATGGTTTGTTTAACTGTTAATGTTAACACTCTAGGGAACGTAACATAAAGGGATGATATTGGTATCTGTGATGATGTTTCTTTTAGAATAGTAATTAAAAAGTTAACACACTGAATAAATCTTAATATACAGGAATGATAATGGTGTTTGTGATGGCTTTTCTAACAGTTTTAAAGGTAACACCAGGCTGCTGTAGTAAAGGTTTAGTGATATTTTACCTAACATTAGTTATGATCATGCAGTTTGGTTAATCCTAACTACAGACGTTAGCTAATGTTGAACCTTCAACTTTCAGGCCTATCCAAGGAACTTACAGACACTAAACGTTCACATTTTAATACTATCTGAGACTGATGGAATAATCTTTGTAATGAGAACAACAGGGCTGTATATCAGCTAGTATTACTTTTAAGACCTAAAATAATTTCCCATCGACTCAATCAAATAACCACTGAAAGAAAAAAAGAACCCCTCTGGAACAAAATAAAGTAGCTCTATCAGGAATTTCATTGGAGAATTACGTTTGATAATCTCCTTTTTTCAGGTGATGAATGTCGAACAGAAAGGGAGTTACCTCCCTTATTACTTGGCCCTGACTTCAAGTGCAAGAATTTCCATTTTGAGAATAAATTGTTTCATCTACATGGAGGTAAGATTGAAAATGATTGGTCATTTATACATCCAGGTAGTTACAGAACACATCTATCAATAGAATCATTTCTTGGTGTTCATGATGTTGGGTTTCAGTTAGTACTTGCTCGTTAATTAGAATAAATTGCTACTTATTAGTTAGATATTTACTTGTCTGTAATAGATCCATACAGAAATGGTTCCTTCTATAAATATGTAATGTTTAAATCATTATCTCTCAATAAGATTCCACCTGTGCATTAAAAGTACATTATTCAATTAACCTTAGTTGACCGCATCCTTCCCTGTAACCTTAGTTGAACTCATCCTTCCCTGTGACCTCAGTTGACCTCATCCTTCCCTGTAACCTTAGGTGACCTCATCCTTCCCTGTAACCTTAGTTGACCTCATCCTTCCCTTTAACCTGAGTTGACCTCATCCTTCCCTGTAACCTTAGTTGACCTCATCCTTCCCTGTAACCTTAGTTGACCTCATCCTTCCCTGTGACCTTAATTGACCTCATCCTTCCCTGTAACCTTAGTTGACCTCATCCTTCCCTGTAACCTTAGTTGACCTCATCCTTCCCTGTAACCTTAGTTGACCTCATCCTTCCCTGTAACCTTAGTTGACCTCATCCTTCCCTGTAACCTTAGTTGACCTCATCCTTCTCTGTATTCACCTGAGTTGACCTCATCCTTCCCTGTAACCTTAGTTGACCTCATCCTTCCCTGTAACCTTAGTTGACCTCATCCTTCCCTGTAACCTTAGTTGACCTCATCCTTCCCTGTAACCTTAGTTGACCTCATCCTTCCCTGTAACCTTAGTTGACCTCATCCTTCCCTGTAACCTTAGTTGACCTCATCCTTCCCTGTAACCTTAGTTGACCTCATCCTTCCCTGTAACCTTAGTTGACCTCATCCTTCCCTTTAACCTTAGTTGACCTCATCCTTCCCTGTAACCTTAGTTGACCTCATCCTTCCCTGTAACCTTAGTTGACCTCATCCTTCCCTGTAACCTTAGTTGACCTCATCCTTCTCTGTATTCACCTGAGTTGACCTCATCCTTCCCTGTAAACTGAGTTGTACTTGTCCTTTCCAGTATGAACCTGTGTTGACCTTGACCTTCTCTGTATTAATCGGAGTTGGCCTCAATCTTCCCTGTAACCTGAGTTGACCTAGTACTCTCCTTTATGAAACTGTTTTGACCTTGACCTTCTTTATACTGACACGAATTGACTCATCCTTTTCTGTAGGTATCCTGGTTGACCTGGAGACAGATCCAATTGAGGAAGCACCCAAGTCCTTCAAAGATCTATACGAGGAGATGATGTCTGAGTCAGAGGAGTACCTCAGTAAGATCCTGGAGTTTGAGACTCTCAAGGAACAGTACAAGATCCCTACACGTACAATTGACGGGAAGTTGTAAGTCTGTCAACTATTAGAGAAGATTAAAAGACAGCTTGTTTAATGTGCCAGAACCATTTGCTGGATTATTGATGATGACATCTAAAAAAATTAGTATATTCACAAAAACATCAGTATATTCACGAGTAAAAGCTGGCACAAAGTATGATTGATAAGAATTCATTATGAAGAGTGTGTATCTGAAGAGTTATGGCGACTTAATTCACAGAAATTGGTAAGAAAGACAGAACTGAATACTGATGAATCAACAAGGATAAAAATTGTGTTGTTCAGGATAAAAAGTCACCTGTTGATCTGTTACATTACATTTATTATGTTTTTAAAGAGTTATTTGGAAAAAAAGTAAAATTTTCTTGATGTTTATTCAGGTATTATGTTATGATGATGGAGTTTGAAACATTTTACCCACAATCCCCTCACAAACCTCTCTGGGTGCGCAGTTTCTTTGAGGAGATTGGACGACTAAAGATTAAAAAACTGCCTTTCCAGGACCAGCAGCTAATTGAACAGTTTAAGAAATACTTTGGTTACAAAAAGTCCATCAAATACAAGGTATGAAATTGATGTTAGGTCATTGATTGATCAGTGATCATGATAAATCAATATTGTTAAATGCATCTTGTATGCAATCCATCAGTAAATTGGATTTTAGGAATTTGACACAGCACATTAAATCTAAAACATGAAATACATAAGAAGTTATAAATTTTTTAAGACAATGCTACAGAGAGGAAAATGGTTTTGTCTTCATCACCTGTAACAAGTATAAGGCTGTAACAAATCTGTTTACTGATGTTTTCGGCCTTTTCTTTTTATCACAAATGAAACAGAATTTTGCCATTGTTTACAACCAATAGGGAAAGGCTGTAGAGACCTTACCAGTGGTAGGTCATGTGTACTGTCAGCTGTCATTTTCCCAGTGTCAACATGCAACTCGAAAATGATTTTTTTTCCCGCACTAATAAACACCTTTTTATCACCTTAATGACTTAATTACCAGGTATCTCGTAATGCCCAAATAGACATTTTAGAGCCAGGTTGCATGCACTGTGTAACTGAGAAATTGACTGACTAATTGTAAATAACATTGGAAGGGGGAGTTTGGCTTTGATGAAGTGGTTGTTCATTTTCTTTTTCCAATTTTCAGGAGAAATAACCAAGTTAGAAATATATCAATCTTATTAGGTAAACTTTTACACTGAGCTTACTATTGCTGCTGAATTTTGAAATGAGTTTGAGTTTTCTTTTATCAATTCAGAAATAAGAGATCTGTTGATCTTGCGGTGACTTAAATATTTCAGTATACAAATGATTTGTGTATCTGTAAATTAAAAAGTAACTACAGCATAAAACAAATTCTTGATCTCTTTCTTAGAGAATTTCAAATTTTAACATGTAATCTCTTATCTGATCACTCAGCTCATTAGCTCCATGTGAGATCATTTCTAATTATTCATTAAACTTGTGGAGATGTACTCTTTTTGATGTTTATGTTATACATCGAGGTTTATAACATCACCAGTTATACATTGAGGTGTATAACAGCACCATTTCATAGTTATGCTCTCAAGAAAGAAATCATATTGATATTAATGGATTTTACAACAGTATATTTTCTACGGGGTTGATTATATTGAGCTATTGGTTGGTTTAATTGCCAATAGAAGAAGTCCAGTTTTAGTATCTAATTCTTAGATCTTCAGAATATTGTTCGCAAAATGAAATACAGTGCTGTATTATTTTTTACTACAGAGATATTCATGAGCCATAATGAAGCAATTAAGCTTATATCTTGAAGTATTGTTTTTAATATCAAGTCTTATTCAATCTTAATTGATTACAGTACTTGACTGTTGGTTTGTACATTTCTAAAATAACTGCTTTTTGCATTATGGTAAGGGGAGGTAATGCTCTGTTGTCCTGTTGCAGAGTTTGGTGTGATAAACTGGCAATGTTATTATGGTGGTGGATTAAGTGTTGTGTTTGAACTGAAAATATTTTGATGTTTTGTATCATAAACCATAGAAATTTTATAGAAACAATATATATTATAAATAAAATTCTGTTCTTTCCTTTTATCTGAATAATTAATCTTCTTCAATATCAACTTTGATTTTAAATTGTTTTATCGTAAAAGCTGTGAAATAATCACTTAGTTACTGTCATTAAATCATAAAAGATATTACTCTGGAATTTCTGTAAAAATCAACATGTATAAATTTGTTAATAATTCATACTTGAAAAAAAGCGTCTTGAATTTATATGAAATAGATACTTAAATTGATAACTATCTTCATTTTTAACTGTAAGAACATTTCTCCGTTTGCTATAGACTCCGTTGAACGGTCTGAAGGCTGCAGCACAGAGAGGACTGGTCATCATGTTCATGACCCAGGTCAGGAAATTAGGTCAGGCATCACGGTTAAGTAAACAGGATGAGCAGGGTCTATCTCTACTCCATCATGCTTCAATGAACAACCGGCCACAGATCATCACACACCTATTGCTACAGTCGATGGACATTAATGTTCGACGAAACAATATCATGTCAACAGGTACGTATTTAACCAAAATGTTTACTATTTTTGTATTTTGATCTTCATATATTATTTTTAAAGGTTTGAAAATGTCATAATAGGAGATTGAAAAAAATACAAATTTTCTAATTTCTGTTGTTTTCTAATTACAATTAATGAATTCGATCATTAATTAAATGAAATCTATTTCAAAATTTATGTTCTAAAATTATTACTAATCCAGTGAAATTAAACAAAGTGACTTCGTTGATAAAGTACTAATGATGATTACAAAACTAAATTATGACTATCATATAAAGATTAGCTATTTGATCATTTTTCATTTAATAGTTAACATAATTAAAACGTTATGTTAGCATTGTAGACCCGTCCATTTTGTAATCATATAGTTAATTTTCAGTCCCAGCATAGTTCATTCCCAGTCAGTTTTAAGATAGTTACAGTGGACACTTGATAATCTTAACACCTTTGTTTCCGGCCAAAATTGATCAGGTTATGAGTTTTGAGGACTGTCAAGTATAGTAAATTCGTAAATCAAGTTGGAGTTATCTCCCTTGGTAATGTACAAATGTAACAATACAGTTGTCAGTGTTAAGCTATTGGTTGTTTCCAGATTTATGCGTAGTATAACTGTAAATACAGGTACATTTGTACTTACAAATGTCTTATTATCGTTCATTTTCATATTAATTGCTATTGTATGTGCCTTAAAATTAAAAAATGAAATTGTTGTTATTCATTAAAGTCAATATTGTGAATGATTCATTGAATATCTGCTTGATTTTAACAGTGGTCACATTATACTCCAAATTATCTGAAAACCCATGGTTTTATTGAAATGACAAATTACAGTAAAATTAAGAAAAATTTACTTAAATCTTGGTCTAAATCAAAGAAATACAATGTAAGGTTTGATTAATGATGAAGGGGCCATTGTCCACTATAACATAAAAAACACATTACAGATTTCTGTGTAATCAGTGATGCAAATGAAATTGAAAAATAAATATCTTCAGTTTTAAATCAGAGTTTATTACTGCTTTTAAATAAATGAGTCTCTTACATGTAGGGTGTATGTTTACCATGCAGTGAATGTCTGGTAAAGTTCCAGATGAGTACAAATCATCTTAATTACTGCGAAATAAGCTTTGGAATGGTGACAAAATACATGTAATTACATGACCTGACCCATTAACATCTATACCCCAGCTGGTTACTCTAAGCATTCAAAATCAAATAATACATGGAACAATATTTCTAAATAAGTTGCCAAGTGTAAGTGTTGAATAAAGCAGATTTCATTGTCAAAATTTGAAAACAAGGCTGACCAAGTCTTTATTATTGGTATTTTCTTTACAATTAGTTTGTTTTGATAATCTGGCTACAGTCACTATCAGATGAACACACACTGTCTAGCAGTACATTTACATTTTCTCGCATGGCTCAATGAACAGTGAACACAATCAGAGTTCGTCTTATGTTAACAAAAAATGCCAGTACTATTACGGGAATGCTAATTTAAAAAATTCTTTCTTATTCCCAGAAAGTATTTCTTGAACCCAAATTTAAATTTCCAAACTGGTGAATGCAATTAATGATTACGAGAATCAGTTTCTCATCATTTCTGCCGTGATTGTGTTTTCCGGGCTATTAACATCTGAAATATCATGTGTCCACTGTAGACCATTTCTTCCCATTCAGCACATTGGTGTGTAGAGAGTTTAATTTTTTAATTACTATTATTAGTACAAAACAGTTTTCATTTTAGAATTTTGATGCTTAGTTGACTCATTTATCACTAGAAATAAAGTCAAATGGATTGTTTCCATAAGAATCAAATGTAATTGATTATTTTTTCATTAAAATTACCAGGTGTACAAACAGGTAATGCTTCCTTTCCAATGAAATAAGATCATATTTTGTTATAAGGTTATATAATGAAATCAGTCTGACTGATAAAAAATATCTTACAATTATCAATGGACATATAATCATTAACTACCGGCCCAGAGATTAAAACACACCTTTTTATCTTCTTCCTTGATTCTGTATAATTTCAATGTTTGCAGTATTGTTCTCTCTTATATAATATGCATGATGTGGTTCCTTTGTGAATAGTTTGACAAATGAATATGGAATGCTACATATCATGTGAACTTGGCGTACATGTATTTGTGTGTATGCGCATGTTGAAACTTTGGTGGCACACCCACACATACACACCCACGCTGATAACATTTTGTATTACCTTATTAACTTTCTTGATGTGTCACTATACCCATTATGTTGAAATAATTTAAAGATTTTATTTATGTTACAAAATGGTATACAAGACCTGAATGTTTATACACACTGGTAAAGTACACTGTATACAATCAGTAGTTATCTGTCATATTAATTATTCATCACGTCAAGTTAATTTGGCAATTTGCATTTTTATGTTTGATAAGACTTTTATGGTAGAGCTTATTAAAGATTATATAAGTGATGATCACAATTGTGGCTGGTCCTGTTATATAATATGAACACAAGCATTGATGATCACTATACACAGACAAAATTATAGTGTCACACAGCATAATTTTCTGTTTTAATACACACAAAGTGATGACATCATACTCGAGTGGTGTGAACATCTCATTTCGCGCACAAAGTGATGATATTGTACACAGGTTTGATAATGATGATGTTTTTCACAATTTTCACACAGAGGGCCAGGGGAAAGGGTCATCGGATGGCCTGCGTTCCTTCTTCCTTGAGATTTGTAAATAAACATTTCTGATTTTGATCTTCTTTCACCCTCCACCTGCCCAGTCTCTGGATATCTTCAGCTGTTAATATAGATCTCTGTAGTCAGGACAATCTTTCATTTTCTGCAATGCTGCTTAATGATTCTATACTCAAGATTAATTCATGTTTTCTTGACATTTTATCATTGTATACAATATACATATATTATATAATTATGTACTAATTGACATCTTTAAAAATTCAGCCAACTTTCTATCCATAACCTTTTCAAACTTAACATGATTATACCCGATAACATTCAATAATCCTGCATGAATATTAATTGTCAGAAACCTAGCTAATCTCCACTTTGTATTACAGATCCTCTCCCTAAAACTCCCTCCCAGAAATTCTGTGTGTGTAACTAATTGTTGTATCCCTCCCATTGTATGTGACATCAATATTCTCTCCTACTGAATAAGTCAGTCGAAGACTCATATTCCACTGTGTCACAAACAGGATAGTAAACACATGACCCATAAAGACAAGAACACATTGAAAATCTAATCAGTCATGTGTTTATGTTGTTTTTTTTTTTTTTGTATTTTGCAATAGATACTGTAATCTTAAATTTGTCAACAACCAGGTGAAGCACAACCAAAATGTTGCAGTTATTTCATCAAGATGGCCTAGCCCTTTTGTTATAATGGTATTTTCATTTCAGGATTTTATATACACAACAAATGTGAGATACCTAGAAATACTAAGATTAGTACCAGCATGTTGTTACTGTATCACACATCACAGTGAGATGATATGCTTGCTGAAAAAAAAATCCAATTTTGAGTTTTCAGCAAGTACTATGATGATTGCTTTTATCCATTTTCACAGCTGAATACTTTAAAAGTTTTTTTTTTGATTGAAAAAAAAAATGTGTAACTTTGAAAAAAAATCTTTTAAAGGGACAGGAGAAATAGTGATGGAATCAAAAGCGACAGGTATTTGCCATGCATGAGCTTCATTTTGGTTTTTCTATGTGGTGATATCAAAATCATCCTCCACTGAATAAAAAGTCATGTGACTTACGTTGGTCACATGACACGCTGCATGCTCTCATGCACATTCAGTGAATATCAGGCAAGCGTGAATGTTTACAGACATGCAAAGCATGTGCTTATGATATACTTGACACAATATACACTTGTAATACTCTGCTTCTTTGGTTGTCTGTGAGAGCTGGGAGGTAACATGCTGTGTGGAGTAAAGATTGTCTAATGGTGGAACTCAAAGTCAAAAAGTCACATATATTTAGACTTAACCAAACAATCTGTTCTTTCTGATAAATTGGTAAAATAGGTTTAAAGAAACAATCAGGTGTTAGAGTTATAAAAATTGATCGGAAATGGGAAGTAGCCTTTAAAATCAAGCTTTGAAGAAGATGTCATTGTACAAACAGCAATACCAATAATGTTTGATAGATTGAGGGTATGGCATTTTAAGAGGAAATGGGAGAGCAATCTTGGAAATGTTTGACATTATTTGGGAACATGTCTTGATGAAATACTATTTTGCATGTTAGCATGAAATGACTTTATATATATTAGATGGTTCTGATGGCATTGATCACTTCACGAATGAATTTGCATGACATCTTATTATACCATTTGATATGCAAATGATTTTGTTCCCCCCACCCACCTCCCCCCAAATTTTTTGATATACATTCTTATCTACATTTAAATTTGAAGTACAGTCAAATATGTTAAATAGACCATCTCTGTACAACAACCACCTGTATATAAAGGTCACCCTGGGTTCTGGCCAACTGTGTATAAAGGTCGGTGGATCATAGTAATAGAACCCTATAAAGGCCACTTTCTCTTCGTCCTTTAGTGGCCTGTATAGACAGATTTGAATAGAAATTACACATCTATATACTGTTATGGTATCACTCTTTATTCCTTAGGCTGAGGTGTGCAGGACCTATAAACCACCTCAATGAGAAATTCTGTGTTGATTCTATGATTTGTGATATCAAAGATGATGGAAAGATTCTGATATATCGTCAGACTTTCCTGCTTTTCCTCAACCAACATTGTGTAAACAATATACAGTGTCCAGATCTTGTGACATTAAAGTATCACTGATGAGGGAATACTTGTGACATATAAGTATCACTGATGAGGGAATACTTGTGACATATAAGTATCACTGCTTAAGGAATACTTGTGACATATAGATATCACTGATGAGGGAATACCTGTGACACATAAGTATCACTGATGAGGGAATACCTGTGACACATAAGTATCACTGATGAGGGAATACTTGTGACATATAAGTATCACTGATGAGGGAATACTTGTGACACATAAGTATCACTGATGAGGGAATACACATAAGTATCACTGATGAGGGAATACTTGTGACATATAAGTATCACTGATGAGGGAATACCTGTGACACATAGGTATCACTGATGAGGGAATACTTGTGACATAAAGCATCACTGATGAGGGAATACTTGTGACATTTAAGTATCACTGATGAGGGAATACTTGTGACATATAAGTATCACTGATGAGGGAATACTTGTGACATATAAGTATCACTGATGAGGGAATACCTGTGACATATAAGTATCACTGATGAGGGAATACCTGTGACATATAAGTATCACTGATGAGGGAATACTTGTGACATATAAGTATCACTGATGAGGGAATACTTGTGACATATAGATATCACTGATGAGGGAATACTTGTGACATAAAGATATCACTGATGAGGGAATACTTGTGACATAAAGATATCACTGATGAGGGAATACTTGTGACATATAAGTATCACTGATGAGGGAATACTTGTGACATATAGATATCACTGATGAGGGAATACTTGTGACATATAAGTATCACTGCTCCTGAATCTAAGTAGATGGTTTTGCTATAGTATTCTACACCCATTACTATAAAATATCATCAAAACCTCAAGTTCTAATACATGTGCTTGCATAAAATTTGTTTTTGACTAAAAAAAGAAGCATTTTTTTAATTTGTAGTTATTAGTTTTGGGAAATGTAATAACAAAAAATGAACAATTCTGTCAGTTTGAAGTTTGGAATTTGGAGAAAGATAGAAATGATTGGCTGGTATGTTAGGATTCAGCATTAAGCTAAAGGTGCATCCATGGTGATGTGATTGAGGGTATTATGTATGTCAAGGTGTTGAAAAAGTGTGAAATGTGTTTGACTCAATTGAATAGATAAGAGCAATTTCTTGTAGACAAACACAAGGCCCTTTGGATTTGATTCCTGTCCTGGTAGTGTTATGAGTACAGGACCCTGTGACTGACATCTGATTACTGTTTACAGTAATGAATTCAATACCATTCAAAGGATTGAATATTTGGCATTTATGAATGTCAATTTCAAAAGTTAGTATGAGTGGTTACATGGTAAAGAAGTTACAGGTCAAGGTTGTTAATCAGTGACAAATGCAACAGACATTAATGCCTTTGTTTGAATTTGAATATTATGATTTAATTAAATTTTTCTTTTGATTTTCCGATTTCCTTGAACTGATTTTAAAATTTTATTTTGCTTATTAAAATGTTTTATGTTTTCTTTTGAATTTGCCTTTGAATCAGATATTCTGCTGAATGTTTAAGTAACATTTGCTTAACTCAGAGATTTTTTGTTTTTGTTTTTAAATAGATTTATGGATTTCTTCATATAATTCTGTTCTTTTTACTTGAATCAGTACAATAGATTTGACCAATTTAATTTCAAAATATACATTATGAAAAACACTCACTAAGTATTGTTGACAATGTTATCTTAAATTTTTTTTCGGAAACGAATTTCTTTTTTGTATGATTTAGATAAATTTGCATGCCGTATTGACCACACCTAATGCAATATGGAAGTACAATGTACTAAGTTTTAAGTTATTCTGAAATACGAAGAAAAAAAATGGTAACACATCCTTGCAAGGAAAAAATTATCACAATTTTGTTTGATGGAAATGAAAGAAAAGGTTGATTTCTGTATTGAAATGTCCACTTCTTTGAATGGAAATTGGCAAAAAAACCAAACATATTGCATTATGTTAAAGCAACATCTTCACTAGTGTATCATTGCATGAACTTGACAAATAAACTCACTAACATTTTCTGCCTCCAGTATTTTAAGAAAATCTATTTTTCTGCTATATAATTGCATGACTTTCAAACAGCTTAGTCTTAGAAATAATGGCAGCATTTATTGTACAGAAAACATACATAACTCAAAATAACCTCTGTATCTATTTAGAAATTTTATTGATTTATAACTCATTTTGTTTATTTTTTTCTGTTTTTGTTTGTTTTTTTGTTTTAAAAATTGAAAAAATAAAAAAAAAATAAAACTGTACCACTCGTTTGGTGGTGGTAGCTAGAAATATAATTGCCCAAGTAAATGCAAAGATGAATCAGAAAATGAATTTTAGGAATTTTAACAAATTATAGTGTGAAAGTGTTGCTCTGAACTATCTGTAATGAACACAGAAATATGATGTTTTATAGACATACAAGTTTAAATATAGAGTGTCATTATATATTGAATTTATGAGACCATGAATGTAGTTTGTTGTTCACTTACTGCTAGCATTATCTATACAATCAGTGAACTTTTAACTGTCACAATTCCAATGTAATCACAGGGTACTAACAACTAATTGAAAGCACCTGTTATTGATATTAGAAAGTTTCATTGGATTTTGTTCATCAGGGTCAAGGTCATCTATAATAAATAAGTGGTAAGGTGGTGTTTATTGGGGTCAAGTTCAAATATCCCCGATAAAGGTAAGGTGGTGTTGATAAATTTAGCTGTATTTTAATCATCGTTTAAAAAATGAAGTTCTATGTAAAGTCTGACATATGTATCATGTAAATAAAACAAATGATATAACTTGAAATCTGATTTTTGTTCAAAATCATAATTTTCAGTTCAGCTACTGGAGATAAGATTTCATTATTTCAGTAGAGCAACTTATATTTAACAACATGTAACAACTTGTCATATATACAGTATTACACTCTGATGAATTCATACAACATTTATATCAGCTATAAATGTCATTGCCCGATTGTTTACTACATTATCACTAATCCATGATTCCTGATGTATGTTACAGAAATACTTTAACGAAATACAGAATTTTAGGAATTAGCATTGCTATTTGTCATTTTGAAAAATGATGACATACATTTTGAGTTCCTTCAGTAAGCATTAAGGCCTCACACGGAAAGGATTTTGCATTGGCAGTCATATTGTGTATGAATGCAAACCACCGAATGTTGCTTTTAATAGTAAAATACCATATCTAACAGTTATATATCTAGTATTATGTCATTGTAAGAGATTTTCAGATTTAGAGCGACTTCTCATAGAAACCAATAAACACACAATATTACAGTATCTTACGTAGTTTTGTATAATGTAAACTGTGGAAAGATATCCAGATTGAAATATTCTCCAACGTCTTATATGTACATAGCAATGTACCACTAGCCTTGTCCACATTTGATATTGTAAATTGTTGTAATGTGTAAAAATATGGCAGTGTTGAGGACTAACATCCATTTTCATATGAAATTGTTTCTTTTTCTTGCAAAAATCAAAATTAAGATTTTTGAAAAAAACAATATTATATTGAATTTTTACTGCTTAATGATTGTAAAAACAATTAAAATATGCATTTTTAACCAAGTGAAATTCATCTTTGTCTCGTATTTCTAATTTGTAACTTGCATTTTACTTTTCTTTTTCACAAGTTTCATTCCTCAGTTTATCAATCTTTTGATATATCAGATGTTAAATAACATTTTTGATAACCTTAATAATTTTTAAAAAGAATAATTACAGTGTCCTGGAAACTCTGAGAAAATTGATAACTTGTGACTAGAAATACCGGTACATAAAATACCCATGATAAACTTGACCTTGATATGACCTTCAGATGCTTGGTTACAGGTCCTACCTCCCTCCATGTGGCAGCGCGATGTGGTGCTCTTGATGCTCTTGCCTGTCTCCTTGCCAACTATGGCAACATCCTGGCAACAGACCAGGATGGCTGGGCGGCCATTCATCACGCTGCATTCTTTGACCATGAACCTGCCATTAAATTGATGATTAGGAAAAATGTGGGACTTTTGGAACTAGTCACTAAAAATGAGTAAGTATCTTACATCCTGACTTGATCAATTTAATGAGATTTTGATATTAAAATGATTTCATTCTTTGTGTAATGACTCTTTGGGCCAATTAAATTTGATACTCTTTATCATGTGGACATTTATAATTTGCATTTGTTTGTTTGTTTATTTATGTGTGTGTTTTTTTCAAATTTTGAATACCAATTCTTTAATGTGTAAATATAAGTTTTAAACTTATATGTAGAGTTAGTATTTCAATGAAATAAATTTTGATATTTTGTTAATTCAAAGTTCATGCATGTGCACAAGACTTCCTTAATGTGTTCTTAAGAAATAACAAATACTGTAGGGTGGTAATGATACAATAGTAAAAATGAAATACTGTAAATGTCTTATTTCTAAGGTTGAAATTTTCACAATCAATTGCTAAATGCAGAAACAGTGTTTATTTTTCAGAGATTATGGAAGGGACCTCAATGTTCTTCTTACATTCATTCTTAAACATATCTTGTATTCACAATGATTTTTTTGTATGTTTATTTCTGAAAAAATACAACACATTGAAATCAGAACTTTAACATTATAATGATGAAAACTTAGACAATAAAGACAATGTTTTAATGATAATAATTTATCTATGTTCAGTCAGAAGTCTACACCTCTTCTGCTGGCGGCGAGCTCTGGAGGTCTGGCTGCAGTAAAGTGCCTGATACGTCTCGGTGCAGACATCACTAAGCATGACACGGAAAACAACAACCTTGTCACTTTAGCTGCTCTTAGATTCCATACAAATGTTCTGGAGCACCTGATTGAGTGGAACCACAAAAATGTACCAGTGTGGAGGATACTCGTCAGTATGTACCTTAACATTGTGTTGAAATGCATAAACAGCTTATTCTCCATAACCGAACAGCCAAGGGACTTGATATTAAGCCTGTAGCATGTATTTTCAATAAGTCTAGAATAATTGCATTTGTGTAATGCATGTATAAAGAATATGACTTCAAGTTTTCAGGATGTAAGCTCTAGTGCAGTTGAGCAATTTAAATGTTTGTACAGGTCTTTATACAAACCCATAAGGGCAGTAGGCCTCTTGTTTAGTGTAAGCTATCTTTGTGTTGTTACCTGTGTGTTGTTACCTTTGTGTTATTACATGTGTGTTGTAACCTGTGTGTAATTACCTTTGTGTTGTTACCTGTGTGTTGTTACCTATGTGTTGTTACCTGTGTGTTGTTACCTGTGTGTTGTTACCTGTATGTTGTTACCTTTGTGTTGTTACCTGTGTGTTGTTACCTATGTGTTGTTACCTGTGTGTTGTTACCTGTATGTTGTTACCTGTATGTTGTTAACTGTGTGTTGTTATATGTGTTGTTACCTTTGTGTTGTTACCTGTATGTTGTTACCTTTGTGTTGTTACCTGTGTGTTGTTACCTATGTGTTGTTACCTGTGTGTTGTTACCTGTATGTTGTTACCTTTATGTTGTTAACTGTGTGTTGTTATATGTGTTGTTACCTTTGTGATGTTACCTGTATGTTGTTACCTGTGTGTTGTTACCTTTGTGTTGTTACCTGTGTATTGTTACCTTTGTGTTGTTACATGTGTGTTGTTATATGTGTGTGGTTACCTGTGTGTTGTTACCTTTGTGTTGTTACCTATGTGTTGTTACCTGTGTGTTGTTACCTGTGTGTTGTTACCTGAGTGTGGTTACCTGAGTGTGGTTACCTGTGTGTTGTTACCTGTGTGTTGTTACCTGAGTGTGGTTACCTGTGTATGGTTACCTGTGTGTTGTTACCTGTGTGTTGTTACCTGTGTGTGGTTACCTGTGTGTTGTTACCTTTGTGTTGTTACCTGTGTGTTGTTACCTGTTTGCTGTTACCTTTGAGTTGTTATCTGTATATTAGAACCTGTGTGTTGTTACCTGTGTGTTGTTACCTTTGTGTTGTTACCTGTGTGTTATTTCCTGTGTGTTGCTACCTTTGTGTTGTTACCTGTGTGTTGTTACCTGTTTGCTGTTACCTGTGAGTTGTTATCTGTATATTAGAACCTGTGTGTTGTTACCTGTATGTTGTTACCTGTGTGTTGTTACCTGTGTGTTGTTATATGTGTTGTTACCTGTCTGCTGTCTGTGTGTTGTTACCTGTGTGCTGTCTGTGTGTTGTTATATGTGTTGTTACCTGTGTGTTGTTACCTGTGTGTTGTCTGTGTGTTGTTACGTTTGTGTTGTTACCTGTGTGTTGTTACCTATGTAGTGTAACAGATGTGTGACCAGTATGCTACCTGTGTGTTGTTATCTATATATTAGAACCTGTGTGTTGTTACCTCTGTAGTGTTACAGATGTGTGACCAGTATGCTACCTGTGTGTTGTTACCTCTGTAGTGTTACCTATGTGTTACTTGTGTATTGTTACTGTGTGTTGTTACCTGTGTGTTGTTATCTGTATATTAGAACCTGTGTGCTGTTACCTCTGTAGTGTTACCTATGTGTTACCAGTATGCTACCTATGTGTTGTTATCTTTGTGTGATAAGACCTGTGTGTTGTTACCTGTATTATAGAGATGCTGACAGACCCTGACATTAAGAAGAAGGACAGTGCTGTCAAGTGTTTGGAGGTGTTGTCCACATCCAAACCAGATCACTGGCAGGCCATACTGGATGCAGGTCAGTTCTATCAGCCAGACTTTTTAGTTAAATAATTATTAGGTTCATATGACATACAGGTATTGTTATATGTCTACCATATAAAGATGATTACAAGGTTGTGACCCTCTAAATGCTATATATGGAGAATGCTATTATATTTTGTTAATTTGTAGCACTATTTAGTCATGCAACCATTATCGCAATGTCATTTTGAACAGCCTCATTGTGACAGCACTAACTTTAGCTGTTCAAAGAACTTGACACATTGATGAGCAGGAGGTCTGCTAATAAGGTTCAAGTGTCTTCTGTCCAAGGACAGAACTACTACAGCACAATATTCTCTCTTCCGTTGGGATCAAACACTTCACATATTCACCTGAAGTTGTAAAATCAGATTGAGAAAATACATACCTTGATGATCAAATACCTAGATAATTAATAAAAACTGTAATCAATTAATTTACTTACATATTTCATCATAACTGTTTCCTACTGAGCTTTTAAATACATTTTGTCAATAATCTAACATAATCACAAAGCCTTGTGTCAAGAATCTCCTCCTTGAGGTGAAATTTCTCTTTGTTACGCTAAAGCTAGAGATATTTCCTATAAAAACCTGACATTAGTTAATCCTGTGTGACAAACGTGTTGTGAATATTTTACTCTATAAGGGACTGATTGTTATAATATCTGTTTGGTTTTTATTGAGAAGGATTAATCATCCGAGGTAAGGACGGTGTGTGAATGAAATAGCAGCTTATACATCAAATTTCTATCTGCAGCTACATTTTCGATGAAATATAGGAATTTCATATAGTGTTAAGCTTGTTGGTATTCTGGGATAGATGTGAAGAAAATTACTTTTGTTTTTTTATTTTATGAATGAAACTCTTGTTATTGACTAGAAGTTGACAAAGCATGCACTTCAAAAATCTAAACAAGTTGTGTGTGATTGCCTGAAATTTTGAAATGCTACCTTTGTTCAAACTATTTATGTATTCTTTTTATGTTTTTTTTTTGATTGAGTTGTTTTTGATACTGAATTTGCACTGTTATGGGTCTTTGATTGTGGTACTATGAGTTCAGAAATTAATAGTCAATTTGAAATGGAAGTATGGAAGTCATACAAAATAAAAGCTTTGAAATTTCTCTGTGAAAAACAAGCAAATAAAACTCATCAAAGGGTTTAAACACAAATGGTTTATATGCTTTTGAAAAGCATAATTTCAGAGAAAGATATTTCATCTATTTTAATTCTGTTTCAACACTAATTTTGTATTGTAGCAAAATTTGAAAAAAATGATAGTGTGCCTCAACTAACAATTTCCTCTGTTATATTACAGATGGTATTCCAGCCCTTGTCAGTGTGCTCAAGATCAACAATGAGGAACTACAGTCTGTTGCAGCTTCAGTCATCTGTAACATCTCCGAGCAGGATCCAGTACGTATTGCACTGACCAAGGCTGATGCCATCCCGATCATTATTCAATTACTAGGGTCACCGTTGGATGAGATTCAGTCAAGAGCGGCACTGATACTGTCAGATATTGCTTGTATGGAGGACAACAAAGATTCTATTTTTGAAAAGGAGGGTATTGCCCCATTGGTCAATCTTCTTGATTCGGAGATGGAGGATGTTCTGGCTAATGCTGTCAATGCAGTGCGTGTCTTGTGTGTGACCAACAAGCGTAATCAGGATGCTGTTGCTGAGTGTGGCGGGATACCACCTCTTGTGGAGTTCCTCACAGTTAACTCAGGTATGTAGTAGGTGGTCCAAGTGTGTTTTATTAGCTCATCTCAATTGAAGGCTCAGATGAGATATATGCCATCATACAGTCATCATTCAACTCTGCAATGCTGAAAATTATAATATATAAAAGCCAGTGTATTATTTGGGTTCATTTTTTTTTTGTTTTTTGTTTTGTTTTTGAACTGTAGCAAAGCTTAGTCGTGTCAGTTGAAGGAAGGGTTTTATGTTAATTGTTTATGTTGAATCGGCTTCCAGAAGGGGGAACATTCACTAATTAACTATAATATTTTATAGATTTGTGAATCATTTTGTTTACCTACTAAGTGTAATGGGAATCCTTTCAATAATAATTATAGAGATCCTTCAGGCTGGTACCGCAGCAGCCATAGCTGCAGTCACCGAGGGCAACAAGAATAACCAGGATGCTGTTGTGAATGAGGGTGCCGTCAAGTAAGTAAATTCTCTCATTATTGTAATACTTTTATTCAAGAATTGTCATGTCTACAAATATGACTCAGTTTGTGAGGAGAAATATATGAGTTAAGGCTGATTTGTTTTACTCTAGTAGCATTACAATCATCAACTCTGACCTATTACAGACCTCTGGTAGACCTGATTAAAGGTCTGAAGAATGTCACAGTACAGGTGAAGGCTGCCAATGCTATAGAAGCTTTGTCAGAGAACAACCCACGCAGTCAGAAGGCGTTCCTTGGTCTGGATGCTCCAAAGGCACTGCTGAAACTCTTTAAGGTAACTTATAGCTGTGAACTGAAGTGCTTATCTCATATCATACCTTTTGTAGATTTAGTGAAAACTGACAATGAATGTTTGATAATGATTTTTCTGTTAAAAAAGGCCATCTGTTTTATCATATTTGACATATATTGACCTTGACCTTTGTTACAGAACTATCATGTGGAGGTACGGGAACAAGGAGCCTGTACATTGTGGTCTCTGGCAGGGAACACAAAGACACAACAGAAGTATATAGCAGAAAAGACCACCATTTCTAACATCTGTGGCATGTTGTATGACTCCACAGAAAAACTCCTACATGTTGGTAGGTGTTACGGATGCAGGGGCATTTTCTTGTCAGATGAATAAATTTTGTTAGTACTATCACTTCCCTGGAGGCATCAATGAGAATCCAAATATATTTTCATGAAGCAAAATGTCTACACAAGGTCATGATTTTCTATGACCTGTAATGAAATTTTAGTGGAATATTGCTGTACATCACACTTCTTCACCATAATTGCTCTTAATGTGCTGAATTTTGGTGTCAAGGTTGTTTTTGGTTTATTGTTTCGCACCTGTGTCAATATAGAAATTGTTTTTTTAGTTATGATATTTTTTTCTAATTGATTGTTATAGAGAATGTTTCATTTCCTGGCCTACTTTTGGTTGTAAAAACTCATCGTTTCTCTCCAGGCACTTTTGAATTCGAAAGCAGTTTAATATTTCCAGACTTACTGTTTTTTTCAAGGCACTTTTGAATTCTAAAGCAGTTTAATATTTCCAGACTTACTGTATGACTTGAAATGATATTTTATTTGTACAGGTTGTATGATGGCCATTGCTTTGGGACGGGAGAATATTGAGAATCAAAATAAGCTCGCACAGACTGATGCTTTTCAGCAACTCATCCGTCTGCTTCGTATCTATGGTAAAAATGAGGGAGTAGTGCTCCGGGTCATCAAGGTGCTTGGAATTCTCTGTGTTGGTAAGTTATAACAAGACTTAAATTGACCTTCCTACTAAACCAAAGTTTATTTATTATGTACACTCACAAACATTATAATAATCTTCATGATTTCATGTGGAACCCTGCAAATGCAGTGGACAAATAACAGTGTAAACTTATTTTCATTTTTGTCTTTCTTTCAATTACTGGAACTTACTCATTTAAGGTACTATTTTGTATGTTCTTTTTACTATTTTTGAGATAATTTTTTTTACAGTTTCTTTGAAAATCAATTTACAAATTTATAAGAAATAAAGAGATAATTGGTCTTCAAAATTTAATAACCTTCCTTTGAAATGATCAGAGATTATTAAGTATGATTATCTCAGAAACATTTATATACTTATATATTTGTTGCTGACAAATGATTTTGATCTATGACCTCCAGGTGTGGCATACTGCAATAACAAGGTATCACAGAGAAGGATAGCTGAGGAGAATGCCATCCCGATCCTGGTGGGTATCCTCAACAACCCTCTGTCAGAGAAAGTTCAGGTGGAGGTTGCAACTTCTCTTGGCTGCATAATTCTGAGCAACTCAGAGAACCAGGAGAAGCTGCAGGATTGTGAGAACTTCAAGTTTGACATGCTGCTCGACCTGCTCAAGTCAAAGAATGAGGTAAGTCTTACAGTACAGCATGCTGCTCGACCTGCTCAAGTCAAAGAATGAGGTAAGTCTTACAGTACAGCATGCTGCTCGACCTGCTCAAGTCAAAGAATGAGGTAAGTCTTACAGTACAGCATGCTGTTCGACCTGCTCAAGTCAAAGAATGAGGTAAGTCTTACAGTACAGCATGCTGCTCGACCTGTTGAAGTCAAAGAATGAGGTAAGTCTTACAGTACAGCATGCTGCTCGACCTGTTGAAGTCAAAGAATGAGGTAAGTCTTACAGTACAGCATGCTGTTCGACCTGTTGAAGTCAAAGAATGAGGTAAGTCTTACAGTACAGCATGCTGCTCGACCTGTTGAAGTCAAAGAATGAGGTAAGTCTTACAGTACAGCATGCTGCTCGACCTGTTGAAGTCAAAGAATGAGGTAAGTCTTACAGTACAGCATGCTGCTCGACCTGTTGAAGTCAAAGAATGAGGTAAGTCTTACAGTACAGCATGCTCAAGTCAAAGAATGAGGTAAGTCTTACAGACCTGCTGCTCGACCTGTTGAAGTCAAAGAATGAGGTAAGTCTTAAGTACAATGACCTGTCTTACAGTACAGCATGCTGCTCGACCTGTTGAAGTCAAAGAATGAGGTAAGTCTTACAGTACAGCATGCTGCTCGACCTGTTGAAGTCAAAGAATGAGGTAAGTCTTACAGTACAGCATGCTGCTCGACCTGTTGAAGTCAAAGAATGAGGTAAGTCTTACAGTACAGCATGCTGTCTTACAGTACACATGCTGCTCGACCTGCTCAAGTCAAAGAATGAGGTAAGTCTTACAGTACAGCATGCTGCTCGACCTGTTGAAGTCAAAGAATGAGGTAAGTCTTACAGTACAGCATGCTGCTCGACCTGCTCAAGTCAAAGAATGAGGTAAGTCTTACAGTACCTGTTGAAGTCAAAGAATGAGGTAAGTCTTACAGTACAGCATGATGCTCGACCTGTTGAAGTCAAAGAATGAGGTAAGTCTTACAGTACAGCATGCTGCTCGACCTGCTCAAGTCAAAGAATGAGGTAAGTCTTAGCAGTGAACAGGTAAGTCTTACATGCATGCTCGACCTGTTGAAGTCAAAGAATGAGGTAAGTCTTACAGTACAGCATGCTGCTCGACCTGCTCAAGTCAAAGAATGAGGTAAGTCTTACAGTACAGCATGCTGCTCGACCTGTTGAAGTCAAAGAATGAGGTAAGTCTTACAGTACAGCAACCTGTTGAAGTCAAAGAATGAGGTAAGTCTTACAGTACAGCATGCTCGACCTGCTCAAGTCAAAGAATGAGGTAAGTCTTACAGTACAGCATGCTGCTCGACCTGCTCAAGTCAAAGAATGAGGTAAGTCTTACAGTACAGCATGCTGTTCGACCTGTTGAAGTCAAAGAATGAGGTAAGTCTTACAGTACAGCATGCTGCTCGACCTGCTCAAGTCAAAGAATGAGGTAAGTCTTACAGTACACAGCATGCTGTCTTACAGTACAGCCTGCTCGACCTGCTCAAGTCAAAGAATGAGGTAAGTCTTACAGTACAGCATGCTGCTCGACCTGTTGAAGTCAAAGAATGAGGTAAGTCTTACAGTACAGCATGCTGCTCGACCTGTTGAAGTCAAAGAATGAGGTAAGTCTTACAGTACAGCATGCTGCTCGACCTGCTCAAGTCAAAGAATGAGGTAAGTCTTACAGTACAGCATGCTGCTCGACCTGTTGAAGTCAAAGAATGAGGTAAGTCTTACAGTACAGCATGCTGCTCGACCTGTTGAAGTCAAAGAATGAGGTAAGTCTTACAGTACAGCATGCTGCTCGACCTGTTGAAGTCAAAGAATGAGGTAAGTCTTACAGTACAGCATGCTGCTCGACCTGCTCAAGTCAAAGAATGAGGTAAGTCTTACAGTACAGCATGCTGCTCGACCTGCTCAAGTCAAAGAATGAGGTAAGTCTTACAGTACAGCATGCTGCTCGACCTGCTCAAGTCAAAAACAGTAAAAGATGAATGTCCAGCTGATTCATTCTCATGCTTTATACATTGATATGATACATTGAAGGAAGATTACTAAGTCAGCAAACTTGGCAAACCTTCATTATGTATTCCAACATAACCATCATTCCCATTAGGTTGAATATCCCTGTCTCACTCCAAAAGGGAAGAAAGATACAGTGATTCACCAGGCTATGTTATGGATTGAGATGTCTTTAGAATGTTTAAGTATTTTCTAGAATATGACCATTTATAATAATTAATTTGTTTTTCTGATTTGCAGGAAATTCGACTAAGAGCTGGGATGGCTCTAACAATATTTGCCTTTAACAACACTCCGAAACAATTTGCTATCCGTGAAGCAGGAGGTATAAAGTACTCTGTGTTTGAACCCTTCATCAATTCCAGCGATCCTTACTTTGTTTGTTACGCAGCATTCCAGGTAAAAATTCTACATAGCCCAATTACATTTCCTCTGTGTGAGAGTATTTAAAAATTTGCAAAGCTTCTATTGCGTTTTAACTTCTTTTGAAAATATGTACATATTTTGGGTTTATGTACTGGAAACGTAATATATTTAAATATAACTGGTAACTTCATTAACATATTTAAACACAACTGGTAACCTCATTAACATATTTAAACATAACTAGTAACCTCATTAACATAACTGATAACCACATTAACATATCTAAACATAACTGGTAAGCTCATTAACATATTTAAACATAACAGGTAACCTCATTAACATATTTAAACATAACAGGTAACCTCATTAACATATTTAAACATAACTGGTAAGCTCATTAACATATTTAAACATAACAGGTAACCTCATTAACATATTTAAACATAACGGGTAACCTCATTAACATATTTAAACATAACGGGTAACCTCATTAACATATTTTTACATACCTGGTAATCTTATTCTTGCTCTTTTGTTTAGTATCACATTTAAATATGCTGTGTAAAGTTTCTCTGTGCTGCTTACATAGCAATCATTATGACGTGCCATGGACCATGGATGTGCGAATTCATCATTTTGTTAATTTTACCAAAAAAAGATAATTTACTAAAAATGTTTCATTGTGCTATATCAAGTATGTTATTAGTGTATAAACAGAATTTGACATGACATGAAATTAAGTTTATTTTTTAATTGGCAGATATTGATATCATTATTTAGCAGTTGTATGTTTCTGGTCATGTCCTTGACTAACACTAACTGTTGTCTTCTGTCTGTATAGATTACTGTGCTAGCACGAGTGATCATTGACCAGGATCAGGTCAATTTGACCGCCCGAGGTGTAACGATGCTGGTGGAGAAACTGGACCATGAGGATGATAATGTGATTGTATTGGCTGCTAGTCTTCTGTCTAGTCTGGCCCATACCCGGGCAGGTATACCTGATGCCATGGTAACCACAGGTGCTATAGATTACCTGGTTGCCCAACTGGACTCTAACAATGATCAGGTGCGAAGTGCTGTTGCTGTTGCTATGGGATACATGACTTTCAATAGGACAGCAGCCCGATTACTGTTCAGTGCTTGTAGAAACACACCTGGTCTATACAAAAATTTAATGGACAATATTGGGAAAAATGCAAAAATTAGTGCAGAATTTGTGGAGGATTTCCAGCGGGCAAAGATTGTTGGACTACCATCTCAGTGGTAAGTGTAATGGCTTCTCTAATGTATTAAGGTTACACCATACTTCACCAATTTTTATATATTCATTTTCATGATCTTATTGGCAAACGGAATTAGGCAGCAAGCAATGTCTTTGAAAATCCTTTCTTTGCCTGTATAACTAGACACACAGATAAGTCAGCCCATATCAATGATAGTAAATTAATTAAGTGAAAGGTATTTGAATAATACAGAAATATTTGAGGTATGTGGTATTCACAAAATATACCATACTTCTGATTGAATGTATCTTTACGTGGGTACAATAAAGCAACACAGCTATACCAGCTTGACATCTTTTAATGCCCAAGCCATTTTATTTCAAAACATCACGTGGTACACCTGATTATAGTTTGCGTAGGAGTTTGATATCTAATACAGTACATATCAAACATGCTCTTATCAATGCATGAAAAGATTTTAAGTATTTTTTGATTATACTGGATATAATGTTCCTTGTCTTTGAGAATGCCACCAACCACAGAAGATCATATAGTATAGTTATAATACCATTCCATCTACATCTGTTATAGAAGCATGTGTAGTCTTATTATTTAGCAAGTATTGTTATATGGTGTTTCTATCGATTAATTTCTTACCAAAGAATTGAAGTATATATAGTGTAACTAGATAAACAAATAATTTTCATTTTTAATTATATTAGGAGTACTTTTGAATTTATAACAATGTTATGTTTTGCATCATATGGGACTTTGCTTTACAGTTTGGAGATTAATGGTGGTCCCCCTGTGACTCCCCCACCAAGAATAGGTGAGTTGTCTCCCTTGTATTTTTGAATTGGAAAGAAATTTCATTTACTTTACAGTCTGAAATATTTTAACAATAATAAACATAATCTGTTCATTCCTACAGTCCCACCTCAATGTCATTGTTGTATCAAACGTTTGGAGTGGTCACATACAGCATAAAGATATAAATGTATATATCAGAATTGGGTACACAATAATTCCTCAGAAATTTGTCATTCATTGTACTATGGAGTAGATCATGATCCTTAGAAGACATGATAAGATCATATTTCCACCAATTTTTTACCATGACCCAAAATTTTTCCTGTCAAAACCTTCCAGGAACAGCTAACAGTAGAACATCTAGTCGTGCTAAATCTGCTCCAAGTTCTGGCCGTAAAAAGTCCGGATTTCTCAGTACTGTGATCAACAGTGACAGTCGTCCATCCACCCGAGCACGACCTATATCTGGTACATCATCAGTGAAAACTAATAAATCAAGGAAACAAACCCCATCACCAGAAGGAGGATTCAAAACGAGGCTGTCTACATGGAACAAAAAGTGAGAGAAACAAAACTGCAGTAGAATATTCTCATTTAGCATTACATGACAGAAATATTGTTGTCCTTTAGTTAGATCAAAGTATATTGTAAATACGTTCTTCTAGGTATTCTGTAATTTATGTAATAGATTTCAAGAAGACTTGTATAGACTGTTAGGATAATTCAGGAAATATATGTACATGTTTGTAATTGCAAAATTGTTTTGAGTCAGATATGACACGTTTTCGTTCAAGGTCATGTCCTCTACAATAGTATTGAAGTTATAAATTTGTCATTGTTTTTATGAATATTTTGATTTTTGTTAAAATATATACATCTGTGATATCAAGTTTGAAAATAACCATGAAGGATTCTTTGATATGATTATTGCAAAATCATGTATTTTTTGGGGGTAAAATTTTGGTGGTTTTTGTAAAAATTCCATGAGTACTTGATTTCATGAGATACCTACAATATCCACGGATACTAAAAATTCATGTCAAGCATTTAAAAGTTCATTAATGAGTATATATGACTTTAAGGATGAAAAGTAACCATGAAATCATTGAGTATAAATCCAATGAATATAAAGTATTTCATATGTTACATAAAGTAACAAACATTCATTCTGTCACCACTTAGAAATAAATGGGTAGGTGTAATTGTGTTATCTGGAAGTAGGATGCCTAAATAGACATACCAGGTATGTCATCTCTTTCTAGTAATATGTCTGAAAGAACAAGATATTCTCATGACACGGATAAGTTTTGACAGTGGATCTTTCAGGTTACAAGGTTTTTATATTGGTTGTTGTGATCTTTGAAGACTGTAAATGGCATACAAATATATACACATGTATTTGTGAGAGGAGATGTCTGGCCTATTGTCTGTGTGGGTTTTATGAGGGAAGAAGTCTGGCCTATTGTCTGTGTGGGTTTTATGAGGGAAGAAGTCTGGCCTATTGTCTGTTTGGGTTTTATGAGGGAAGAAGTCTGGCCTATTGTCTGTGTGGTATTATGAGGGAAGAAGTCTGGCCTATTGTCTGTGTGGTGTTTATGAGGGAAGAAGTCTGGCCTATTGTCTGTGTGGGTATTATGAGGGAAGAAGTCTGGCCTATTGTCTGTGTGGGTATTATGAGGGAAGAAGTCTTGCCTATTGTCTGTTTGGGTTTTATGTGGGAAGAAGTCTGGCCTATTGTCTGTGTGGGTATTATGAGGGAAGAAGTCTGGCCTATTGTCTGTGTGGGTATTATGAGGGAAGAAGTCTGGCCTATCGTCTGTGTGGGTTTTATGAGGGAAGAAGTCTGGCCTATTGTCTGTGTGGGTATTATGAGGGAAGAAGTCTGGCCTATTGTCTGTGTGGGTTTTATGAGGGAAGAAGTATGGTGCTTATTGTCTGTGTGGGTATTATGAGGGAAGAAGTCTGGCCTATTGTCTGTGTGGGTTTTATGAGGGAAGAAGTCTGGCCTATTGTCTGTGTGGGTATTATGAGGGAAGAAGTCTGGCCTATTGTCTGTGTGGGTTTTATGAGGGAAGAAGTCTGGCCTATTGTCTGTGTGGGTATTATGAGGGAAGAAGTCTGGCCTATTGTCTGTGTGGGTTTTATGAGGGAAGAAGTCTGGCCTATTGTCTGTATGGGTATTATGAGGGAAGAAGTCTGGCCATTGTCTGTGTGGGTTTTATGAGGGAAAAAGTCTGGCCTATTGTCTGTGTGGGTATTATGAGGGAAGAAGTCTGGCCTATTGTCTGTGTGGGTTTTATGAGGGAAGAAGTATGGTGCTTATTGTCGGTGCGGGTATTATTTGGGAAAACGTCTGGTGCATATTGTCTGTGCGGGTTTTATCAGGGAAAACGTCTGGCATGTATTGTGTGTGTGGGTATTATTAGGGAAGAAGTCTGGCTTATTGTCCGTGTGGGTTTTGTGAGGGAAGAAGTCTGGCCAATTGTCTGTGTGGGTTTTTAAACCTAATGTCATTAAACCTAATTTATTTTACAATTATTGCAAAACCAGTTATTCCAACTTAAATCAATCACCGTTGTTGGCCCAGATAGAAGCATTCAAGAGGTCTCACTCTCCAATAATACCTAAGTAAAACACAGATGGTCCAGATGCCTAGGTGAAAAGTGTTACAACTGTGCCACCTGTGTGGACTTGTGAGGAATGAAGTCAGGACTATAGTCCTGTGTACGTTTTATGAGGGGAGATTTCTGGCCTGTGTCCTGTGTGGGTTTATGAGGGGAGAATTCTGGCCTGTGTCCTGTGTGGGTTTGTGACGGGAGAATTCTGGCCTGTGTCCTGTGTGAGTTTGTGAGGGGAGATTTCTGGCCTGTGTCCTGTGTTGGTTTGTGAGGGGAGAAGTCTGGCCTGTGTCCTGTGTGGGTTTGTGAGGGGAGAATTCTGGCCTGTGTCCTGTGTGGGTTTGTGAGGGGAGAAGTCTGGCCTGTGTGCTGTGTGGGTTTGTGGGTTTGTAAGGGGAGAAGTCTGGCCAGTGTCCTGTGTGAGTTTGTAAGAGGAGAAGTCTGGCCAGTGTCCTGTGTGGGTTTGTAAGGGGAGAAGTCTGGCCTGTGTGGGATTGATACAAGTTTCACACCTGCTTTCATTGAGTGTAATTAGTGTTCAGGATGTGCCTATAAGATTAACCTTACAATGTACCCAGTCATTCTGTGATAACTTTACACCTGATAGACCTTGAGTTCAGCCTAGATGACATATTTGTCTATAACTTTGTTACTTTTTTGTTAAATATATATTTTAGTACTTTCAAAGAATCATGTTAGGTTTACTAACAAGAACCTAGTAATCTAGATTTGTGATATATGTATGAATTATTTCTTGTTTCCGAGTAGATGATGTAACATATTTGTGAACCACTTCCAGATTTAAGTGTGACAGGTTTGTGATTCATGTACATGATTCCTGTTGTAACTGGAGTATGTCGGTGAATCACTTCCTGTTTTAAGTGGAAGATGTTGGTGAATCACTTCCTGTTTAGGTGGAAGATGTTGGTGAATCACATCCTGTTTTAAGTGGAAGATGATAGTGAATCACTTCCTGTTTTAAGTGGAAGATGTTGGTGAATCACTTCCTGTTTAAGTGGAAGATGTTGGTGAATCACTTCCTGTTTAATGGAATATGTTGATGAATCACTTCCTGTTTTAAGTGGAAGATGTTGGTGAATCACTTCCTGTTTAAGTGGAAGATGTTGGTGAATCACTTCCTGTTTAATGGAATATGGTGATGAATCACTTCCTGTTTTAAGTGGAAGGTGTTTGTGAACCATGCAATTGTGAATCACTTTCTCTTATAAGTGAAGATTTTCTGAAGTTTTTCAGATGTTATAAGTTATTAGTGTGATCATTGATTCACTGCCAGATTGATGAGTACCAATAGTATTAAAATAAAGATATACAGTGAAGAGGTTGATATATCTATTTAGGCACAAGTAGATGACCAGTTAAGTCTATGGATGCATTTTCAGAATCTTGTTATATAGATCTACGGAAACATTCACAGGATCATCTCTTTGTTCTATTAACATATTGACAGCATCAACTGTTAGGTCTAGGGACACATTGACAACATCAGCTGTTAGGTCTATGGACACAGTGACAGGATCAGCTGTTAGGTCTAGGGACACAGTAACAGGATCAGCTGTTAGGTCTAGGGACACAGTGACAGGATCAGCTGTTAGGTCTAGGGACACATTGACAACATGAGCTGTTAGGTCTAGGGACACACTGACAGGATAAGCTGTTAGGTCTAGGGAAACATTGACAGGATCAGCTGTTAGGTCTATGGACACATTGACATCATCAGCTGTTAGGTCTATGGACACAGTGACAGGATCAGCTGTTAGGTCTACACCGTGACAGGATCAGCTGTTAGGTCTAGGGACACATTGACAGCATCAGCTGTTTGTTTTTCAAATTCAAGGCTTACTTATTGTTATTTTACAATTTTGTTACAGAAATAGGTATGTTATTTTTCTGTGTCTAAACTGTTAGCAGACTTTAAATTATAGTTACTGTATTTGTAAACTTTAACCAGAGACATTGAGAAGTAATCGGAGTAGTAATTGTTTATTTATAAATTTCAGACATATCAGTTCAGATTATCTACTATGATGACAATACCTTAGCCTTGCCCTCACAAAGAATATGGTTTCATATTTTCTCTGTAAACCTCGATTATAGGTGAGTGAACTTGCATCGTGTATTTGTGACCTCATATTTAGACTCCTGTTGAAAAATCAATTTTTGTATAGTTGACCCACAGGGGCTTGCAACAATACCTGTATACATATCATTGCTAGCCCCTGTAGTTGGACCTGATTTATGTGAAGTGGAACTGGTGTCACATAATGCCAATACAAGTTCTCATTTTACAATATGGTAACAGAATGTGTTCTGGTCATTTACTTTGTTTTTAACTATTTTTCTTTATAACTATTTTACACTCGCTTCTCTGTGTGTCTGATCTGTCTGTGTGTGTGTGATGATACAATGTTAAATAATATTGTGCCCTCACAATCTTGACATGTAAGTTTCAAGTGGAACAAATATTTCTGATGATAATGTTAAAAATCTATAGGGTTTCATTTGTGATAGGAAGATTCCTCAGTTATTAAGAATGCAGATAATTTACAGATAGCATAGACTGTGTATTAAGACACTGTCAAGCACAGACAGAAAATTAATCTTATCTTATCAAATGAGCCACATACTAAGGATGATAATGTTTAGCTTTGTTTTTATTTCTGACATTCCATCATAACATGTCACCGACATTCTAATGTGTTTATCTATATTGGATACATACACCATGTAGTATTATGTATTTCTATCTGGCCTACATACTTATATATACAGCTGTGATATACAATATGTATGATCTACTTATTAGTAGTAGAAGTCTATTAGATGATGATAAAGTGATAGTTTATTACACAACATCATGCAATATTGTGTATATTCTGTAATGACCTAAGGACCCAGTATGTCTGACTCAAAGTCAGGGGATGGGCTTATTACAAGACATCTTGGTGTAACAAATAGCAGTGAGTGGGCTTCTCACTGGACAAGTACTGTGATTATATTTAGTTATGTTTATGATTAACTAAATGTGTAATGTCTAAGATTTGTATCTATTATGGAGTTACCAATGTAATAACTGTATGTGAGAAGTTATGTTTTTAGCTTAATTAGGCACTTTAAGATGTGTAATGTGTACTATTTGCTGCACCATTTTAATATGTTGTACAAGATGTAACTTGCACTGTTTTTAGCGAGTTTAAGCATTGTTGTGATTGTAGAGTCCAAAGGTTTTTTTGTTGAAAAGTCACAGGAATAAAATTTTGTTTCAAGAACTTTTGCTGTTTAAGTTTCCTTGAGGTTGCAACCAGCGTCTACAAATAGACCCCTCCTCAAAATGTCTGGCTGTTGATGGGGTGAAAACCAAACAAACAAATTCTAGTCTCTTATTACCAGAGACATATATAACACATGTTATATATGTCTCTGTTATTACCAACTAATTATGTCACAGAAGAGAACCATGGTCCATCTTGTCACTTGTTACTGACTCAGCAACCAAATGACACATTAGTGAACCAGTCATATTACTTTATTATTGATTCTGCCTATACAGTGTTAACAATGGCTAAATTAAACAGAGAACAACCCAATGACTTGATTTTCAAAATTTTATTTTGGTCTCAATTTCTTATGACCATATCACAATGACTTCATGTAATTGAATACTGTTGAAATGAATATCCACATTTAAGAAAAATGTCACATTTGTATTTCCAACTACTACCATAAGCAAATCAAAGCTGGAATTCAGATTGCTGATTACAAAATGAATGTGCATTTGATGACACAATTCAAGCATTATCTTACAATTTTAAAAGTGGAAGATTTTTGGAAAAAAGATATTTTCACTTTTACATGTATGAATACCATTTTCACGAAATTTTAAATCATTGTTTCCCCCCAGAAGAAAAGGCCAATTGTCTCCTATATTTTCAAGCACTCGAAAATAAAGCAAATTACTGCATAGTTTCATGATACATAAAATAATCCAGCCCTTTTTTTGCGCAAAGACTTGAATTCTAGCACTTTTTAAAGGTGCTGATATATACACTGTCAAATATATGGTTATAAATATTAATTAGTTATTAATTAACTTCTAAACCAGATGTTAAACCAGTTACCACATCTTCTAGGCCTAGCACTATGCTATTACATACCACTAAACCCCTTTCTAAAGCTATCAGTTATTTGACGTTCTTTCTATTTTCACTGATTCATTGACAATCAACATTTACAGCATCTATATATCATTTGTTCATAGCTTGTGAACAATTGCACTGATCATTCTTCCAATGAATCTCAATAAATACCTTGTACAACTTATTTCCAGTGAAAATAGAATCATTCTTATCCCTTACAAGAATCATGCCAGATCTCACTTTATGTTAAAGTAGACAAAGGTAAAAAGGTGGATAGTTAAAATGTTAGTTCAGCAAATCTTTGCACCAGTTTAAACAACAGACAATGTCAATTCAGTTTTCCTGCTGCTCAAAGATTGGGTAGTTGTTGAGTACATCTTCCCAGCTCCGGCGGCCATTCGATAGGTCACGCACAATCTCTGGTAACTCCACGATCTGCAACACACAAAAAAAAAATGTAATACTTGCCTACTTCAAATTCATCAATTTTCCTGGTGGATTTTTGTTAAATTTGTGGGTATCCTAAGTTCTCAAATGTTTATATCCACAAAACGAAGGGAAAAATGCTAGCACAGACTACTGTACCAGAGGATTTCATGAGTAAGATTTAACCACAAAATCAAGTGTACACAAAAATGTATAGTTTATGAAAACCACAAAGTTAGAGCACCACAAAAATATGATACTGACTAAACAAAAAATCATAATGTCAATTTCAAGACCATGTGTTCCCCAAAATTGAATTGCAGGACACATTTGTAACATTACATTGGTATTTTGCTGCATATTAACATTCTGGTACATGTACTTGATAACAGTGTAAACCAAATTTCTTTCATGACTACCAATTTTCATAATTTGTGTATTATGAAAAGTTCATATTGATAAATTTTAACAAATCAGACCATATTGTACTATACTACAATCACTGTGGTATTTTTTTCATTTCCCACACAATTGTTTTACAGTACAGAACTTAAAAACACATAAACTTTAAAAATAACTAACTTTATTTCAGGTGAAATTTTCTTTGGAGAACAAAACTCTAATCACACAGTTAAATGTACAATACCTAAAACATCAGTTACCTGTATAGCATCACTGACAATTTAAACATCACAGCAAGTTAACTTTCAAATCGTTATCGAATAATCATTTGTAACTCACCGGAGCTCGGATCTGTTTCATGGAGTCTCTGTCCCTAAGTGTGGCAGTAGGAGGAGTTGACTTAACCGTATCAAAGTCAACTGTTATTCCATAAGGGATGGCTATCTGGTCAGTGCGAGCATATCTACGACCAATAGAACCACTGCTGTCATCCACTTTGTGTGATATATCACATTTGGTCAAGGCCATCGCTACATAAGGATGAACAAACAACACATGTAACAGTTTGCCACAGGGTACTGCTAAGCTAGAGAGAACTTGTCTTCAGTTCGATCAGTTAAGCTGAAGTCCAGTAAGCAAGAAGTCCTCTAGTTGGATGTTGTTATACATAATGAGCTATGCTACAGTTCATTTTTTCTTAAATTCAAGACAAAACAAGATGTCCAAACAGACTGTATACTGGATATAAAAGCAAAAGTGAAATATTATGACTCAAACTCAAACGTGTTCAAAGTGTCCCGTAATCTGTGTTCAAGGCCTGTGTGTTCTGTAATCTGTATTCAAGGTGTGTGTGTTCTGTAATCTGTATTCAAGGTGTGTGTGTTCTGTAATCTGTGTTCTAGATATGGGTGTTCCGTAATCTGTGTTCAAGGTGTGTGTTCTGTCATCTTTGTTCAAGGTCTGTTCAGAAATCAATGTTTAATGGGTGTTCAGTAATCTGTGTTCCATTGATCTTTGGGTTCAAAGTGTGTTTTGTAATTTGTGTTCACTCGCACTTTGTGTTAAACTAAAAGCCATCCATTTCAGATTGAGCTACTGCTCAAGACTGTTTACAGAGTTTTCAATTTAACGTAAGTATTGCTTAAAGTGTCTTGTTACAAAAGTTTAGAAACTTTTCAGTGAAACTAAGGTACTATTTACAAAGTCTGGTTTAGGAAGTTCAGAGAGATTTCAGTATAACTAATCAATACTTGCAGAGTTAGGCTTAGGAATTTTAACAGTTTCCTATTGTAAGTAAAGAGCTACTTATAATTGGTACTTACAAGAGTCTCAGAGTTTGGTGAGTTTCAGTGTAATTGAAGTACTATACTTACAAAGTTCTTTGACAAACTGTTGAAGTTCTGGTTTTGAACTGAGGGGTAGGACGGAGCATTTGTATGGGGCAATCGCAGCTGGTAAAGTCAGGTACTGTTTAACAATGATAACTCAATATAAACATTTCATCATTTACATTAATGTGTATATGAAGTAATTCTGTGTATTAATTGTTCTCTGGTGAATTAAGGCAGAGAAAACTTGATTTATGTAGTAGACACAGTGTTTCAGTGTCATAATTGCAATATTACAACAATCTGTAAACAATCTGAAAATTAAACCAAACAATTTCAATTCAAATTTAGGAAGATATGCTTACACAGAAGTTATGTATCAGTAAAATCTCACCGTTCTCTGTTCATCTCCTTCTCTTGTCTTAAAATTGTGTTCAAATATAGAATACATAACACGTCCAATTCCAAATGATGGCTCTATCACAGACGGCATAATCTCTTCAACTGAAAATAACAATTCATGTATATCAATGTCAATCAGCAATAATGTTACAGCTTTGGAAATAATCATTCAAAGAAGATTGCATCTACACATTTGCATATATAGGCTGAAATCCTGCTGTACGCTATATCCAGACAAGAGCATCGTTAATTCCATCAAATATAATCCATATATCCTCAAGCATGTGCGCGTATTTTTGCAATGATAAGCTATCCAGTCTATTACCGAATTATGGACTAACTTAGCCTGGTACACCTTTTACAACCGAACAACTGATACTAATCTTTCACTTTGCACTTTAAACCTGTCATTTTATTTAACTATATACAATATATGCTCTGTTGATTTATTTTTTCGAGTAATAAAATACTGATCGGAAAAAAAGAATGAATAAAAAGTAAAAAAAATAAATAAATTGGAAAAAAAAAAGAAAAAGTACGATGATGATATGGCTCGGCGACTAAAACTACAGTAGCAGTTTTTCAGTTAGCCCAATATCATTAGGATTATATATTCTATATGCAGTATGTTTAGGATGTAAAAACATTTATTCACTAATACTGCACAAAAATAACCAATATTAACAAAACTAACAAAAAGAAAACCCTGATATTATGTAAAAAAAAAAGTATGTACATGATTATAGACTATATCAACCGTCTAGAGGAAAATAGAGCCAAAATCTGAGTACTAAAAAAAAAAAAAAAAAATGTTACAGATTTGGATATAGATATTGTAGTCTGTGAATAGGAAAATGACCTTCTGTCGAGTTTATCTTTCAAAAGCACTTGATTACTTGCATCTACATGTAACTGTGATACCAAGATTAAAATGTGAGGAACATATTAAACTGATTTACACATATACAAGTCATTTTAAGTTTCTGTTTCTTAGGTCTCCCAAATTCTTCTTTCCTGTCCACAGACTACTGAAAATGATATTTGAATCGCAGATAATAATGGACATCAATGACCAATCAGTGACCTTGATTAAAGATTACTGTCCAGTTTGTTATCCTCATGGAGTTTTACTTTTCATCTTTTTCATGGGTGGAATAAAATCTCTGGTAAAATCACAATAACTGGAACCATTAAAAAACTTAATTCTTTACAGAACATTTAAAGATAGTAATGGATTCAACAGTAAGTACTTCTGAGATTCATTGTGGTCTATGTATTTGTGGTAGGTACTGGTATATGAGTTCATCAGTTCTAGTCATTCATGGCCACAAAGTAGGAATGCATATATTAGTAAGTACAAGAGATACTGAATTAAAACATAGCAGAAATCAGCACAAAAAGAAAATATCAAAGGTTCTAAATCATACCACAAATCATTGTCACTTTAACATCCACCTAACACAGGACAACAATTATATCTAACAGGTAAATAATAGACCTTCAGTTACCTGACAGAAACACAATACAGTACATAGTGTTGATACTGACCATGAACGGTCTTTGGGTATCGCTTGATCTCCAGCATGTCAGACTTCAGAGTAAATGATTTACCATTTACATCTACAGAGTATTCCCTGTAACAAATCAAAGTTAGATAAATTACCCCCAAATGATGTCAGTAATCAGGCAACAGGTAAATGTTCTGAGAAATCTGAGTCGTGGAGTCATTACTCTGATGTCACAAGGTATCCTCAGGAATCCTAATTCCTAAACTACAACACATGTATAAAGTTTATACCCGATGATCTGAAGCTGTTTCTTGTGCATTTGCCTCCAATATCCTACATATGCCATAGACAAAAGGTTTTATTTTCAAGCAGACCTTGTTTTTACCAAACTTTCCCAAAATGTTAAAATGAGAAACTTGAACCTATAGAACTCTGAGTCTCTTGGATCTTACAATGGGCCATTAACAAAACTTACAATCAAGAGACTCCTTACTGACAGACACCCCAATTAATAAGAGATAATAATGATAATGATAAAAAAGTTTACAAAAAAAATGATGTACAACTTTACCCATTGTCTTTGAGGTTTTTATCCAGACTATCAATATCCTCAGTAGAAAGGCCGCTTAGGTGTGAGGCAACATCTTTAGCATCCCGCTTAAAGGCCTTTCCCATGAGCTTCATATTCGGTACACACTCCGTAACATCAATGGTTTTGTGGAGTAAAGTCAAGGAGAGATTATAACATCTAATAGCTGGAATAATAACATGACTTAGACAACAGGTTTACTCAGCAAAAATTGAAACACGTCATCCTGTGGACTAAATGTATCCCTATATCGGTAAAAATTAATTTATTTCTTTAATGATTTATGGAGAGAAATGTCCACCAAGTGACATAAAACTCCTTTAATCTTTTTAAATATTGAAGTTAGTTCTGGTCCAGGAGCTTCTCGTGACATTGTGCTGCATTCTTTTTCATCTATGACAGCCTTAGCTAGCACTTTTGAATACAAACCTGTACAAGGTATGGAGTATTCCATTTCAGCAAGGGATGTTTTGTACCTTGCTTGAAATTTGTTCAATATGAACTCACTAGATAGTTTTGCCGACAAAAATAGACTTAACAATTGAAAAATTGATAAACTGGATTTCAAGTGATGATGTTTTGAGAGATTTTTACATATCACCAAAATTCTTAAGGATATTATCACTTTATAACAGTAAAGTTTTGATTGGCTTAAATAAAAGCATCTCTGTAACCCTGAATTATGATCATCTCAACACTTCACTTCCATATCAATCCTTAGTTTAGGTATTTAAGTAGGTAAAGTAAAAACTGAATAAAAAAAATGTAACAATACACCATCTAAAGCAACTTCGTTTTCAGGTACTTCATGCTAACCAATTCCTACAACAGCTCAACAATATAATGTAAGATTGAGGGAGTTGTTATAAAACTACAATGTAAACTCTGTGTTTCTATGTTAGGATATAGCTTCTGCTAACTTCCTCTCTGCTACCAGTTTAACTCCAGTCGCTTTGGTATGCTGGGTTAGATCATAACAGGAACGGTCTGCACAACCCACACATTCTATCCAGCCCTGAAACCAATGTAACAGTCAGGTAAGTGGAAATGATTAAATAGTATTGGAACAATTTACATTTCTGGGTTATCTCTGTAAATTTCACACACATACTTTACTAATTAATAATCATTGTTTGGGGGAAATGATAAACTATTGAAAATGGAATCCAAACTGAGAAGACAAATTAACAAACCATGCCATATTCTTAACTTACATAAGAAGTTTTACATTCACCGTCCCAGCAGTCCTTGGCATAATGAGCCATCTCATTTGACATGTGCTGACGGAACCGCAGACGCTTTGGATCTACACCACTCTTCACCAGGAATAGGTATATCCTTCCAATGAAGTAGCCTAGTGTCTCGTTGGCGATCAGTTTCTGAAAGTATAAACAATATGTAGCTGCTAACTGTCTATATAAAATATCAATCTGAAATATCTGTGGCTATTTTCTCTCATATGTTTGAATTTACAAAATATCTGTGCCATTATCTGCTGTTTCAGAAGTCAACTGAATCCTTTACCTAGTTCACTGTATTAAGTATATACCAGGTGATGTATTTCAATCTGTTGTTCACTGTGAAAGTAAACAGCCTAATGTTTTGTCACAGCCAGTCGGTCAGGCATTCAATCAATAAATTGAAGGAAGTACTTCCTTTCAGTGTATATACTTTCATGTTTCATTGATTCCATATGTAATTAAATTCAAAGTGAGTTGGCAATGTATGGCAACTTCAAATGTATTGCAATGTTTGTCTTATAGTCAACATTCTGAAAAGCACAGTATATATTACAAGAATTTTCAAACTCACTTTTTGGGTATGGAAGTATAATTATAAAATAGCCATGATGCTGTATATGCACATGTGGTTCATATATATTCAAAACAATATTTCATAAAAACTGATGTTTATGACAATTTCTTCACATAAACCTATCAGAAAACTAAAAAAAATTGTCAGACAGTAAATACCATTACATACATGGGTAACACTGACAAAACATAAGCACATGCTAAACAGTAAGTTGTAAAATGTAAACACATGACCATCATCTGCTAAAGCCCAAGATATGGCATTTGATGTTGTTATATGCCTGATTTTGTTTCCATATTTGTCAGCATATTTGTATCATTATTTAAATACTGAATATATCTAGCATGTCGTAAGTAAGGGGTAGAAAATCTTGGGTTAGACTATTCTGAATCTCCTCCAGTACAGATTTCTCTGTCCTACCCTCCAGCTAGGAAAAGATCTTGTAAATCAGTAATTCACAACATACATCAGTTTCAATTGTGTGGGAGATGTTGATATTATCAATGAACTGCCTTGTAGTTGTGTGACATGGCATGTTTTCCTGCAAAGCTATGTCACTTATATTGACCATAAATGCCAAGTAATACCTACCTCCCTCACTGCATCACCAATTTTTTTCTTTTCTGGTGCCTTCCCATCCATCTGGTTACAGGCAGAGTATAATACCAATTCCAGATCTGCTACCGTGTCAAACTTGGGGTGAGTTGATTTCAACTCTGGGTCACAGAAATGCTCAATTTCTGCCATGGTAAACTCTCTGTACAACAAGTCAAGATACAAAACTGTAATTAAACTGAAGTTACAGCTGGCAAATTGAACCACAAGTTACCTATAAATATCAACATGAATAACAAACCAAGTGAGGTTTCTATACAGTCTGCAAAAATTCAGTAGGGTTAATCACATAACTCACATCTATCTATAAATTTTTTGACCATATCATATTGAGAATCATCTTAAAAGAAACTAAGTTTTAGGCTGTTATAAATATGAACATTCTCCAAATTTTTTTCTTTCTGTTGCTAAAATGTTGTTTATTTTGCAGCACAACAACAGGTGTCTTACCTCACTCGTAGGAGACCTGATCTTGGTGAGATTTCATTTCTAAAGGCATTTCCTATTTGAGCTGCTGCAAATGGTAACTTTCCCTGATTAAATTGCAGCAGACGTTTGAAATTTACAAAGATACCCTGAGCTGTTTCTGGTCGAAGGAATCTGTAAAAAGACAAAAGTAAGACACAATCTGTCCTTTCATTTTTAGCTTCATCATTTACTCATGAGAATGAAATGTGTGTGGAATAAACATCATATATTGATATTATGTTTATTAGTTTTCACAGAGATTTAAATTCTTTATTCTCTCATCAATTCATCAATTATTGATTTAAAATCAGAGAAGTTTTAATAAATCATTTGAAATAAAAAGTAGCTGTTACAATTTCAACCTATGGAAAATACATCACAAAAAACCCTACCCTTTCATCTGACCAGTCGGCCCTATAGATGTACCAAACATGAGATTGAACTCCATTGGATCACTGACGTCATTTCCTGTCACCGGAGACTTCATCTCGTACCTGCGTATCAACTCACCTAACTCCTCTTTAGTCATAGCCTCTATCTGTGGTTAGAAATGATGGTCCGTCATATTCATCATATACATAGTAGTCTTACAGCTTACTAGGAAAAACTTAATCTGGGTTGGACTACGAGTAAGACAGTTTACAGAAATATGATATGTAGACAGAGTCTGTAAATATATCAGATTACTGGGAAAAACTTAATCTGGGTTGGACTACGAGTAAGACAGTTTACAAATATGATATGTAGACAGAGTCTGTAAATATATCAGATTACTGGGAAAAACTTAATCTGGGTTGGACTACGAGTAAGACAGTTTACAGAAATATGATATGTAGACAGAGTCTGTAAATATATCAGATTACTGGGAAAAACTTAATCTGGGTTGGACTACGAGTAAGACAGTTTACAGAAATATGATATGTAGACAGAGTCTGTAAATATATCAGATTACTGGGAAAAACTTAATCTGGGTTGGACTACGAGTAAGAGTCTACAGAAATATGATATGTAGACAGAGTCTGTAAATATATCAGATCAAATTATTTTTTAAAAAATGAGGTACACTTGAAGACGGAAGTAAAATGGCACTGACTTATAAAACTGAGAATGAAACATGGAATTACAGACTTAGCACATGAAACATGAATTACTGATTTAGCACATGAATTACATACTTAGCACATGAAACATGAATTACAGACTAAGAACATGGAATTACAGACTTAGCACATGAATTACAGGCTTAGCACATGAATTACAGACTTAGCACACAAATCACAGTCTTAGCACACAAATTACAGACTTGGTCAGGTAGATGTAACACTTACATTAGGCATTAACTTTCGGATCTCTTCTTTCTTCTCCGCTGGCACCTTCTTGTCACTTAAGACCTTCTCAAAGAACCCTGTAATCACAAGAGAAGAGAATATTTCAGACTCTGAAACTTGAAATCGGGCATTGATTTTAGGGGATCTAACACTTACTGTGCACTCGCTTATTTTACCCTATCAGTATGTCTATTCACAAGTCTTAATATTTCATCAGATCTATACCCAAAAACAAACCAGACAAACATTTATCTCCACATTTTTTTTTTTCAGGTTTTTTTTTCGGGTTTTTTTTTCCATTTTAGGATTCTGAAAAACGTGTTATGTTTTCATAAAAATAAAATCATTTGTGATTTTCAAAACTTTCATGTTCAGTAATACTCTTTCTATTCTTCAGTAGAAAAAGTTGAGTTTTCAGAGAAACAGTCTACTGATAATGACACCACCTACCTTCCACTAAGTGGTCAGCACGGAAACAAGCTCCACTCTTCAGATCCTTAACCATGTGATCCTGGAACCTCTCCACATGACCAGATGCTCTGGAAAGGGGAGATAACTATCAAAACAACAATATCTGACCATTAAGATCAAAATCTATTGCATACAAAAAATGTTTTTGTGGTTTATCAAAATGACAACATTCTGTTTTTTCTTTTTCTAAGGACATTACTAATGTCATAAGGAAAATACATTACTTGAGGACATTTTCTGGTGTCAGCACAGAGCAGTCAACCTCCAGCATTTGTTCTTCAAGCACAAAGAAGTTCCTCCACAACTGTATAAGGTTTGCTTTCACAGCACATCCCATGGGACCAAAATCATACAGGCCGTTGACACCTACACAGAAGAATTATTGTTATATCGTCATTGTAATCATTTTAAAGATTGTAATCTGAGATCAAAATGTAGGTCAGATTGATCTAACAAAATTTGGTAACTCTAGGTGAACAGGTACAAGCAATACTCCAAAACTTTTTGAGAGAGAATATTAATAGAATGCAAGGATAATTTAATACTCCCTAGACTGTAAGGTGGTTGATATTACTTTAAACTTTAGATGATCAAACCAATAATCACAGAAATATGTTACTATATCAACATGGATTGCCAGCATGACAGAATTTGTTTTATCACAAGAGAGTTTACAAATTCAGATTTTAACTTCAGTCTCACATCAATGGCTGATGCGATACTTCATGCTTGATTTAATTACCATAGGTTTCTCTCTAAAATGAACAGTAAATATAAGGTATGAATAATATTGATATCCACAGATAATGATCTGGCTTCATTTTATCATCAAACGTCTATATATTAGTTTTCTTTCACTTTTTAGTTTGATGTCATGTTAATCTGGCCTTATTACACAGGACAAATTTGTATTTAAAGGGAATGTATGTTATTTTTGTAAAAATGTTAATAACCAAACAATTTATGTTATTAACATAATTTTAAAATGAAACAATGGTTAATATGTTATGATATAAAATTTTATGTTAGGATACAAAGACAGATATGAGTAACACTACTCTATTTGACAAAGGTTTTGACCCATTACCTTACTTGGGAAAAGATATCTGACTTCTCAGATTTTTTAACTGACAGTGGATATCCAAAAGAGAAAGAAAAAATCTGAAAATTTAAATTATGCACATTAATATTTAAACAATCTCACCTCCATAAATTGAGAATGACTGGTCAAAGAAAAACTTCTGGATCAATAAATCCTCCAATCTGGCCCGGTCAAAGTCATCTTTCGGGGACAATGCCAATTCCTTAAAGATAAAAACATTTTATTAAACTTGTATCATAAAATCATAACCTCAATGTCTAAACATATCAAGTTGATCCTTTTTTCTAAAATCCTTTTTCCATGGGCAAAAATGTAAATTTTCAAACTATCAATGTGATACAAAACAAATACATGGTGGCGAGAACATGCCCTATTAAGTTTATCTGTCTAATAAAGATGTTCGCAGCATACAGTATACAATCTGCCATTTTCTCCCCAGGACTCATTCCTGTATTAAGCTATCGTCTCCAGGATTCAACCCTGTATTAAGCTATTGTCTCCAGGACTCATTCCTGTATTAAGCCATTGTCTCCAGGACTCATTCCTGTATTTAGCTATCGTCTCCAGGACTCAACCCTGTATTAAGCTATCGTCTCCACGACTCATTCCTGTATTAAGCTATTGTCTCCAGGACTCATTCCTGTACTAAGCTATCATCTCCAGGAATAATTCCTGTATTAAGCTATTGTCTCCAGGACTCATTCCTGTATTAAGCCATTGTCTCCAGGACTCATTCCTGTATTAAGCCATTGTCTCCAGGACTCAACCCTGTATTAAGCCATTGTCTCTAGGACTCATTCCTGTATTAAGCTATTGTCTCCACGACTCATTCCTGTATCAAGCTATTGTCTCCAAACTCATTCCTGTACTAAGCTATCATCTCCAGGAATAATTCCTGTATTAAGCTATTGTCTCCAGGACTCAACCCTGTATTATGCCATTGTCTCTAGGACTCATTCCTGTATTAAGCTATTGTCTCCAGGACTCATTCCTGTATTAAGCTATCATCTCCAGGACTCATTCCTGTATTAAGCTATTGTCTCCAGGGCTTATTCCTGTATTAAACTATTGTCTCCAGAACTCATTCCTGTATTAAGCCATTGTCTCCAGGACTCATTCCTGTATTAAGCTATCATCTCCAGGACTCATTCCTGTATTAAGCTATTGTCTCCAGGACTCATTCCTGTATTAAGCTATTGTCTCCAGGACTCATTCCTGTATTAAGCCTTTGTCTCCAGGGCTTATTCCTGTATTAAGCTATTGTCTCCAGGAATAATTCCTGTATTAAACTATTGTCTCCAGGACTCATTCCTGTATTAAGCTATTGTCTCCAGGACTCATTCCTGTATTAAGCCTTTGTCTCCAGGGCTTATTCCTGTATTAAGCTATCGTCTCCAGGAATAATTCCTGTATTAAGCTATTGTCTCCAGGACTCATTCCTGTATTAAGCTATCGTCTCCAGGACTCTTTCCTGTATTAAGCCATTGTCTCCAGGACTCATTCCTGTATTAAACTATCGTCTCCAGGACTCATTCCTGTACTTATTCCTGTATTAAGCTATCATCCCCAGGAATAACTCGTGTATTAAGCTATTGTCTCCAGGACTCATTCCTGTATTAAGCTATCGTCTCCAGGACTCATTCCTGAAGTAAGCTATTGTCTCCAGGACTCATTCCTGTATTAAGCCATTGTCTCCAGGACTCATTCCTGTACTTATTCCTGTATTAAGCTATCATCCCCAGGAATAATTCGTGTATTAAGCTATTGTCTCCAGGACTCATTCCTGTATTAACCTATTGTCTCCAGGGCTTATTCCTGTATTAAGCTATTGTCTCCAGGACTCATTCCTGTATTAAGCTATTGTCTCCAGGAATAATTCCTGTATTAAACTATTGTCTCCAGGAATCATTCCTGTAGTAAGCTTTCGTCTCCAGAGCTAATTCCTGTAATAAAGACCTGACTACTTTCACCTTATCAACATTAACTTTCAGTCTCCAAGGTCTTTATCCATGATTTAAGACCAGTCCTGATTTGGATGCTCAATGTCTTTATCCAGGACCTTAGACCAATCTCATCTAAGTCTGCAAGACATCTATCCATGATTTCAGATTAGTCCTTCCTTAAACTTCAAAGCCTTTATCCATGATTAAAGACTACACCCACCATAGACTTCCAGGCCTTACCCATAATTTTAGAATAGTCCTACCTTAAACTCTAATGTCTTAAACCATGACTTATGACTACACCTACCTTAGCCTCCAAGGCCTGTTTCCTATGTTTCAACTCAGCAACAGCTTTCTGGATATCCACATCAGGGGCTTTCTCTGATTTTAATTTACGCACATGGTCACCCTGCAGAAACAAAAGCAGATTATACTCAGTATAGAATTTTAAACATCAATAACATTGAGCTTATTCCTGGCAGTCTACATGTATTACTGGGATATTAATTATATTTGTATAAAGCACTAAGATCAATAACCTGTATTCAGTGTTTTTGTGTAGAAATTGACTGTAACTTATAAATAACTGAACAATTATATGCAAAAAAGTCTTGTGTATTAGTATTTGACACTAACTTGTATACTCCCCGTCTCCCTGAACCTGTTTTAAGAGATTTTGATGATAAGAATTATCAATTTGAAAAAAAAAAAAAAAACATATCAAAGCCATGAACTTCTTGAATGAGTTACCATATCAACATATCGTTAACAGAATTTTTTTAACTATTAAGAATTCCTCTAATTAACTTCTTGTCTACTGAAGACATTGCCCTATTGACCCTTCACTCGAAATAATCAACAAACCGAACTAAAGAAATTACTGGAGCTCGGCTGGAAGGCGACCGTAGGTATGCAACAATTAAAAGAAGCCACAAAACACTTACCTGTTCTTTGACTGATGCTCTTAATGGAGCTAATACAGCTTCAATTTCGGGGTCCGACATGACAATTTCGCTCCTTGCTGGTTGTAGATAAGCCTCTCTCTTTTTGTGACCCCAGTCCGCAGGTGACTTTTTAGAATGTACACCACTAGAGCCAAATGCCCTGAAAACCTGTCTATAATGAGTGTTCTTACAACAATATGTTTGTAACAGTGGTCTCACAAGCCTTACCAACTGTTTCATCAGTCTGACATGTATGCCACGCTTCGACCCATAAAAACCAAACACTAAAGGGCGCAATGATATTTGTTCATTTTCTAATAATAACGTGATCTGGATTGTATATCAAAATATAAGTTTTATTTTTTTAAATAGTTTCTTAATAAAGGTTTTTATCACTGAAGGAATTGATGATACGATGGTACATATTTGATAGAAATTATGGGACGAAATCAAAGTCAGATCGCTTCCCAATAAACCCGTTAATGTCTCCGGAAGTATCATAAGAATTTTTTCAAGATGGCTGCGCCCATGCGGCAACTCTGCGATGCAGAAGAGAAACCAACAATATGGTTTGCAATGCCTGACAATTTTATCTAGCAAATGCCTTGAGCTTGAAACGGAATGAAATCTCTGTCGAATCTTTACCGTTTAAATCCCGGAGTTGATCAAATAAGGACAATCAAGTATCAACTTGCAAATTTGTTAACAAAACTGCATAAAAACCACGTGGTTCAGTCGAGATGTAAACAAACTTTCGGTTTGACAGTAAGAAAACGGAACAATACATTCGATTGTTCACGACCTTTGTCGTACTCAGTTATCCGTCAGAGGAAACTGGTACTGGGGATAGAGACGAGTTTTGATGACACGGGAGCAGCAGTTGTGGACGATGATGGAAATGTCTTGGGAGATGCGCTCGAGAGTCAGACGAAGGTTCATGTGGAGTAAGTACAAAGGAAATGATTCTCGAAAACAGTTAATTGATATTCTTTCCACCATCATCTACATTTTAGATGTTTCCCGCAAACAAAAATTCAAGTGTGTCCGAAGTCTATCGTCCGTCTATATGTTCTCATATTTCTAACAGTATGTACATGTATATGGGTTCCTCTTTGACCCTAGTTGAACACGTTCCAAATTTAGGATTGATCTAAAACAAAACAGTATTGCCAACTTGCAACCAGGCGGCCACCATGGCTATGGCAGTCTTTTTGATTTTGAAACTAATTATGCAGAAAGACAAGGAAAGTTTTATTTCAGTAATTTCTTTAGATAAATCAGCTGTAGATCTTTCTCTGGTTTTTAGGTTCCTTGTGATTCCTAATTTTGCCCATTTGATATGGGACTCATACGAATTAAATGGCTGGCAGACTTAGATTTTGAGCAAGAGAGATTTTATCACTATATCTTGAGAAGTGCTGGGTTGATTTTCTTAAAGTTCACCTCAATAACAAAAGGACGATGGGTGCTGATATTAGGTCTGTAGCATGCTGGGATGAAGGTCTACCAAATTTATTCAAATGAATGACCTTCATCAACTTTCAATTAAGATTACATGGGTCAAATGTGTTAAAAAAATCTTCAATCAACTTCTTTTTAATAACCAAAAGGTCCAGACTATTGATATTGGCTCTGTAACATAGTTCGAGTATGGATTATCAACTTAATTCAAATGATTGACCATGATCTACTTTCAAAGTCACAGGGTCAGATGTGTTGAAAACTTGCAATTATAATTTCTTCTGTCAAGAAGCAATAGGTCCAAGGTTTTGGTATTTAAGTAGAGGCATATATGAGGAATAGGATTTCATATACACAAAGAAGTTGACTTTATAAACCAATAAATAGAACAGATCAACAACTCAGGCCTATTGGGCCTTTGTCATATAAAGGTCTATATATTCAGATGAATATTAAGACACATGGGTGTCTTTTTTATCTTTGCTTGTTGGGTTTTTTAACAGGTGTTTGATTCTTTTCTGGTATCTATATATTTACCCTGTACAATATTAATGTTAAACTATTAATGGGAAATATTGTAGCATGACATTTCTAATTGTCTCTTCATGATCTGAAATCAAATATATGTTTTTGGAGCATAACAATGTTAGGATTTAAACATATTGGCCTAGACTTGTGATTGTTTTGGCTTATAACCATGACTGACTGGGGCATAAAGTACCTTTTTAGATTTTGTTGTATGTTTTGTCAGGTCTTGTAACAGTACCTTATGATAGCAAGTAAGCTGTATCTAGATTGTTATTCCATTAATGTGAATCCTGAACTAGCTTTTTGATCTCTCTTAAACTGCTATATTTTTTTTATTGAAGATCCTCAACATCTAACCTAATTGTGGTTTTAGTTTTGGTTTGGAAATTGTCAAAAGGTTTCAATCATTGTGTAAAACAATTATTTGTAATTTTATCATTTTCCTACAACATCCACATTTTATTGTGTTATATTTCCTTTGATATATCTCCATCTATATTGAACTAAGAAATCATACAGAGAGGAACTATTTTCAGATTTGGAGGAGCCAAGCCTGATGTTGCAATGAAAATTCACAAGCAGAACATCCGTCCAGTGGTTGATAGAGCCCTATGTGATGCTAACGTCAGTCTCAAGGCAAGAAACTGTGTCACGTTAAGTAAAAATTTTGTGATATAAATTTCTGTTTACTGTTACATTATTGGACCAACTATAAACTTGTTTACTGTTACATTACTGGACCAACTATAAACTTGTTTACTGTTACATTATTGGACCAACTACAAACTTCTGTTTACTGTTACATTATTGGACCAACCACAAACTTCTGTTTACTGTTACATTATTGGACCAACTACAAATTTCTGTTTACTGTTACATTATTGGACCAACTACAAACGTTTTAGATGGTAAACACATATACTTGAATGTGAAATAAATGGAATGTTGTAACAAAATAAGAGCAATTTAAGCAATTGAATTTCATTTAGCTTTTGAACATGAGACATATGTTCTAAAAGCATATGATCAGAACTTCATGTTTTATTATACATGTATAAGTACAGTTCTTTGGTGTACTCTAAATCACTTCAACTTCACAAATACTTTATTGCGTGAATTCACTTCTGTAGACATATTTGAAAATACATCGTTTTGCAAATGCTAATCTAAAAATGACTGAATTTGCAAATGATGAGCTAGTTGAGATATGAATTCTGGAAAGCTCCTTTATCAGCAATTGACAGCTTCATAGTCCACCATTTTGCTTATGAGAGTCATATGACTCTACCTGAGAAGTGATTTAGTCATGTGATTCATGTTGTGTCCATACTAAATTGTATTTACCTGAATACAGGCTAGTTTGTGGACAAAAGAAACAAATATGACAATTCTGCATGCTCTTATGTTTGATGAGTAAAATGAGTTGTTTTCATGGTAAAATGATGGGACTTCAAAAGGCCCGACGTATTGTGCAGTGTTTAACATTTCATAATCAAATGCTTATTTTACAGTATTTGTCCCAGCAGTAACATCTTTGACAGTTTTCCTGTTGTTTATTTTGTAATTTAAGTAATATAACTTCTTAAAGTGTTTGAAATACACACAAATGATGTTGTAAAATATTGTCATCAGAACCATTATAAAGGTACCTGTACGAGGAACTCAACATGTATCCGTTCTGTTCTTAAAAGTTGTGTTTAAGCTGAAACCTATTGTATTTGTAGGATCTTGATGCCATTGCAGTGACAACCAAGCCTGGATTAGAACCATGTCTGTATGTTGGCCTTAACTATGCTAAAGAACTGGTAGCCAAGTCTGGGTAATTATCATTGCTGTATTCTCATGTTTTCTTTGCTGTACCCTTGGGTTGAAGACTTGAAATCATCCTTGTATGTGACATGAAATTCCTTCACTCACCAGCTATTTAACAGTTCTTATTGTTCTCTCTCATGAAACATTCTATAGATGTTTCTTAAGTATGGTATTATTGGTCTCTAGTTTTGTTTTCTTCATTTGGAAATTGCATGGTCCACATAACAAGATGACAAACAGATGGCGTCTTGTATTTTGACACTCAAAGTCTGATATTATTTCTCACAAATTACTTGGATCTTTTTTTAACTTTGATACAAATGTTTCTATGTCTTAATTTTTTATTTAGTGTTACGTACAAAATGTAGTCATACATTTTGATTTTGGTATTTGAGACTTTTTGCTATTTCACCAAAAAAGTTCTGTGTACAGCAGCTGTTAAGATTGAACGGACCCAAAAGTAACATCAAGTTAAAGCTCACAGTAAGGTGTCTTTTCACAGAAAGCCGATGATACCAATCCACCACATGGAGGCTCATGCTCTCACAGTTCGGATGATCCACAAGTAAGTATCAAACAAACATGGAAGGTACAATATAAACAAATAAACATGTCTATTACACGTATATAGTACTGAGAACAAATATCCTACAGTTTTCTATAGTTTTACATTTAAGTGAATTTCTGATGGAATGTTTAAAGTTTTACTTTGAAATAAATGTCTGATGGAATTTTGGTATTCATCCTAATGTGATCATCAGAAAAATGTACATATTAACCCTTTCGGCACCGTAGGCGACTAAAGTCGACATGCAGACAGGCCGCCATAGGCGACTAAAGTCGACATGCAGACAGGCTGCCGTAGGCGACTAAAATCAACATGCAGACAGGCCGCCAAAGGTGACTTTGGTCTACAATTTTTATATCATTATTATTAGCCAAGATATGCTTGTTTCAGTAATGCTGCCATTGTTTTCGGATATTTTCTGGAAAATATTTGGCGCTGAGCTGTACATTGTAAGAGATAATTGGCGCCGAAAGGGTTAATAAATTTATTTAAGTCATGAAATTGAAAATTGTTATGGGTAATAAAATTGAATTTTACTTACTGTTATGTTACATTTGTCGTGGATGATAATACAAGGGATCTTTTTGTGGAAAAGAACGTTTGTAAGTAAATTGAAGAAGTCTTACATTGATTTTAAGATGTCATGTATTAGATTTAAATATCAGTACATTACCTGGTAATAAAACGTTAGTAATGTTTTATCAACAGAGTGGACTTTCCATTCCTGGTTCTGTTGGTGAGTGGAGGTCATGCACTTTTGACAGTGGCCCAAGGAGTTGATGACTTTCTGTTGCTTGGTAAAGGACTGGACAATGCACCTGGAGATACCTTGGACAAAGTGAGGAGTTAATGTGTGTATGTTTGGTTTGTTGTTTTCATAAAGGTGCAAGATGATAACCATATTATCTATTTTAACTATTATTCTTCAAAATTGGATGTTTTGTAATCCTGCTATGGTTTTTTTTATCACAGATTGCAAGATTTCTAACATTTATAATGGATGCTTCTCAGTGAAAATTTCTAATTTCTTACACCATCGCATTGGCTAATTAAATGATGTTACAAAATGAAAACATACAGAAATTGACCAATGGAAATGCTTGATTTGTAGAGGATATAATTATTAGTCAATAAATCAAGAGACAAGCTTTGAATGACAGTAGAATGAAATTGATCAGAGGGTGTTATAAGATTAGTTGGTTGTTCTTGTTACCAGTAAAAAGGCATGAAGAAATGAAACACATTAAGCACATGAATAGATGGTAATATAATATCCTCTCTTGAATCCTTTGTTTTGGCCTTTTTAGAAGATGTGCTATTTTGTCTTACTGATAGCTGCTAGCAAGTTATAAACCAAACATGTAGGACTCAATCTAGCTGTAATGTTTTACCTTTATAACATTAAGATTTTGTTATATTGTGTTTTCTGTAATGAAGATGCTGGGTATTAATATTAGTGCTTGACTCATTCTAGATTCAAATGATGATTGGCCTGTGGGGACTTGATGTTCATGTATGTGATGAATGGCCTGTGGGGACTTGATGTACATGTATGTGATGAATGGCCTGTGGGGACTTGATGTACATGTTATGATGCCTAGCTCAAAATTTTATTTCAAATTTTACACTAGGTATCCAGGTCCTTGAATCTGAAGGTGTTACCAGAGTGTCAGGGGCTGAGTGGAGGTGCAGCCATAGAGAGGGTAGCAAGAGGAGGTAATCATAAGGCAATCCCATTTTCAAGCACCTCCTTAGGCCAACCAAACTGTGACTTTAGTTTTAGTGGAATTCAAACATCTGCCAAGGTTCGGATAGAAGCTATACGAAAAAAACACAGTAAGTATCTACTGAATTCCTGCAACATATATGTCAATTGACTAAAATACACAAGGCTGGTATGTTTGTTTAATAGGCTAATCTGAAAGGCTTTTGACATTATTTGTAAAACATAGAAAAACCATGGAAATACAGAAAACTGTTGTAATTTTTTGCTATGATGTACTAAAGATTTAGTTGACTAATAGAGCAATTTGTTATATAATTAACTTTAAATAACCAGTATCATATTTACCTGCATAGAGTGATTTATGCCTGGTAAAGTCTACAGTAATTGCCTCAGTTGATTATCTCTTACCTCTGGAGGACCCCAGGATACATCCTAAAGAAATATGTGGCCAAATCACACTGAATCAAGATAGTCTTATCACACTAACATGCTTTTTCTTACTCTGATGAATCGACAGTAGTAGTGCTATAAACAGGATATTAAGACACTCGCACTACCAAATTATGGTTAACACCACCAGCACACATCCAGCCACTTAATTACTTTAAACCTTATATAGTAATTCAGACGACTTCCAAAAAGTGGACACTCGGGCAAATTATTAGACTAATATGCATGCACATGTAAACAAATGACAATCCCAATACAGTATCTATAGATTATAATGGAAATCCCGGTATTGATTAGATAATTCATTAATTACACTTGTAACATGTAGGCAGATTGAAACTGTTGTTTACATTGTTAATCATGATTTCTGTCAAATAGCATATTTGAATAATATTTTGATGTACATTAAGACTGCAAAGGTTTTAGAAATATTAATTAAATTGATTAAAAAGATGTCTTTTTTACTGTGATTTGCTGTTTCTTTTCTACAACAGTGATTATATACAAGTGAAAATAATTCCAATGTGTTGATGACTGATAGTCATTATTACTGTTATTTAATTAAAATTCAAATCTGAATCTGACCATTTCATGAACCTGACTGTATTTAGTGTATACTTAGAATAAAAGCAAATACAATTGTGTGTGTTAATAAGAATTTATACTCTTAATAACTAAGTGATGATAATTTCCTTAAAAGTTTTTTGGTACAATAACTTTAATTTTCTACTGATTTCAGATCTTACGGAAGAAGATATAATCCCCAATGTGTCTGACTTCTGTGCAAGTTTTCAACACGGTGTTATGGTACAACTTCTTCGCAGATTACAGCGGGCATTTCTGTTTTGTCAGCAGAAAGGAATCACCAGTAAACAACCAACATTGGTTGGTATATAATTTGATATTTCTTCACAGTTTTAGAGGGTGAAGTATAATGTAATATATCATCATATTACTGTCATTGTACTATTGAAATCACAAGTGTGTCTGTTACCTTGATTGGTGATGTCCAGGCAGTCTGACTGTCATGATATTTGCAATTGAACATGGAACGTCGGACCACTTTGTCCAGACGGTGGAAGATGATTTCTGTTGGGTTATTTGTTTCCCGACTGATGGCACAGTGACTTTTCAATGTGTGTATTCTTCCAACATCAAAAAACCTACATTTTGTTCTGTTAGAAGCACCAAAATGAAGGCGCTACTGTGATAGTCTATGTTGATTGTTGAACATGATTGACTAAAGTTTCTGCAGTGTTATAATACGTGGTTGGGTTTAGTTGGTGATCACAAGACTGTCAACTGAGGTTTGTTTTATATCAAGGGTCGTTTACAGACTGACATTGACATAAAACAAAGAAATTAACCATAAAAGGTGCTACACAGTGCTTGATTTTTTTGTATAGTCCAAACTGTCTGGTATATTATATGATATTTACCACCAAGTGACATCACAAAAAAAGTTTATAACCACAATGAATGGAAATCTAATTGAATAGATTAATTTAGAGATGAACCAGTTGGGAAAGATTTATAGATTTTTAACACAATAGTGCATAATTACATACATTCTCAGATTCACCTTGAATGGGATGTGGCCTTCGGCTGAGATAAATTGACCTCAAACACATACAGTTACAGATTCTGTTAATCCTGTCCTTTTTAACCCGTCTGCATCTTAGTTTTGGTCAAGTCAATTCTAATTAGTTTCACTAGTACCAATTTAGTTTAAAATCTTGGGCTACTTTTCTGATTTTGATAACAATCCCTGTCTAGAACAGCTTGGATGTGAGAAGTAATCCCCAGTCACAGTTTTAACTTCTAACAAGTAACTGTTTTTAAGAAACTTAACCTAACAGATGTATTCTGACTTTTGTGTCCAGGTAGTGTCTGGAGGTGTAGCCAGTAACCAGATATTGAGATGTGGGTTTGAGGCTGTTTGTGCAGAAAGTGGCTACAACTTGGTGTGTCCTCCACCGTCACTCTGTACAGATAATGGTATTATGATAGCTTGGTAAGTGTTTCCCTTCAATCCTTTATATAATTTAGATAATGGATCAAAATATTTCCAAAGTACCGTAAAAGACTTTGGACCATACATATATTTTGTATATTGCCTGGTTAATGCTGGTGTGTCTGATACAGAGTAATGTCCCTTTGGTTTAATTACCATTACAGGAACGGTATGGAGAAGTTACTCCATGGAACGGGGATAGAAGCAGATCCTCAGTCTTTGAAGGCAGTCCCTACTAAAGTCCTAGCCAGGTAAGATATTAGTCACTGTTGCCCTACCAAAGTCCTAGCCAGGTAAGATATTAGTCACTGTTGCCCTACCAAAGTCCTAGCCAGGTAAGATATTAGTCACTGTTGCCCTACCAAAGTCCTAGCCAGGTAAGATATTAGTCACTGTTGCCCTACCGAAGTCCTAGCCAGGTATAGTTACTCTTGCCTCTGCCAAAGTCCTTACCAGGCATAGTAACTGTTACCCCTTATAAAGTCTTTGCTAGGTAATAAAGGTACTTTTTCAACCCTGTCAAATTTAAAAACCTTAGTCCAGTAAGGTTGTGTTTTTCAAGCTATAGTTTTGGCTTGCTATATATAAAGAACTACTTGTTCACTCTTGATAGTCTACATTCAAAATCATATATTCCTTTCAACATGTATTCCATTTGTGTTTTATTAATCTTAATTTGCTTTACTTGCGTTTCTTTGGAATATGGGGTTCCTTTTAATGAAAGATGTTGTAATAGAGAGTTATTGGCCCTTATTCATTTTTGATACCAGATATAGCTAGCAGTCTAATAAAATGGCATTTCTATCTGATTAAACCAAGCTGACAATATATTCGGTTGCTTGAGAAGAATATGGCATAACCATATGAATCACTATATCATGTCGTCCGCCTTTTGATAAATTTTATATCAAGGTGTAAGGAGATGAGAACTCCATGCAATTCACCAATTATTTGACACTTTTGTATAGTATGGGATGATTGACTGAAATTAACATTGTTGTGCCTCACTTTATTGAAAATTTTAACTAACTCTTCGTTTTTGACATATCTAAAATCTTTCGAAATGTTGGAAAAGGGTTGTACAATTGCTAAATATTTTGGGCATGTCATACAGCAGCACCTTGTGTATTCATTTCCCTTTAATGACGTAAAGAACTACAGGTTTCCCATTAAAACACATAAAAATATTTAAGCTATAGATATTATTTTTACATGTTTTTTTTTTGCAACTTACTGATATAGTCATAATTTTACAAGTATGTGTCCCAGATTTTTACTAACATACCTCTAGTTACATTGATCTGAATTCTATTGACATGGTGATAAGACCTGTATCTTTGGTTTCAGCTGTCCAATTGGTGAAAGCGTTAGGGAAGAACTAGTTGCTTGTCAAATAAAGCTCCCAAAGTCTAAACCTCTCCATACTCGCTTGAACTCCATCTACACTGCTGAGGGAACCTGATTCACAAAATGGATTGTAGCCGATGTTTCCAAGTATTGATTGTGATATTTCAATGTGGGATCAGTTCCTACAAAAAGCTACCAGAAATGATGAAGTTACTGATGTGTGCGGAGGACTCCTGTAGTGATGACAGCGTAATGAACCATGAGAATTTGTTGATATGCCACAATAAGATAGTTATGAATTGAAAATGTGACTTTTTTTCCCCAATAACAACTTAATTAAATGCAAAGTGTCAATAAATGCAAGAAATAATGAAAAAGTATCTAGCAGTTGTACATAGGGAAAAAAAGTAAAATTTTTCTAAGAACAAGATACAAGTACCGGTAGTTGTGTTTTATCTAAAATCAAATGAATGGCTTTGTTGAAATCCTTTTCATTTTGAAGACATTTGTTATTGGTAACATTTCTGCATTCTTCAGTAAACATAACCAAAATATACTATGTAATCATGTCCATGCTACGGCGAATAATCACTGTTTATTGATTATAACCAGCTGTTTGAAAACAGCTTGTTACTTGACGTTTATACTTGCAGAAATAGGTATTTGAAGACATCTTGCATAATGATCAGCTGAACTGGACTGGTTTGTAGTCTGTGTTCCTGTCATTGCTCAATTGAGTAAGACTACATAAATAACAGTTATTGATGCTTTCGGTTTTTATAGAAAGTCTTGAATGACAATGTTTTTCGATGTCTGTAAAAGTGACAAAATATTGTAAAATCACTGTAATCTGTAAGATCAGACAAATACTTACAGCTCATGAGAACACCGCTTGGTTACAGGAATACACTAGGGTCACAAAAGTACTATAAAATCAAGTGAAAAATGTGAAGTCACAGGAATACTTTCAGGTCGATACAGATTATTGGAATGCTGTCAGCTCACAGGAATACTGTAAGTTAATGGAATACTGTCAAATATTGGAGTACTGGGATGTCATTTTGTTAAGAATGAAGATTAATAAATAAGAGAATACAAGTTTATGTATGTAGAAAAGATAACATTTTATTTTCTATTCTGCATTGTCAAAAACAAATATCTTCACCAGTCTGTATCGTATTTACATAAGTTTCAAGGTTGACACAGAAATCATGGCAAAATTCATAAAATAACATTTAAATATAAATTAAATGACTTAAGGGTGAAGAATGTTATATACATGGTCACAATAACTTATTTCTTAAATTAACACAAAAAGCAAGAACTACAGTGTAGTTAAACACAACTCAATCTCCTGATCCAAACAGCTTTGGGGGTGAGAATCCACTTCATCGTGGACATCAGGTTGAGTTTTTTCACAAGGTTGATAATAATGACCCTTAAACCACAGAAGTGGAGTGTGCTGTCATTGATGATCAATATCTTTTGAACTTTAATGAAAACAAAATGTACATGTCAGTAGCTGAGATGATAGTTCATTAGAAATTTGATATGTAACGATTGACACAGTGGTAGACAGTGTGGATATTCTACCCGTGATTGATGACAGGGAATGGTTTTTTAGAAAAAAACATTCATTTCTTCAAATTTACAAATGTCAAATGAAATTTTAAAAGTGGTTCAATCATTAAAATTGTAAATATCACTTAGATGGAAAAAAAATATGAGGAACAATTAATGATATTAAAAACACTTCAGCATTGTTTGGTAAAACATACATACTGACCAATGTTATCAATATGAAGCAACATACGAAAACCGAGACATTTAAATGGAAATATATTGCATTGAATGGGTTGAGATTTTATAAATTGTCATTATATTCCATATTTATATGATGTAGGTTAATGTGATGAAAGCTTCCTGACAACATTTTGTCCTTCTGTATAACTGCCTGAAGTAATGATCATTACTATGAGATGATATTCTATTAAGTACACAGTAATTAATTGGGTAATTATTTCATCATCATTAGATTAAATATCACATTAAATCATCACTAATGATGCTGTCTCTGCGGCCAATCAAAATGTTATAAAAGTGCCAAGACCACATTTAACATTTCAAACATATCTTAAATTATGTCTACCTTGATACCTAGTAGATTGAGAAAAAAGGACTTAGTAGTCTCTCCTAGAAGAGTAAATTTTTAATGGTTCTCTTCTGGTATTATATTCTACCCCAAATAAGCCGTTCATGGACCGAGATTTATACAAGCAGGGTTAACTCATTTCTCAATCTCCACTTCATATAAATAAGCTTATATAAACAGATGAAAGAATACATGTTACAGATAATGAAATAGTTGAAGCTAAGCTAATCAATGTTTTGATATGGCAATTTCAGCAAACCTTAAGTCATGAAATTTGACAAAGGAAATTAATTGGTGTTTACCAACTACTTCATTATTTCAAAGCTAACAAAACATTACAGATTTTTGTGCAAAAAAAAAAAGATAAGATACAAAATAAATATCTAATTACTAATACACCTACATGTATTAAATTTACAGTATTAACAAAATGTACAAAATGTATCATGGTCCAATATACCAGGATAAAGACTCGTCAGCTAGCATGTGTCTAGTAGCTTGAGGGCACACAGCACTTTAAGTCAGATCACATTTGTACATGCACAAATATTTCAATGTTATCGGAGACTTGTACCTAAATGAGAATAATATTCTTAGTCTTCATTCTAACATGAATACAAAATCAAAGAAACTCTATCCCATGTGTTTTGAGATGAGTTTTCCAATTCAAAATTACAACATAATAAAAAAGAAACACTTAATATCAAAACAAAACAGTTAATAGGGAAAATTTTAAATCTTTCAGAAGAAGAGAAAATCTGCCCTACAACAACTAAGACAAAATAGCTCTATTATCTTTTAACTATTGTAGATATTAATAACACTGTTTCTAAGGCAACATTGCCTAGTATTCATGGAAATGAAAAGGTTATCAACGTCAACCCACTCTCCATACAAAGAAAACGATTTCCCAACAATAAATCTTGATTTAACCCTAGTTAAGTAAATTAACAAAGTAAACCTTTGGTAACAGAAATACCTAACATTTGAGCCATTTTACATCAGTGTGCCCTCTTTCAGCTAATTACATTCAATATAGTAACAATACACTTGGCTACTGAAGCCATTTAGCAAGATTAAATACAAGTAATCTGTAATTCAATAAAGAGATGAGGCTTACAATAGTCGATACCTCTCATTCTACCAGCTTTGACCTATCAACAGTGTTATGTGATTCAGTACCTCTACCCAGACATAGACATTATATAATAAATAGATTTAAAATCATTGCATGACTTTAGAGTCTGGTGATTCAGACATCTAAATATTATCTATACAATGTATATACATTGTCAAGCATCAAACTGTACCATTGTGGCTGCTATGTTTCTCTGGAATGCCCAATAACATGTAGCAACTTCAATCACCACATTTTTTTAAAAAAATTTGTAAATAATGTTTAACTTCTGACAAAAGTACAAGAATAGCATGGAGTAGAGGCCTGAGGGCGAGGCAATCCAATCAACATTCTAGACAGGAGGGTTGAGGGCAACCCAAACCAACATTCTAGATTGTGAGAGGCCAGAGGGTGGGGCAACTTATCCGGCATTCTAGATAGATATGATTACCTCAACCATTAGAATGAAAACAATACTGTTTTACACGAGTCTGAGACAATATCTTCCTTGGACAGATTTGTATTCAATTATATGGACGCAATATTGATATTACACATAATATAGTTGTGTGTTCGCCAGCATTTGAGCTTCTTAAGTAGAATCACTGAGGCTAGTAAATGAGATTAGCTCTCCAACGACAACCCTATCACATGTATATAGACAGACCAACCTCACAGGTTATTCTGGAATTGAATTATAGTTATTACTGTTCATAAAAAAGTTCTAACTATATCAGAAATTAGGAGAAGGGTAAAGGGGATAAAACATATAAAAAGAAATTTGTAAAACAGGAACATGTAACATGGGTCCTTCTCCTCTTCGAATACTGAGACATGAAATATATAAAGGCAGATAAAATACTGTTGCATATCCCAGTGATTTCAACAAGTATATTACACTGCTAATGAAAACCTGAATATTTTTTTTCTTTTTTTTCCCATAAAGCACTTTATAAGAGAAAACATGATTCCACTAATTGTGATCATTTAAAGGATGCACCAGTTAGGAACAGGTGTTATTAAATCTAGAAAAAAACTCAAAATGTCCATACTTAGATTCTCTATGTACAGTTGGTAGGACTGTCTCTGTATTATTGGTGATGTCCCTGACCAATACTGAAAGGAATGTATCAAATGACAAGGTCACTACTACAACTGACATTAGCTCAACACTTCACATAAAAATGTTGGTGAAATTATCAGCATAGGTTTCCCCACGAGCTGCATGAGCAACAAATTATAACTGAGCAAGCGAGTTGTCCCTCGTTGACCAGATCTTAAATGTAAATATAGCTATACAGTTGAAGAACCAGTAGGAAGATTCTATATGTAGTTCTGTTTCCTAACACCTAATATAGTCAATATCTAAAATAACGACAAGAAAACTTACTTAATATGTCACTGATATAACCACTCACTTGATAGGAAACACTAGTTATATATGTGGCATTAGAACACCAAAACAGCTATGTTATGTACCTTGGTGATGTCTATAATAGGGCATGAGGCAAGCAAAGTTGATGACTGGTCCAAATTACAAATAAATAACAATTGTTTTGAATACTGGAATAGAACTGCCAAGTCCTCAATAAAGGCTAGTCTCCAGTCTTTCTACTTTTTAATGTTCCATCTGAACATGAAGATCTTATTTAACTAAGGGCCAAGCAAAATTTCTTTTTAATACTCGGGTCGGACTCCAAAAAAAAGTAGAAATCTGGATCTCTTAAACCTAGCAAAAACGGTAACAACAAACAGGAAAATGCATAACAGTTAAAAACGAGGAGAAATTGGTAACAATAAATATTGAGATTTCATAGTTGTCATGATTATAATTATAAACAAATCCTTGCATGAAAAAGACTTATGCCTAAACATTGGAAAATCTTCTGATCAAGAATAAACTTAGTTAATGTTGATTGTTAAGAATTAATTCACATTAAATCAAGTACACACCTGTGATATATACCTGTAGTGTAGAAGCCAATATATAAACAAAACTAGTTATTTATATTAAGTTGACCAGAGAAATCGGAAATAAACTGCAAGTTGATAATTCTATACATATTGTAACAATCTACTTTTCAACAATACAGATAAATTATTCAATAGTGATTCCCAAACCGAGGGTTTCACAAGTCTAACTCTCTAAACCATCTTTCACAAGTTTCTTTTGCATCCAGCTCCCTAAATTTGATCACTTTCCATCACATACAGAGATTTTAACAGCTAGATCATCCATTTCTCTGATCAGAACTAAAAACAGGGCATTTCTTAAGAATTTTTGGGCTGAGAAATATTCCTTTCAGAAATGAAATGAAAAAAGGACCCATCTTGAAATGACCAAAAAGCAGAGTACTGTTAATGTTGTTATTTTTGCTACTTTTTTCTCTTATATGAACTTTATCAATTAAGGACTTTACAAAAATCTACAGTCCCTGTAATATTTTTCGACCGTAGTAATTTCTCTTATGATCTTATTCATGTCATAGCCGAATAAAATTTTGTGCTTCTATAAAAAAAAAAAATAAAAAAATTTGCTTTGGCATTAAAAAGCATAAAGCAACTTTGTGCTACATAGAAATGTGTTATGATCAACACCATTTGGTGCTACACAAAATGACATCTATGTCAGCACCAGTTTTAATGCTTAAATGACCCCACTACACTTACAAAACCATAGACTTGACCATATGATAAAGTTCATTGTTGGATGTTGGCAGGTAGGGGTTCAAAGCCAAGGTGATATGCTCCTTGTGCAATGGTCACACATTGAAAAAAATTGATATATGTCACTGAGAAGTGAAAAGTAGTTTAAAATTAGGTGCTGAATGTTAAATAGGAAATCATTACTTATACCTATTATTGTTTAATTAATTGGAAAAAAATGCACAATGCTAAATTGCAACAGATACATTTCTATTATCATATAACAATATTTGACATATGTAAAGAAACTGTACACACACTATAAATATATAATAGCTATTTATATTGACTAAGCCCACTATTTTTAAAAGGGGCATACATTCATCAGTATAATGGATACAGCACCCCTCAGAGCAAACATTCACCAATATAATGGATATATTACCTTCAGGGCAAACATTCACCAATATAACGGATACAGCACCCATCAGGGCAAACATTCACCAATATAATGGATAAAGCACCCATCAGGGCAAATATTCACCAATATAATGGATACAGCACTCGTCAGAGCAAACATTCAACAGTACTTAATAGGTACTCCACACTTGAGTAAAGTTAAAACTACTTCACACCTTAGTACAGCTTGTACTGTACTACACACTCCAGAATAGCTTACCTGTACTTTACACAAGTAGTACAGTTCATACTGTATTAAATAATGTACTCACAAATGTAAGTATCAGGTACCAGATAGGGCACATTCACAACAATACATACAAGAATTGTAAAAGTTCAACGAAAGATCATAAAATTCTCAAAATATGGACGGCACAGAGAAATGTATGTACATTGATGTATCAATCCTCTCCCAAGGTCATAACATAATAAAATACAGAGTTCCTAGCGTATAGTTACTGGTAAAAAGATTGTACAGAACTGTCGTGGAATTCAAACCTGGAATATTGTCTTAGTCCGAGATAAGACAGAGTCGAGATCAACATGGAAAATGCCTGAGAAAGTTTGGTTGAAAATCCAACATATCACTGTTGTTTACATTACTTTCAATGCTATATGTTCTGCTTACACCATGTAGTGTTACGTCACAAGAAAGTCTGAATTCAAAGGATTTCAAATAAAAGTCCCTATATTCCATATTTTTCAACATTACCAGAACATTCCTATTAAACACTTTGACATTAACACGTCATGTTTAAAATATATTTCAACTAGGAATATCTCAATAGTGTAAACAAAAAGTGGAAATCAAACCCTGAATTGTTATAACTGGGGTCCAATATTTAAATCTGACCTTGGGTAATATAATGACCTTGAGGATAAGAAAGCAAACAACAAGTACACACGGGCCACAGGGGGCCACTAAAGCCATTTTTGTGTGGTTAAATACAGGTAAATCCAATACTACACACCTGCTTTATACATATACTTCCCAGGCAAAACAGATCCCATTGTCAAAAGTTCTTTATTGGAAAGCGCCCAGTGTCAACAAGAGATGCAACACACCGAGTAACCATGGAGTCAACCAGACAACACACCATGTCACCATAAGACACTGCAAACTGTGTCATGATCGAGGCCCCAAAAGACATAACACACTGAGTAACCATTTAGTGACCAAGAGAGACAGCACAGAGTCACCACTGAGTCACCATGAAACAGTACACAGTCACCATGGAGTCACCAACAGATGCAGAACACTACTGAGTTGCCAAGTCAGTACCAGACAAAAAATAACTCACACTGCTGGTGAAGTATTTATTGGACAACAAACTGGGTGACCAAGGCACTCAGTGCTTTTAGTAAGCAAGATAACACAGTAAATGGAGCCACTTCACACGCAACACACAAGTCACCAAAGTGTGCAATTTACTGGGTATCCCAACAATACAAGTCTGTGAGTGTACAAGCTGAGATAGAAGTTCACAGACTCCAAAGGGGAAAAAATCCCTAATTTCACATGCAAGGGGAACAGTTCATCAGATGATCATGGGACTCAATGGTGACTAAAAAAGGTGAAAGTTATCAAGGGACACAACTCTGTTTACTTGATATCATTTGAGTAAGCATATAAACTCGTTGGATGATATTTTTTATGATATGATAGGATTTCTTAAGTTCTCTGATTGAGGACATACCCCTTTGTATCTAGAGGATCATTTGTTTTGTTTGTGCTTCCACATCCTCTTTTTTACACACAGTAATTGTATCAAAGAAAAACTGCCAATATTGAATGTGTAACATCAAACATTGGATTCCCCTTTGACTAGCTTGCCATTTTCAGTCTTTTGGGATATTTTTTTCATGAACAGGGTCAGAAGAATAGTCCTGTTCATACATATACAATCTATAATCTTAAACATACAAGAGTTCTGGATGTAATATGATTATACTAGACACAACACTGCACCAAGACAACATTGATAACACTAACAATTGTAAACATGGTTTAACATTGTAATGCCCTATAGTCAACTACTACAACAAATAGAATTCATTGCAATTAATCAAAAGCTTTTTTCAAATTAAATAATATCAATGATTTCATTCACATATCTATACATGGCCTACTGTGAAATCAGATATTTTCATGGGGCTAAATTTTCATGATTTTTCAAATAAAAAAAAGTTTTTTAGCTGACATTTGATTTTGAGAATAAATTTAGCTTTACCAATTTTAACATTTTGTTGACATATGAAGTAATGGAATATGATTACACACGAAATCTACGAAAATAAATCCCCCACAAAAATAAATGTATTTACAGTAAAGCAAAACATTATCATGAGAAATCTGACACTTGCTTTATCAACATTTCTAATAAAAACATGAAAAATATGAAGCATTTTATTTTCAGAATGTTAAAAAATACCCAAATTGATTTGATTAGACTTTTTTTTGTTATGTTTTTTCTTTTACATTTTTCATAACTTATACAGAAACAATCCTTACATAAAATTATTACTGAACTTCAAAGTTATTCTTTTTGTACCTCTACAAATCATTAAATTTTGAAGCACACTTCATGTGCATACACCACAGTTCAGATAGCAAAGAGAGACAATTTGTACCAAGACCTGTCAGTGGCAAGCTTTCGGCACCTTCCATTGTTATTGGGAAGCATTTTTTTTTGGGTGGGTGGGTGGGGGGAGGGGGGACTGGTTTTCAAGTAATTTTTTATGATGTATTGGAATTTTTTTTCTAAAATGGTAAAACAGTAAAATTGTTGTCAAAAAAGACCATGAATGATACAAATTCTCACTATCAAACATCTCACCAAAACAATGGAAAGCACCATTAGTCAAGGGGGATAACTCCTACCAACACTAGTATTCATCGCTTGTGTACATTTTACAAATATTTAACATTGAGGTGAAATGGCAGTCGACCACTGCCAAGTGGTGGTCATCTACGTGGTCCCAGTGGCCTGAGATTTCACTGTGATTTCTGGTGTGATGTAACATTTGCTGAGTGGACAGAATGCAGAATCCTCCCTGGGTTTCAGCACAAGTTGAGAAGGCTTGATGGGACAGTAGTAAAGTGGAGCCTTTATAGAAGGTTGCGGGGGTCGCCTGTAACACAATAATATAAGGAATAGATAATACAACTGAACAACATTCATACTTTCAAAGTCTCTAAATGTGAAATAAAAACTGTGCATAATACTGATACCAAAACTCTAGATGATTTAATGCTTGGATTGGCTTTTTTTCTATTTTAAAATGTAACAAAAAGAAAATATAATGGTTTCTCTTTAAGTATCATATAAATTGTGAAAATATAACAAAACTACCAGTATGTTTTTCACTCCCATACATGTCATACTCTTGACATATATACATGTATGATATCATCATCTATTCTATTTCATATACCAGACCTCATTCCAGTGGAAAACAATTATTTTACAAAAGATCTAACATAGATATAATTTTTCAACCTGAGACACAACAGCTCAAAATTAACAAATTTTCAATTTGTTCAAAAGTGTACCTAGAAAATGCTTGCAAGAAATAAGACATAAATACCCCCAGGCCAAAGCACATAAGTAACAATTTTAACAGTTCTTTCATAAATAGAGAACGGTGGTATTGAAGCACTAACTCTTTCAAGGTATTCTAATAAAATTTTACTTAATCAAAGAAAGGAAGTTGCAAAAGTGATGTTAGTAGGTGATTTTCTAAATTTCTATAACTGAATATGGAGACCTTAAAATTGAAATTAAACGTGTACTAAAATTGAATACAGAATAACTTAATATTAATATTAAATATTAGATGTTATAGTGTTGTACTCCTTTCATCATATTTCAGGCAACATCTTATATTCAACAAATGTGACTACATATTTGGCATCAAAAGAGCCTTATTTTTATCACTTCAAAGATTACAAATGAAAAAGTACAGGGACCACCACATACAATATTATACGTACCCATTCTCATCTATGACCTTGACCTTCTCACAGCCATCTGGAGGCTCCCTAACAAAGGCGTAGGATTTGTTGGGGCGTGGGCTGGACACCACTTTTAGTAGATTGTCTGGGGATTCACAACCCTCACCCTCTACTGTAACAAACAAAGGGTTAATCATTTATATAAATACATGTTGCCATAGAAACTATTCATCACCTATTAACTGTTAATAGTCAGTTTGTAATTATCCTTATGGATATAGAGTGAAGGTTGATATAATTGATAGGTTCCAGTGTTCACTATTTTTGAGATAACATAAAGCTGCGAAAAAATTCAGGAGCTTTGAAATATGAAAATCCAGAGTCAATTTCATGACTTTTGTGAAGAACAGAAAAAATAAAATCAAAACTTTCTCTTCAACATTCTTATGATCACACCATGAATTAATAAATGAACACAAATAATGTAAACATTGCTTACATCTAAGTATTAATACAAACAATATCATAAACTTAATAGCAATAAAGATCATAGCCAACATCACACCTATCCTCTACTATATGTAACAGATATGGTTATACACATACTCTATCCTTTTACAAGAAGGAAAATTTTTTAAAAAAATAGACTATGATATGCTAAATATATACAGAGCGTTATACACATACTGTATCCTTTTACAAGAAGGGAAAATAAATAAAAAATAGACTATGAAACGCTAAATATATACAGAGACTATGTTACCCTAAATATATACATAGGCTATATGCTACCATATACAGCTGAAACTTGTCTCTATATCGCTCGAGTCGAAATTCCGTTGGAGATGAAATAATTTCAACGTCCTGATTTTTTTTCTCTTCTATATCTTTGTAACTTTAGTTCGGGTGACTTGAGTTTCATTGAGTCTAAATGATTTTACAGTCACTTCATTTGTAAAACAGGAGAAAAGCTATTCCTTATTTTGACATTAATTTTTATTAAAACATCAGCAGATCTTCTGATGAAATTAGCCAATATACCCACAGAGTAGAAAGTCACTTGTGCTTAACACATGGCTAATTACAGTGTATCGGTCCATTGTACACACAACACTTTGTCTCTGGTGATTAATTACCAGTTTAATTATCCAATTAAAATTTGGCTTCTAAATTAGTGTTCCATTCTGTAGCGATGACATACTTATATGTTAAACAAGTGGTGTGTTTACACAAGACACGATAACATTTAGTTTGGTTGTGTGCATCTCCAGGAATGATAAAAATGAAACCATCAAACCTGTAAGAACTTTTGACCAAAATCCGATCACCACAATTCTGAGAGAAATTAATCTTTCAACTAGTTTACAAAAGCATTGTGATCAGGTATTTGCTAAATTCAATACTTGGACAATGAAGTGCTGAAAGTATTTTTCTTTGATAGAGTACATCTATGCATGACTTGTCAAGTCTAGTGCTTGTATAAGTTTTCTACAACAGGTAAAAAATTTCTAGTGCCATGTTTTTCATGTTTATTTATTCATAGTAAAGTCATATTGATATGATCTTTAGCTTTATACATTGTTTCTTGTAGCATATCAAAAGGAAATGTTATTTTCGTTTATTGTTATATTTCATAAAATATACTATCTGTATGTGCTTCATCAGTAAGGATTGTGTACATGTGTGCGGGACAGAATGCAGTGAGTACAAATGTATTTGATTGGTGTTATTACATGTTTTGTTGTTTGGATGAATAAACAATAAAAGGCAACAGTAGAAATTTCTTTGTTTCTGTTTATCTACTACTATTTTAAATAACCGATTAAAATACACTGGTTGTACGAGAGTGTCCTTTGAATTTCAATATAAGTTTCCACTGTATTTAACATAGACTATGTTACCCTATATCTATAACATAAAGTCAATGTTACCCTATATAAAGACTATGTTACCCTGTATGTATATAACATGGATTATGTGACCCTATATGTATGTAGACTATGTTACTCTCTATATATACATATAACATAGACTATGTTACCCTGTACATATTATAGATTATGTTTTCCTAACTAATACAGAGACTAAATATGAAACATAGAGGGTTGTTAAGAATGCCAACCTTTTTCCAGCCGATCCCCGTCACGTGGAGACGACTCAGTGATACTTGAGGGACGGGATGTATCAAGGTGACCACCAGGAATGATAGGCATAGCAGGACTGATGGACTGGGAACGACTGCCAGTGCTGCCGGTATCATCAATACAACCAGACGGGGTCTGTGTGTCCACGCTACGTGTTCCACTACCGCGATACAGCAGCATATCATTTACTGGCGCACGGTGTCCATCAGGTATATCATGTACCTGTGTAGTGAAGAATCAGACAAACTAACTACACCTGAATGAAATGGCTGCAATGCTGTTAGAATTAATTTAACACTGCCTTAAAAATTAACAGTCGGTGCTAATATTTAAAAAAATCTTATCCCGAAGCTTTTTGTTGGATGATTGAATTGTTCTTAAACCATCATGTAGTTATCAAGTCAAATAAGGCATATTCTAGAAGTTGTGATCAATTGAAAATAACCCAAATTCATTTTCAACAACAGCACCTCTCAACAGAATGAAACCCATCCCATTACAAAGTATATCAATGTTTTAAAAAAGGAAACAACAATTATGTAATCAAACTACCACTTTAAATGACTACACATGTAATATTATTATCACTTGTGTACTGTGTATTTACCTGATCATCATCAGGTGCCATCTCTATGTAGGGTGCTTTCAGCACCAATTTCTCAATCTCCTGCAATTGAAAAAATATAAAGTTTTAATAATGTAACAAGTGTACCAAACAAAGAATTATCAACATCAAATATAAATGAGGTTTTGTACTTCACACTTCCGGCTTGCTCTGTTTAAAACATCCAACTCACCTAGTTATCACTGACAACAAACACATATACCCTATCTAAAACATCCATTTCACCTAGCTATCACTGACAACCAACACACATACCCTATCTAAAACATCCAACTCACATAGCTATCATTCCCTATCTAAAACATCCAGCTCACCTAGTTATCACTGACAACCAACACACATACTCTATCTATAACATCCATTTCACCTAGCTATCACTGACAACCAACACACATACCCTATCTAAAACATCCAGCTCACCTAGCTGTCACTGACAACCAACACACATACCCTATCTAAAACATCCAACTCACATAGCTATCATTGACAACCAACACACATACTCTATCTAAAACATCCAACTCACCCAGCTGTCACTGACAACCAACACACATACCCTATCTAAAACATCCATTTCACCTAGCTGTCACTGACAACTAACACACATACCCTCTCTAAAACAACACACTGACAACCAACACACATTCTCTATCTAAAACATCCAGCTCACCTAGTTATCACTGACAACCAACACACATACCCTCTCTAAAACATCCAGCTAACCTAGTTGTCACTGACAACCAACACACATTCTCTATCTAAAACATCCAGCTCACCTAGCTGTCACTGACAACCAACACACATACTCTATCTAAAACATCCATTTCACCTTGCTATTACTGACAACCAACACACATACCCTATCTAAAACATGTTGTTCACCCCAAGCCATCAGCAGCTTCCACACCAACCTTATCCCAAACACCTGAACTATCCCAAACACATAACCTATCACAGACAAATACCTTTTATTTTTTAAACACAATTCCTTCATTGTAGTTTTCAAAATCAGTATTCATTAATGTATAATTATAACAATATGTTTATCATTCAGGATATCAAAACCACCTGACACAATAACTGAAGCAGAGTCTTGTAACATTTTAATAACAACATGTTAATTCAAGCACATCTTGTCAATATCACTTACGGCATTAATAACAAGGAAGTGAGTGGAATGGAATATATTTGTAAGAATGTCTTATTTGCATGAAATACACATTAGAAAGACAATCAATATTAATTCCAGTCTGAATCACATTACTTGTATCCACATGTTTCACAGCTCAGTGATCTATGTCCATAGCTGTCATGTTTCATATTATTGTGATAAATATATTCAACACACCAGAAGACCCCAAGAAATTAAAACTTCAACTTCTGATGAATAATTCGAGCACCTCAGTATTGAAATAGGCTGCAATTCTGTTTTCGAGGATTTTCTTAGTTTTCAAGCTTTCCTTTAGGGATTTGCATACAAATGCTAATAAGACCAAAGATGTGAAATTTATTTTTATGAGCTGAAAAGAACTATTAATGTTAGTGATTTACAATACCATCTGAAACAATTAAATGCAAAACTATGTCTGTATTTTACTGAAGACTTAGGAGTAAAATCTTAGTTTTAAAACAACAACTATAGGATAAAGATATATATATATCTGTAGAGTGATATTTGTTTCTGATAACAAGTCTTTATCTTTAACACTCATCCGTTCTTGTCAGAATAATTATCCTCAGAGATTCAGGTCTTGATCTGTTATAAGAAAGCTGAAGCCCTCGATGACACTTACAGACTTAATAACATGGCTAGGCACAACCAGGATTCTCAGTGGCTATGCTAATTGGTATTCATATCCTTCCCAGAATATTGATGACAATGCAAGCTCAGAGTACAAGACTCCAAGGATTCATAATGACAGCAATATAGTACAAGTCTCTGTGGATATGTGACAATATAGCAAACAATATGGTACTCTAGGGAATCTTGGCAACAAAAAATGTGTACAGGACTCTGGGGATCCTTGGCAACAAAAAGTATGTACATGACCCTGGGGATCCTTAGTACAGGACCCTGGGGATCCTTAGCAACAAAAAAACCAGTATTAGACCCTTGATATCCATGAAAACAAAAAAATATGTACATGATCCTAGGGAACCATGACAAAAAAAAATTATGTACATGACCCTGGGGATCAATGGCAACAAAAAACATGTACAAGACCTTGAGTATCCATGGCAACAAAAAACATGTACAGGGCCTTGAGGATCCATAGCAACAAAATCAAGACTACTGCATGGCAGAACAATATATATATGTTTGTCCCATGTCGATGAAATACTCTGATGACTTATTGTGTCAAAAAGAAAACAAATATGAAAATGGTTATAGTGAGTCAAAATGACAAGAGGGAATACAATGCAAAGTCATTATTTTTCAAATGATACAATGAATAGAAAATAACTTAAGCTTGCTAGACTTCAAGCTTCCTAAAACTGAATTCCAGGTGCCACACTGACTAGTGTCTTTATCTGTGAATATTTTAGGATGTCCATAATGTAACTCTTTCATTCCTTGACATGCACCAACAAAAAACAAAAAATAAAGAGAACGACTGTTCACGTCAGCTGTAATGCATTATAAAGCCACACAACAGCACCATACAGAAACACTATACACCAGTAAATACACACCACCAAGAGTACATATGTGCTGGCATAACTCAATATAGAAGATTATCTTAAGTGCATGACTTGCTCAGTGATTTTAAAACTACCTATATTTGCAGTAAATATTGGTATTACTGGACCTTGTTTGTTTTTTTATTGCCCAGGAAACAGCCAAGGTAATTTTGAGATGTCCATGCAGTAGCTGGTGGCTAATTCACTGAACAACATACAGGAGATCAGTCATATTCCATCAAAAGAAACCAGGCTACAGTGCCTTGCCCAAGGATACAACAATGTCAGAACAATCCAGGCAATTTCTCAGCTTCCTGAGAAACATCAACCAACACAGAGAGGAAGTGTTGATCCACACACCTTGGACCTTCAACCTGAGGTTACCTAGCAAATGCTCAGAATGACTGAGGTATTGCTGGACCTACTTAACAGTTACTTTGGATTCCTGAAATTGTCTCCCTCTGTATTACAATTTATTTCACTTACTTCTAAATGAGTTGTTTTGAAAGTCTGTTTAAATACTTTTTAAAAAATGTTCTTATTCATAATATGCATTTTTTTTCTAAATATTTTGAGCAAAGAGTTGTGTCCCTTTTTCAAGTATTTATTAATGACACATGATTTTAAGCAAAATAACAAGCAACATGGTGTACTTATAAAAAGACATCACTTGCTGTCAATCTGTCACATCATGAATATTAGCTATAAGACCTGACCATGTGACATTCCTTAATACTAAATATTCATTAATAAAAGAGGATTTATGTTTCCATAAAGTGTACTGAAGAACACAGGTACCATGATATATACACTAATATATGAATCAGAAGGCAGGACAAATTCCATCTGCCATAAGACATTCTTATCTACAAACCTGATCCCCATCAATGACTCATCGACGAATTGGAGAAACAGGTTTAAAGTCTACTTCAGGTCTAAAATACTTTTATAAAATCAGTCAACATCCATCAATGAAACTACATTTGTCATTTTGAATAATACACTTCAAGTTATAGTATAAAGCTAACATACCGGCAGCAAAATGCTCTTCAGGTTGTATGTGCACACGACACTATATAAATATCCCTCAGATGAGTTTGGGAGGTTTATATATACAATATGTATCACATATTTTAGAAGTATTGCAATTTACTGACAAAAGAAACAAATTTCTTTGAGTGTGTAAACTTTTCTTCTACATGATCATTCCTGGCAATCACAACCATCCACAATCCTAGCTGAGTTGGGATTCGTGAAAGTGAAATGTTTCAACACAGCAGCTATAAAAAACAGCATTTCATGATGATGTGTAGGTAAATTATGATGATACATGGGAAAATTAAGATAAATGGTTCAATTGTAACGATACATTGGTAAATTAAAACGATTTCCTGACAAAGAATGGGGCCCCATTTAGCTTCTGTCACACCTCAAAAGGCACTTAAATAATTTTATATTGACACTCTAGCATTCATCCCAGTCCTCTCTACACACATTGACATGTTAGGTTAGCAACCATTAAACTCTCTCACCCTAATCAGGGTGAAATGTATGCTCTATGAACATGCAACTCTCCAGAAATATGCCAAGACAATCTGTTAACTGTTCTATAAATGTCATGTGTGTCACATAAAAGTTTACGATTGATTTTCTTTGTACACTGTACACCAACCACTGTCCAGAGACATGTGACACCAGTCATTGGGTATTGTAATGTATGCAACAAACTTCATCATCAAGCACCATCAAAATAGATGGTTTTACTGTATTTGGTTTTAAGGAAATACCACTTTCACACTGATCTGTAAGTTAAAATTTAATTGAAGTAGGAAAGAAAGATAAAATGCTATAAACATACTACATTAGACTTAATAAGCAGTAAACATGCAAAGTTCCCAGGAAAACAAAACTAAAAAGTATGGAAAAATGTATGACCATCTGTGTAATTATTGCAAGCATATACCCTTGAAGGTTTATGACTAACTAGTGAACAATGTGAGTGAAATATTGATAATTCTCCTAACATCAGGGGTTAGACAGATATGTTTATTACCAGTTACAGGCATATTGCTGGATATGTATATATCTTTTACAAAAGAAAATTCTATTGATTTCACTTGAAGGCATTTTACAACATTTGGACCATAGAGATATTGTGAGTTCTAATAAATTTCAGTTTCAATTACAAATATATATGATATTTTCTTAAACCGATACTAAATATATTTAGAAATGCAGCAAATACTGCACTCAATAATGCAAGATATGAGGTTGGAGTGTAAGAAAAGGTGTGGCCTTCCATAACAAAATCATTCCATGACTAAAGCAATCATAACTCCTCTTTTTTTGCACAATATACC